CTGACAAAGTTGTGATTGTATCGTTGGGCATCTCGTGGTTCAATACCTGTGTTGCTCAGCGATTATGTCCTCATAACTGTCAGCGACAAATGTCCGCATTATGGAGAATGTGACATTGACACAGCAAGAGCAGGCAAGACTTCAGGTACTGAACCACTTACTGGCAGGATATATGACGACGGAACAGGCAGCGACATTGTTGGGAGTGAGCACGCGCCACACCAGGCGTATTCTGACGGCATACAGGAAGGAAGGAGCTGCCGCACTGGCTCACAGCAACAGAGGTCGCAGACCTTCAAACGCAACGCCCGAGACGATTTCGGAAGGCATAGTGCATCTGGCGCGCACACGATACGCGGGAGTCAACCACACTCATATGAGCGAGTTGTTGAGGGAACACGAAGGCATAGACATCACTCGCAGCACGCTGCGGCGTCTCCTGGTGAGCGCCGGTGAGAACAGCCCACGGGGCAGGCGCCCACCCAAGCACCGCGTCCGTCGGCAGCGGATGCCTCGTGAGGGTATGCTGATACAGATAGACGGCAGCTACCACAGATGGCTTGGGAAAGAAGGACCGCAGTTCACGCTGCTGCTGGCGATGGACGACGCCACGGGCACCGTGGTCAATGCCCTGTTCTGCGAGCTGGAGAACACCCACAGCTACTTCTCGCTCCTCGATGGACTGATACGGCGCTGCGGCATACCGATCGCGCTCTATGCCGACCGGCATGCCGTCTTCAAGTACACGCCACCGTCGGAAGCTGCCGGTGCTCCAACCCAGTTCAGTCGCGCGATGGACGAGCTTGGGCATACAGCTGATCTTCGCTCTATCGCCTCAGGCCAAGGGAAGGGTGGAACGCGCCGCGGGAACGTTCCAGGACAGGCTCGTCACGAGCTCGGCTTGCGGGCGCGACCACCATCGACGACGCCAACCGCGTGCTGGAGGACTTCCTTCCACGCTTCAACGGCCGCTTCAAGGTGCCGGCGCGGGAGTCGGAAGTCGCCTATCGCGCCGTGGACGACGGGATGTGTCTGGAGAGGATCCTGTGCTTCAAGTACAGGCGCAGAGTCGCCAGGGACAACACGGTCAGATACCGCTGGCGCACCCTTCAACTGCTGCCCGGCACGGACAGGCCGAGCTACGCCGGAGCAGCTGTGGATGTGCTCGAAGGACTGGACGATAGCCTGGCAGTGCAGCACGAGGGACGCGACATCCCATCTCAGGAAGCGCCACCACGTCCGAGTGTCCTCCGGGGCTTCGCCGGGAGAACCACGCACTCACCCATCATCCATCAGCCCACCAATGGTCTGGGTAGCAAATGGGCGGCCAAGCTGGCGACTCTGGATGCCAACCACGATGCCGAGCAGCCCGTCGCCACCTCCGGTCGCAACGGGACGGGACGAGTTCGCAAAAGCTGTGGGTCCACGGCGCAAGAAGCCCACGCCGCTGCAGACGGCCAGGTGGAAGGCGGTGCAGAGGGCGAAGCGAAAGGGGCTGTCCATGCGTGGGATCGCCCGGGAGCTGGGTATACACAGAGACACGGTGAAAAAGTACATGAACGCCGAGAGTCCACCTACGTCACCCGGGCGCCCGGCGTCAACGGCATTTTAGTCTGGTAGCATGGAAAGTTACGGGAGGACATTTTCGCTGGACACTTGAGCGGACATTTTCGCTGAACAGCGACACATACCGTAGCAAGAGAGCTGTCATCGTGGCAAAGCATCTAGGCATGGAAGACTTCTTCGATCTGCTGGATAAGTGGCGGCACTTCCCGGCATTCCCGCTTGAACCCCGCTCTGAAACTCTCTTTGCATGTTCTTGCCAACGGTATTGAGAGAGTGCAAGAGCGTCGGTGTTAAAGTCAAGCCCCAGATAATTCCTCAGTTTCCCCTCAGACACGACAAGAGTAATCAGTCCGACAAGGTTGACTTCTTCGCCTTGTCAGAGGATGGCAGCAGGGCCTTTTTCATCGAACTCAAGACGGATGTAAGTTCTCGTAGGAGAAGCCAAGACGATTATCTCTCAAATGCGCTTAATAAGACCATGTGCAGTATCCTGTACGATTATAGTGAAATCTCAAAATCAAAAAATGACAAACATGCCAGACAAAAATACTTCCACATGTCGTATGCCCTATCCGAACTTGGTCTCTTCAAGTTAGAAGACGATCTTGAAGATACGATTTACGCTGATCATTCCGGAGGCGTGTACGACCTTATCGATGCGACTGAAATGCTCGCATCGCCCACTCTTGAGGTTGTCTATGTTCAGCCCAGAAAGTCCGAAGAGGACAAGTGTGATGGAGGGCGTATTCACTACATTTATTTCGACGAGTTCGCCGATTGCGTAGAAAATCAGAGCGAACTAGGCGCACTGTTTGCAAGCTATCTTCGAGATTGGAAAACAGACCCTGCTAAGTATCCACCTCGCAAAAGCGCAACTGATAGGGACTGACATTGAACCCACCCCGCCTATCCAAGTCCCGCTACATGTCCGGTAAGCAGTGCCATCTGCGTCTCTGGTACGACGTCCATGAAAGGCAACTCGCGTCGCCCATAGATGAGGCGCAGCAGGCGATATTCGACACGGGCCATGAAGTTGGCGACTTGGCGCGTCATCGTTACCCGGGCGGTCATTTGGTATCGCACGACTATCGACATATCCCGCAAGCGCTTGCCGAAACATGGCGCCTTGTCGAATCAGGCACCGCAACCGCGCTATTCGAGGCGGCATTTCAGCACAACGGTGTTCTAGCGCGCGTTGATGTGCTTGAGCGCATGCCGGGCGGCGGCTGGCGCATGGTCGAGGTCAAATCCACCACGCGCTGCAAGCCTGAGCATATTCTCGATGCCGCCGTGCAACTCTGGGTGCTCCGTGGCATTGGGCTGGATGTGCGGGATGCCAGTGTGCTCACGCTAAATCGTGAATACATCTATGATGGGATGCGGCTTGACCTTGATGCACTGTTTAAACTGCACCCTGTATTTGATGAGACTAACTCATTGCTGGAAAGCGTAGGAACCGATGTAGCCGATATGCAAACTATGCTTGCCGCAGACGCCGCCCCTGAAATCGCGCCGGGTCAGCAATGTCTGAAACCCTATCTCTGCCCGTACTATGGACACTGCACGCGGGACATCCGCCAGCCCGAACACGGTGTCAGCGAACTGACTGGGATGAAAGCCGACCGCCGCAAAGAACTGCAATCCTTGGGCGTTACAGAAGTTAGGGATGTTCCGGACGATTTCCCGCTTAGTCGATTGCAGTCAATCATTCGCCAAGCGGTATCCGATGAACGCGACATCGTGCATGGCGACTTGGCGAACGCGCTCACCACGATAACGCCGACCGTACGCTATCTCGACTTTGAGACATTTCAGCCAGCCATCCCACGTTTCGCCGGCACGCGCCCATACGATCAGATTCCCTTTCTTTTTTCTGTTCACACCGAAGTTGAGGGCGCGCCTCTGTCACATGTGGATTATATACATGAAGACGGCACAGACCCGCGAGCATTGCTGATTGAACACTTGCTCGAAGCGCTTGGAAACGAAGGAAGCATCTGTGTTTATTCCAGTTTTGAACAGACACAACTGAAGGCACTTGCAGCAGTATTTCCACAATACGCCGATGCGCTTTACAGCATTATAGAGCGCCTAGTTGACCTGCTGCCTGTGGTGAAACGGAGTTACTATCATCCGGACTTTCATGGCTCCTTTTCAATCAAATCTGTGCTGCCGGTGATTGCGCCAAGTATGAGTTACGAAGACTTGGAGATTGCAGAGGGGCAAATGGCATCGGTCTGGTACTCCCGTGCCCTGGCAAGCAGCGATAAAAAAGAACGCCATCAGATTTTCGAGAATCTGCGTGCTTACTGCGCGCGCGACACTTTAGCGATGGTGGAACTGCGCAAGGCGCTCGCGGTATTGCCGCATTCAAACTCCTAGCTGATCTATAGTCAATTCCTTGCCCCACCAATCACCTTCCTGCTACACTTCCCCCATGACACGCACTGAATTTGAACGCCTCGTTATGCAGGCTCTCGAACGCATACCCGAAGACCTGCGCCTGCGTCTCGACAATGTGGACATTGTCGTGGACGAAGCGCCGAGCAGAGAGCAGCTTGTCGGCTCCGGCATCGAGCAAGGCAACATACTGCTGGGGCTATACGAGGGACTTCCGCTCACAGACCGTTACAACTACGACATGGTGCTGCCGGACAAGATTACGCTCTTTCAGCAGCCCATCGAATCCATCTGCGACACGGACGAGGACGTCATCCGCGAGGTCCAGGACACCGTCGTTCACGAAGTCGCCCACCACTTTGGCATCGACGACGACCGCCTCCACCAGTTCGGACTTTAGCCATGTGAGACGCGATTGGCGTTTCCTTGGCTCGACATTCTTGGGTAAGCGGGAATCCAGTGCAATCTAGCGAAACTCCTTTCTAGGAAGCGACATCTTATTCACGGGAGAACATCCAATGAAAATAAAGTCAATCAAGGCCGTTGCCGTGGACTTGAGGCCCAATCCCACGACCGCGCCGCGCGTCCCGAAGCAGCAGGTGCCCGACTGGGTCAGCCCGATGATGGGCTACTCCGAGTTCAGCAAGGCCGACTGGGGCGCCCCTTGGGGACGCACAGCCTGCGTCGTAACCGCCGAGGATGGCACTTGGGGGCTAGGCATCACGACCAACAGTGCGCCCGTCAACAGCATCATCAACGACCAATTCGCTCCCATCCTTGTCGGCCAGAACTGCATGGCGACCGAAAAGGCGTGGGATATGATGCAGCGCGCAACCACGGCCTACGGTAATGTCGGCTTGGCGAGCTACGCCATCAGCGCCGTGGACAACGCGCTGTGGGACCTCAAAGGCAAGCTGCTGGGCAGGCCCGTATATGAACTGCTGGGCGGTCCCCAGAAGGACAAAATCTTCTGCTACGCCAGCAACACCGATACCTCGTATGGCGTGGCGAACAGCATCGACTGGTTCCTGGAGACTGGGATTCAAGGCAGTGAAGCTCTTCCTGCCGCACGGTCCGAACGAGGGCATTGAGGGGCTGAACAAAAACGTCGAGCTTGTGGCTCGCACGCGGGAGCAGATTGGCGATGATGTTGAGCTGATGCTTGACGCCTGGATTTCGCTGAACACGGAATATGTCGTGCGCCTGTCTGAGGCGTTGAAGCCTTATCGCCTCAAGTGGCTCGAAGATTACTTGCCGCCCTACGACATGGACAGCTACATCAAGGTGCGCCAGCGCATTCCCCATCAGATACTCGCTACCGGCGAGCACTGGCACACCATACACCCGTTTGCGCTGGCGGCAGGGCAGGGAATCGTTGACATAATGCAGCCCGATGTCGCGTGGGTCGGTGGCATCACCGCCATCGTTCGCATCTGCCACATAGCCGAGGCGCATGGCTTAACAGTCATCGCGCACGGCGGGATGAATTACCCCTACGGGCAGCATCTGTCCCACGCCATGCCTGCAATCGCATGGGGCGAGCGCTCCGAAGGCGTGTCACCGCCGGGCGTCCCCCTTGAAGAGATGATCGTCCTGCCCGGAACACCCGCCATCAAGGACGGCTACCTGACGCCGAGCGACGCTCCCGGTTTCGGCTTCGAAATCACAACCGATTGGCTTGAAAGCCGTGCAGTCTGACCGCCGCGCAGTCTGACCCTTGAAGTAAATTCGTACTCATTGAGCATGTCGAAGGATGCGCCCGCAATGTGGCGTCGTTCGACATGCTCAGAGAAATCGACAACTTGAATGCTAGAGCTTGCGAACCACATCGCCCACGGAAACCGCGCCCTGTTGAATCACCCAGGTGTTGATTCCCCGCAGGCACATCTCGCGTCCCACAGCAGAGTTCACGAACTTCATCGCGTCCGCGCCGAATCGCTCAACAAACTTGCCGCAGCCGGTATGAGGCTTCGCTGACACCTCAAGTACGGCGTCACCAATCCCAAGCCTCGTGCCCGGAGGCAGGTTCTCTCTGCTGATATCCATCTCCACATAGAGTTGGTCGCCAGCCAGATGCCATCGATCTTTATCCTGCGCCACCAGGTCGGTCACGCGCGAGTTCATAATCGTAATCTGGCATTCCGGGTCAGCCGAGCCGTCCGCTGTCTGTCCGCTGCCGCGCGCGCGCCAGTTGTCGCCAACAAGCCCTTCTGCGGTGTCGAGTTGTCCCTCGTCCAGTATTTCGCGCTCGAGCGTCTCAGGCCGCCGCACAATAAGATGCACTACCCCCGCGTCCTTCGGAGCATCGCGTATGTCGTCCAGCCCCGCTTCAAGCTGCTCCATCGTTAGATATTGAATGGCTACCATGGCAAATCTCCTTTTACCCGCCAGTCTCTGGAACTGATAAGTGTCTGCAAATCTTTCTAGCCAGTTGGTTGGGGAACTTCGCTGTGACGAGGGATGGCTTCAACTGCGCCTGTTGATGGATTCTGCCACAATGAATGCGACCTTCCTTCCCGCTTCAGAAAACATCCATTGCGACGAAGGTGACGAAGCAGCGCTCTTCGCCTCATTCAACGGCAACCGTCTCGCGTATCGCGTCTGGAGGAACACCACGTAGGCCATCCTCTCGCCTGTCGTCTAGAATCAACGCAATTGCACTGGCAAGATTGTCTTTGACTTCGGCGATTGTCTTCCCTTGACCATTAGCGCCCGGGATCTCTGGGCAGTATGCGATGTACCAATCGCCATCGCGTTCAATCACAACTGTAAATTCGTTTCCGCATATTGCGAATTCTCCCAGTAATGCTTGAGGAATTGTACATCACAATCGGGTTGACTGCATTCTAGCATCCCCCAGGCCCAAACAACACATCCACATCGCGCTCCGCTTGCGCCCTGAGTTCCGCCGCCTCCACGAATCCAAGCTCCCTGTACGACTCCGGGCTTCCGTACTCGCGCGTCTGAATGACCACCGGCATCGGCAGCGCATGCCCGAACACCAGCGCCTGACGATTCGACTCCAGCCGCGCCAGCACAGTCCGCAGCTTGCGGCTGCCTGACACGCCGGACAGCACGGCATCCGTGTCCTTCTCATTATCCAGCAGGCAGGCTATCTTCGTCCCCAACTGGCTCATCACCTCGTCGTCTATACCGCTCGGTCTCTGATCAACCACCAGCAGCGTTACATTGTACTTACGCATCTCGCGCGCGATGTTCCCGAATATCGTATTCTTTGCGATAGCGGGACTGAGAAACTTGTGCGCCTCTTCTATTGTAATGACCAACGGACGCGGCTGCTGAGTGGAGTCTCCGCTCGCCTGCTCGGACATCTGCACATACCTGTCGTGGATGCGCCGCGTCAGCAGGTTCGCTATCAGCAGGTAAGCGTCGATGTTGTTTCCGTACCGCCCGAACTCCAGCACCACATGCATCCCGCGCTGAAGGTAGTTCAGTATCTCGTTCACGGAGTTGCTGCCCTTGCCCTCAGTGATGAACTCGAAGCGTCCCAGGCGGTTCAGGCGGTTGCGCAGCGCACTCAGCGTGGAGTGCGGCACATTCATCTCTCGCGCGAGTTCGCTGAACTCGTCGCCGCCCGCATAGGTGAGGAACTTCCGCAGCCAGCCCTTGCCCAAGTTGCGCCGCAGGGAATGCGCGGTGTCCGCCGCGATGTCCGACAGCGCCCAGGTATCCCGCAGAATCTCCACATCCTCCGGTTCAATGTCATCGTAGCCGATGCTGACCACATAGTCCGGCCTGAGGCCCCGCCGCGTCGCGCTTTCAGGGTCGAGCGTAAACACGGCTACCTTCGAGCCGAAAAGCTGTTTCAGCCCCTTGACTTCGTTCGTGTGCTCGCTGGACCCTCGCCAGCCATACTCGCCGTGCATATCGAAAATCAGATTGCTGGCCATACCCGCGTTGCAATATGCCAATTAGCAGCAGCCGAGTGAGGAATGTCTTGCCTGTGCCGCTCTTGCCGAACACACCGTTGCTGCGCTTCACCAGCTCGTCTATATCAAGGCACAGCCGCACTTCCATGTCCATCGGATTGCCGATGTAGAAGTGGCCCGCGTCCTCGCTGCCGAAGACCATCTGTATGTCTTCCTCAGAAGCCAACGATGCTCGCGAGAAGTGCGGCGGAATAGTCTTCGCGGGCTGTGGCGCGTTCATCGTGTCCGCGCCCATAATCAGCATAGGCTCGACGGTGACGGTGTTGTACGCAATCGTGCCGCTCAGAAACCTGCGCCAAAAGTGGACTGGACATGTCCGGCGGCGCCGAAGTAATGCCATCGTCCGTTGATTCAAGCGCGATCTCTGTGAGCACTCCCAGAAAGCGGTTGCGCTGCCCCTGTAAGCTCACGAATGTGCCCACCTTGATGTCCTCGATGGACACTCCGTCGTCGAGCCGCACCTTGACGCCTTCACTGAGCGAGCCGGATACGACCATGCCCAGAGGAATTCGCCCGTCCGCGTAATCCATGTACCTGCCATTTGCGCCGTTCATTCCAGACTCCTCAGAATGCTGCTCAAGCGGGGAAGCTGTCCCGGCAATGCAGATGCCAGGCTCTTGCCCGCGCCCACCAGATATTCGTGTGCATCAGGATGTGCCGCGCTCGCCTGCCGCAGAAAAGACGTGATTACATGGTCTTGCGAACCGATTGGAGTGTCCAGCAATATGTTGAGGAATTCGTGCGAACTACTGAACTCGGCGACTTCGTTGGCATCGCACTCCCTCACGAATGAGTATATCCGCGGCGCACTGAGCGGCGGATAACGCCTGATCTCATTCCCGCCTTGGTAGCCCACGCCCCCACAGTATCCTACAATAACAGCGCGAAACTTCGTAAACAGCAGTCGCTCAATCTGCGGGTTGCTGTTGAATACATCCGCCTCGGTCTCTGCGTTCAAGCCGCGTGGGATGGAGGCGCGCCCCGGATCGATGCTCTGCGTCGTAGCCTCGCACACGATGCCGTATGTGGGTGTTTCCTCACCGCATAGCACAAGGCTTCCGATATCGGGTGCGTCATACAACCTATAACACTGCGCCGTAAACTCCGATGTCGATGCCTCGATAACCTCACCGATTCTCACCAGCCTTGCGCTCGAAGTGTCGCTATTCATTCGCTATCAAACTTCCCATCACTATATCCAGCGCCTCATCTTCGAGATATTCTTCTCTGACGAATACACCGGCAGCCCCTGTTGCTCCAATGCCCCCGCGACAAGCTCCACGAAATACTGCCTGTCACCGCCCGTCACGACCGCCTGCTCGTGCGCTTCCTTCAGCGCCACCGGATAGCCCGGTCCCAGGCGGCACTGCTCCACGACCAGCGAATGCACAAGCCCGAGCAGCGCCTCGTCCTCCGCAACCCAGTTCGGCACCTCAACGCGCCCGACTTCCTCTTCCGTCCTCACATAGAAGAAGCTGATGCCTTGATCGCCGTAGTGGTTCCGCACAATGTCCGCGTTGCTGCCAAACACCGGAGTGCGTTCACTCACGCCGAGAGAATTATTGAATATCTCCCTGTCGAAAACGCCGCTCACTTCCTTGTCGCAGGGACGCTCGCCGTTCCGGACGGTGCCGCACTCGCGATCGCAGTCAGCGATAGGGTAGGGGCAAACGCTCACCCGCAGCCCGTTCACAACTTCTAGGCTGCGGGGCAGACTGATGTAACTTGCGATTGCCAGTGTGCGCTCTGACGCCATCCGCATGATTTCGTCCATGATTTCCACATAGCCTTCATCTACGAGGTGGCGCACCACGAATTCCGGATGCCTGTGCATGCCGAACATTATGAGAGAACCGTCCACCAGCCCTAGCGCAGGCACATCCGGCGGCAACTCGCTCAAAGTATCGAGCAACCCCCGCAGTTCCTCAACAGCGCGCTTGGCGTCCAGCAGCGCTCCGCTAATCGTCTCTTCTCGGTAGGGCGCAAACCTGTCCCGTATGACAAGTTCATCCTCGTTCGCATACAGCCGAGGCGAGCTGAAGACCTGGGCGTCCGGCTTGCTTCCATATCTGAGCAGGATGCCGCCGATGTTGATGAGGTAGCAGTGCGCCGGTATGTGCCTGCTGACATCTATGTGCGAGCCGTCCACGCCCACTACGCAGAAGTCGTACGGAAGCGGCGGCGGCGAATATGATTCGTCCATGCGATCATATATTTCCGGCACTATCCAGTTGAGGTCCGTGCCGGGTTGCGCCCGTTTTGTCATGTATTCAGTCGGGTCGAACGATCTCGCCGCGTCTAATGCGCTGGAAAGGCGCAACCCCCTGTCGGCATGCCCAGCCCTGAGCGCCGCTGCCATATCGTCAATCTGTATCGCTGTGCGTGTTAAATCAAGAGCCATCTGAATTTGCCGATGTTCAGCTAAAATTCCTCAACGTGATTTTGCCCGTCTGATTGTGATGACTGTGGAGTTTATTTGTCTGAGAGTAGGAGCAGTAATCCGGCGCATTCTTGAGATGTGGTGCGCCTACCGTAATACCCGCGTATCTCCCACGCGGCGCGTTATGCGCTTGTGGTCCAGATAGTCCATTAACGCGAGTGCATACTTGCGGCTTGTGCCCAGCACATCCCGCACATTAGCAACCGATATGTCACCGTTCTCCCTGATGTGCTCCGAGATTATCGTCACCATCTGCTCGTATGCCTCAGCCGAATATACGACCGATTCGCTTACGCGCACGACCTTGCCCTGCTCGTCAAGTAAGTTCAGCACTTCTCCGTCTAGCGGCGCGTCCGTTGGCGGCGAGAACGGCTCAGTTTCCAGCAAGCGCAAGTAGGCGTCCACCTGCTTGTTCTGCGCGTCGCTCAGCGTAGGTTCATATCCCGGCAGCCGCACAAGCGCGCCATCCTCTTCCACGACGGCCTGATGCTGTAGCCTTGCGAACGCCAGGTTGAATACCTGTGCTGACATGCCTAGCCTGCTGCGCAGTTCTTCTTTCGGCGCGCCGCGTCTCAGTGGAAATTGCCGATAATACGCTTCCAGTGAACGTTGCGTCTTCTCCATAACTGCGTCCCACCCGGCGGTGCTGAATACGAAGCTTCCCCGGCTTATGCCCTCGCCGCCCAGCGCAACGATAAGGTTCTCGGCTGCGATTGCCTCAAGCTCAGCCTTCACGATGTCTGCGCCCATGTTTGCCCGAGTCACTAGTTCATCGAGCCTGCTTGGCTCCGAAGCTTCGATTGTCTTCAATAGTATGTCCTGCGCAGAGCCGAGTTCCATCACCTCAAGCCGCTCGATAATGGAATGGTCATTGCGCCGATGGCGCCTCGCGTGCGTCTCAACAATGTTCCCGCCCCCCAGTGTCCTGCTGTTGGAGCGTATGACATAGTAGTCGCCCTTCACGACAGCGAGCGGCGCATCCAGCTTCACCTGCGCCCAGCTCGTTTCGCCCGGCTCCAGCACATCCTTCTCCAGCAGCCGCAACCGCCCGACCACCTCGCTGCTGCCCGTATGCACCGTCACGTACATGTTGTGGCGCAGCGCTTGAGGCGCGTCGGGAATTACCCGCACCCGCACATCAATGGCGTCTGTTGGACGCAGCCATCCCTCCGTTGTCAGCACCTCGCCGCGAGCAACTTCGTCCTGCGACACATTTATAATGTTCGCCGCCACGCGAGTGCCGGGCTGCGCTTCGCCCTGTCCCTTCTTGTGCGTCTGCAACCCTCTTATGCGCGTTGACCTTCCGGCGACAACCAATTCCACATCCTGACCGGTCTCAATCTTGCCATCAATCAGCGTGCCCGTGACCACCGTGCCAAATCCCGATATGGTAAACGCGCGATCTATCGGAAGGCGTGGTCGCCCAACGTCTCGTTTTGGCGGCGTATCGTCCAGCATCGAATCTATGGCAGCTACGAGTTCAGGCAAACCCTCGCCCGTCATTGCTGATACGGGATAGATTCCCGCCCCCTCGAGCACCGTGCCTTCTAGCGTTTCCTCCACGTCGGCGGTGACTAGTTCAAGCCAATCCTCGTCAACTAGGTCGCGCTTCGTGATTGCCACCAATCCACGCTGCACCCGAAGCAAGTCGATTATCGCCAGATGTTCACGCGTCTGCGGCATAACTGACTCGTCCGCAGCCACCACCAGAAGCGCGAGATCGATCCCGCCGACGCCGGCAAGCATGTTGTTCACAAAGCGCTCATGCCCCGGCACATCCACGATGCTTATCTCGTTGCCGCTCGGTAGTTGCAGCCATGCGAATCCAAGATCGATGGTCATGCCGCGCTCTTTTTCCTCGCGCAGCCGATCCGGATCGATGCCCGTTAGCGCCTCGACAAGCGTGGATTTGCCATGGTCAACATGCCCCGCTGTTCCAATGACATACATTGCGGTAACTCCGTCTATTGCGTTTCCACTATTCTAATATAGAACATGGCGCAAATATGCGATATATGCAAAATGGCCCTGCAATGCCGATTGCCAGTGCCGATCGTCAGTCCCCATTGATAGTCCACATCGTAGCCTTACATAGACGGCCGCTTCAGGTCAACATTGACGCCGAAAGACGCCACATGTTACCGTTCTCACTGTGCAATTTTCCCTCACCACCGACTTTTCTGTCAGATGCGTGCCTTCATTGGCGCGTTTTTAGAATTGGCGTGCTTTCGTCCGTCATTGTGGCTTCACTGCTAGCTGTCAATGCTTGCGGGTTCCTCTTAAAGGACGAAGAAGTTACGTCCATTCCGCAGACCATTGAGACTGAACAAGGTCCCCGCTCATTTGCCTTCGATGGTGAGTACGTCTGGGTAACTTTGTATGGAGCGCAGACCATCGCCAAGTACAGCGTTGACGGGCAGAACGTTGCAAACTACAAGGCGGGCGCATACCCTCGAGCTCTGGCGTTCGATGGCGAAAATATGTGGGTGGGCAACAGTTCCGAGAACACCATCACCAAGTTGGGATTGAACGGTGAAGTGCTCGACACCGTAAGCATAGGCACACCTGACACTTCGCCCTCTGCGCTGGTGTTCGACGGCGAGAGCATCTGGGTCGCGGCGTCCTGGGGCAACTCGGTTACAAAGGTCAACCTGGATGGCAGCGTTGTCAAAACCGTGCGAATTCCCGGCTATCATCCTTCCCCGTGGGCAATCACTCATGACGGCGCTTCAGTCTGGGTCGCGAGCATGGGCACCAATATGATTAACAGGATGGATACTGACGGCGAACTGACTGGTCTGTTTAAGGTTGCTGACTTGCAGGTGGAATTGGAACAGGCGTGGGGAGGAGGCGGAACCTCCATCACATTCGACGGCGAAAATCTCTGGGTAACTGTGGCTTCGACCGACACCGTCGTCAAGCTTGCGACCGATGGCACGGTATCAGCCAGCTACCCCGTAGGTGACTGGCCGACGGCTGTTATCGTCGCTGGGGGTAGCGTCTGGGTAACCAACTTCCTTGATGCCACCGTTTCTCGCTTAGGGATGGACGGCAGCCTGATCGACACGATTCCGGTTGAACGGGGCCCGCACGCGCTCCTTGAAGTCGGCGACAATATATGGGTCGCCAACTTTCAGGCAGACTCCATCACCGTGCTGCCCATCCAATGAAACCTGTTGTCCGGCTATGAAAATCTAAAATATTGCGAGATCGAGCGTAAATGAGAAATAGATTGCTATTCATTATTGTCGCAGCACTGATAGTCATCGCTGCTGTAGTTGTCATCCTTGCCTACACCTACTTGGATATAGGTCTTGCCCCGAAGAGTGGAGGCGCGCTGCGAGTCGCTTTGCAGTCGTTCAGCGCCGAGACGCTAGACCCCTCACTCGACAACAACGAAGGTCTCAAGTACCACGGTCACTTGTATGATCAATTGGCAGGAGCAAATCCCGAAGGCAGACTGGACACAAGCTTCGGTCTGCTCAGCCGGTGGACGGTGACCTCTGCTGCCGATTCGTTCACCTTGACCTTGAAGGAGGGCGCCATTTGGCACGATGGTGAGCCGGTTATATCAGAGGATGTCCGCTCCAGCCTCGAATATTACTCCCGGGATGATGCGACCTGCGGCGTCTGCGGCATTGTGAAAAACGCCGTCGAGAGCATCGAAATCGTTGACGATAGAAATGTAATTCTAAACCTCAACAAACCAGATGTGGTATTCATGGGACTGCTCGCCCCTGTCGAGGGCGATGTGCCATTGCTTCCGGCGCACTTGCTCGAAGCCGACCCGGCCGTATTGCAGAGCCAACCCGCAGGCAGCGGCCCCTGGCGCTTTGCCGAAAAATCGCAAGGCGCATCCGTCGAGTACGAGGTCAATAAGGATTACTGGAACGCCGACCGAGTTTCGTCATTCGACAGGCTGAGCGTAACGCTTGTGCCTGAAGAGCCTCAGCGTATAGCGTTGATGCAGACCGACAAAATTGACCTTTCACCAATCGGCACGGCAGCCATCCCTGAAGCCAAGAGCAATGGACTTGTTGTGGACGGCCCCAAGCATGTCATATCGACGGCACTGCGTTTCTTCATGAGCTACGATGAGGACTACTTTACATCAAGCCTTGAGTTCCGCAAGGCGCTCGCATTAGCGTAGATATGGCTGAAGATTGTTGAGGCGACTTTCCCGCCGGAGGCAGCATCCGTAGCAACGGGTTCTGCGCTCTTCACGCCCGTATCGCCCGGCTTTCAGGAAGACTTGCCTACCTATCCCTACGACCCAAACGAGGCGCGAAACCTCCTGCAGCAATCCGGCTACGCGGGCGAAACGGTCAACCTGATTTCCCTTGTAGCCTATGGCTTGTCGGAGATGCCTATCATCAACGAGATGATAGCAAAAGAGTGGCAGGCAGTCGGCATAAACGCGAAAGTCGTGCCGACCGAGTGGCCTGCCGTTCAACCTCTGTTCATGCACAGGCCACAGCTATTCGACGACTACGCGCCAGCTCCCGTGTTGCATGGTGCCGGCCCCGCGCGTCCCGGTGGCGACATCAACAGCATCAGGCGCTATATGAGCGGCGCTGACGGTGCCATGCTCACATACTTTGCTCCCAAGGTAGCCGATGCCATTCTCTATCAACTGGAGGTTACGGCGAACGACGATGATCGCGCTCTGGTTCTTCAGGCGCTGAACCGCAAGACCTACGGCGAGTACTGGGCAATCCCCATCCTCTGGCGACACGACACTTACGCATTAACCCCGCCCTGGCCGGCTGGCAGCCCACCAACGGCACAGCGTCCGACCTGCACTTTGAGACCATCCGCCCGGCACAATAATAGCCATTGTGCACAATGGCTATTTGTCTTGTCCCTTCCCCCTTGACAGGCCTATTAGGGGTAGGAAAATATGCAAAACAGCGACAAATGTGCGCTCAAAGTCCCTTCCCCCTTGATGGGGGAAGGTTGGGATGGGGGTGAGTCCGAAGAAAGCAAGCACGGTTATTTTCAATACATACCCTCCTGAGCCCTTCACGGGGGAAGGCTAGTATGGGGGGTGTAGATTGCATTAGACGGCAACGGAGCGTGCCAATAACACCATCTTGAAAGTAACCCTCTGTGATTCCGGCTTACTGCTCCGGCTCCACGATCTCCAACACCTGATTCGCAGAGACATTCTCTATAGTCTGCCTACGTCCGCTCGGCCACAGCACCTCGATCTTGTCAACGCTGTTCGCGCGACCCAGCCCAAACTCCAGGTCGATGCTGTCCATTGACAGATAGCTCGATCCCGCGCGCACCTCCTGCACCTGCGTCCGTTCCCCAGCAGTCAGATAGACCCGCGCGCCCACACCGTCGGCATTGCTGCCGCTCCCATCAATAGCCATGCGCCCCTTCAGTCGCAGCGTAATCCAGCGGTTGTTGCCTCCCGGATTCATCCACACGAAAATCGGCCCGCCCGCCTCACTGAACGAGACCTGCCTCGAGTCCTCCCACAGGCTGCCCTTGCTGTTGGTGCCTATCAGATCTGCGTAGCCGTCCCCGTTCAGGTCGCCATGCACCAGCCCTTTGCCGTTCTCATGAAACATCGGGTCAATTCGGTGAACGCTCAAATCTTTCTTCGGATTTTGTGGATCAATCTTGTCGTATCGCGCCCGTTGCACATCCACGAGCTGGGCGCGCACCGTGATGTCCTCGAACGCGCTCCAAAGCCACATTCCGCATCATCCGTCCCGCGGAGGGGAATACCTCGCCACCCGGAGCCTCACCCCTATCTACCGTAGAGCCTAGCCAGTAGAGGTCTTGGTCCCCGTCATTGTCATAGTCGAAGAATGTCGTCCCGAAGGCGAAGTCGTATGCGCTCAACCCCGTCGGCACCATCTGGCTCTCATCGATCTTCGACACATCCAGCGAGTCCGGCGGCATCAGTGGGCTGGGCGTGACTGCAACTGACGGCGCGACATTGTGGAACGCGCCGATACTGCCTAGGCCGGGCACCTCGCGGATGCCGTCATTCCGCAGCAGATAGTGCAGGCAAGTCCCCCATGCGAACCGCTCGTGATACGCGCAGAAGGGCATCGGCGTCTCCGGCGCAGGCATCAGGCGCGGGTGAAAGCCCACATTCGACACGAATATATCTAGGTCCGCGTCTCCATCGTAGTCGCCAATCGCAAACCCCATCCATGCTCCCACCTTGTCCACTCCCATGTAGCGTGCAACATCCGTAAAGCGCACGCTGCCAGGCACGGAATCATTGCGCAACACATGCAGCCTGTCCCCGTCATTCGCAACCCAAAGGTCCGAGTCGCCATCACTGTCATAATCGAAGAATGTTACCGCCTGCGTCTGCCCGCTTGGATCACCAACACGATTGTCGTGATCATCGCGCAGATTCGGGTCGTACGCCTCATACTCGTCGCCCGTCAACCCATCCCTGTATTTCACCGGCTCACCGTCGCGTTCCCTCATCCACACCTGCGGCCCCTGGACACCCGAAGCCTCGCTGATGTCTGAAAAGGTCAGGTCGCCATTATTGCGGTAAAGCACATTGTACTGTCCGTTCTGGTAAGGCACGCTCATGCCGCGGAACTCATCCTCCGCCAGATTGCCCACATAGATGTCAATCCACCCGTCGCGGTCAACATCAGCGCAAGTGGCGCTCATGGCGGAGCGCCCGTTGACGGCATCTCCAAACGCTGACATTGTAATGTCCGTGAAAGTGCCGTCACCGTCATTCAGCAGCAGCCTGTCTATGTTCTGGTCCCCTTCAGGCTGCGAGCGATAGTCCAGCCTGTCCGTGATGCTCCCCTGCGCGCCCACATAAAGGTCCTGGTAGCCGTCGTTGTTCACATCGCAGGCGACAACGCCGGTGCCGTGCGTCTGTCTCAGTGCTGCTCCTGCGTCGTCCGCAACATTATCGAAGGTGCCGTCGCCGTTGTTGCGATACAGCCAGTTGCCGAACTCGTAAGCATTCGACACGTAGAAATCCATATCCCCGTCACGGTCGTAGTCGAAGATCACCACACCCGGACGGATATTCCACGACTCCTGCAGCCCCTTCAACGCAGACTGCGTAACATTCACGAAAGGGCGAATTTCATCAGCGTTCGAGGAAACTCCGGTAGCAACGGGGTTGCCCTGCTGGCACCCGATCAAAAAAAGCGCCGCCGCCACAAGCAACGTGACGGCGGTATTTTTCACTAGCACAGTCATTGGTATATCAAGCGACGCCGCGCATCGCTGCAAGGTTAATCAGCCCCACGCAGCCGAGGATCGAGCATGTCTCTAAGCGCGTCCCCGAAGATATTCGAGCAGAGCACCACGATTGTAATCATCAGCCCGGGCGCATACACAAGGTGCGGATTGTCTGTAAAGTAACTGGCTGCCCTGATGAGCAGGTTGCCCCAGGACGAAGTAGGAGGCGCGATGCCAATTCCCAGGTAGCTAAGAGATGCCTCGATGACGATTGCGTTCCCTATATTCACCGCAAGCATCACGATCCAGGGCGCCCAGGAATTTGGTACCAGATGCCGCAGGATGATGCGCTTGTTTGTTGCCCCAATCGCGCGGCTGGATGATGCCTTCAGGTGGATTGCGCCAGCGATCTATTGCATACACCACATCATCTAGGGTGAAAGGTTGCCCGTCGTGGTACTCTGTGAGGTCCTTGTCTATGTGGAATACGTAGGTCTGGTTATTGTCCATAACCTCCCATGATTCCGCCATATCCGGCCAGATTTCCACACCGTCCCTTGGGGAGAACTGCAGCAATCCGCTGTACGCCCTTCCCCCATAATGGAACAGCGAAATCCAGGTACTGGTCTGAGTGAAGTCCCATTTGGGCGGGAAGCCATCATTCAGCACCCGAAGGTGACCGCCCATCTGGATGCCGTCCGATGTCATGGCTGCAGGAGCTGCTGCGGGCGCGGCAGTTGCCGCTGCGATCGCGGGTGGAATCGGCGTCGGCGGGAAAGTTGGCGTTGCGACGGGTTGCGACGGTGCTGCGGCGCCTCCGTCTTCGGGCGCACTCCGCAGGCAAGGGCGAATGCCATTACTGCAGACCAGTGCCAGACTCAACCAAATGGTCGGATCATTAAACCTTTATGCAGTCTGCTGCTATGCATGTCTGCTGCGCCCTCCTGCCAAAACTTTGCTTTGAGTTTCACAAAAATAGGCCCTAACTACACTCTCACTGATGAGTATGTATGACATCTTCAGCGAACAAGTTTGTTAAGGGCCTGCCAGTAGGAATGCCGCGGGGAATGTGGACAATGGTTAAAGTGAACTTATAATTCATCATAGGTAGATTGTCAACCCTAATATTAAACATCGCGCCAAGGTCTTCCGGACGCCGTTCAGCGGCATATCGAATGCCCGTACGCCATTGTTGGAGTTGGATTTTCAACCAGAGCTATAAGGGGCTCAGTTGCAGGTATCTTTGATCTAAAGCTGCCGCAACCTTGGATCCCAGCGGTCACGCAGCCAGTCACCGATGAAGTTGAACGCAAGCACCGTCAGGAATATCGCCATTCCGGGGAAGAAGGCAACCCACCACGCGGAAGCGAGGTAGTCGCGCCCATCCGATACCATGGAACCCCAGGACGGCGTTGGCGGCGGTACGCCCGCGCCCAGGAAGCTGAGAATAGCCTCCGCGAGGATTATGCTGCCCACCTGAAGCGTCGTTGCCACAACGATTGTATTCGTCACGCCCGGCAGGATATGGCGATACATTATACGCGGCGTTGACGCGCCCGCAATCTTCGCAAGCGCCACATAGTCGAGACTCTTCAACTGAAGTGTCTGCCCGCGTACCAGGCGCACAATCACTTATCGGAGCGTGGTAGCAACGCACCTAAGGGCAAACAATAACCCATTAGCAGCGATATTGACCGACAATGTGACTATTTACATCATTATGAAGCCGCGCAATCCCAAATCATCCTAGGGCAAAAGGCATACGACGCGGCCTATTTTCCAAACACCTCCTCTGATCTCGCTGCTCCACCATCCGCGCGAACAACTCGTGGACGCGCGGGTCGTCCGTCAGTTCGGGGTGAAATGCCGTCGCCAGCATCCTGCCCTGCCGCACGGCAATAGGACGCCCGTCGTCCCAGAGCCGCCAGCACCTTCACGGATTCGCCCACGCGGTTGACGACCGGGGCGCGTATGAACACGCAATGGAACGGCGCCGCCCTCGATCTCCTGAAACTCAATGTCAGCTTCAAAGCTGTCCACCTGCCGCCCGAAGGCGTTGCGGCTTACGTCGATGTCCATAAGACGCAAAGGTTCAGGGCGACGGTCTGTGAGTCGGTCGGCTACGACAATCATGCCGGCGCAAGTGCCCCAGATCGCCATACCCGCCTGCGCCCTCTCCCGCAGCGCATCCCGAAAGCCGTAGATGTCTATCAGTTGGACGATCGTGGTGCTTTCGCCACCGGGGATAATCAGCCCGTCGATCTCGTCTAACTGATGGGGCAGTCGTATTTCGGGCGCGTCAATCCCCAGCCGAAGCAGTGCCTGCCTATGCTCCAGGAAGTCACCTTGTACCGCAAGAACCCCGATTCTTGGCTCTTTCCTCGACAAATTACCAGCCTCGCGTCGCAAGCTGCTCCTCTTCGGGCATGGTGCGAATATCCAGGCCTGGCATCGCCACGCCCAATCCTCTGGACACCTCCGCCAGAATCTGCGGGTCGTTGTAGTGCGTGGTCGCCTTCACGATGGCTTCCGCCATTATCTGCGGGTATTCGGACTTGAATATGCCTGAACCGACGAACACGCCGTCAACGCCAAGCTGCATCATCAGCGCCGCATCCGCGGGTGAAGCGATTCCGCCCGCCGCAAAGTTGACCACAGGCAAATTGCCCGTCTCGTGAATCTCTCGCACAAGTTCGTATGGAGCGCGCAGGTCTCTTGCTGTCGCCATAAGCTCGTCGCCGGTCATATTCTGGATGCGGCGAATCTCGCCTATCACCTGGCGCGCATGGCGGACCGCTTCCACAATGTTGCCCGTGCCGGCCTCGCCCTTGGTGCGAATCATCGCCGCGCCCTCACCGATGCGGCGCAGAGCCTCTCCAAGGTCGCGACAGCCGCACACGAAAGGCACGCTGAAGTCGTGCTTGTTGATGTGATTGTTCTCGTCGGCGGGCGTCAGCACCTCGGACTCGTCTACGTAGTCCACGCCAAGCGCCTCAAGAATCTGAGCCTCCACGAAATGACCGATGCGCGCCTTCGCCATCACCGGAATCGTTACCGCGTCTATAATCTCCGCAATCATGGACGGGTCCGACATCCGCGCGACACCACCCGCGCTCCGAATGTCGGAAGGTACGCGCTCCAGCGCCATCACCGCGACAGCCCCCGCGTCCTCCGCAATCTTCGCATGCTCTGCGGTCACGACGTCCATAATCACGCCGCCCTTCAGCATCTGCGCCAACCCTGACTTCACCCTGAAAGTACCCGTCTCTGCAACCATATCAACTGCCATGAGACCCTCCGCTACGCACTTGTATCTTCACACCTATTTGAACAGCATAGATAACAGCTGCCCGCCTACCAATGAACGGTGTGGTTCTTTGCGTTTGTTCGAACCTGCATCTTCAAACTACCACTCCGCATCCTAAACTTTAAGCTCCAATTGACGACCGGACCCGAAAATATAGGTCAACCTCTTGTCAATTCTTAATTGTTACCGTGCCCGTGCTCCTATCAGAGCCCACAATGTCGCCTTCGCCATCCTTTTTTGGTCCCCGCTCAGGGTCGGAAAAGCCCTCCCAGCCCGGTCGGGGCATATTTAGTCCCACGCGTGCCAATAGTCGAACCGTCTGGATTGTTGTGGAAATGATTGGAGTATAAGTAAGCGCAATCCTAGATGAACGGTGAACACATAGTCAATCACCAATCCATAAATATCGTCAATTTACGGGCGGATTGTGATTTGCGAATTGTAAAATTCGGATTGTGAATAATTGCACTCTCGCCTATTGCCAGCAATATTAGACGAATGTCGCGCACAAAGTCAAGGAACGCTCCACAAGCCACAGGGCCTTCTATTTTCATTTCAATCGCAAGTTGCGGAGTGGCGAATCTCGAATCCTTGCCTAGTACCATGCCTGCGCTGTCGATATGATTTACCCACCCCGCCAGTCAACTGAAAAATCGAAGTCTCTCCACCATATATGTGCGTTTGGGGCGTCAATTCTGCCCGTCTGCTATCACATTCACCCTTAACCCGCTCTTAACGCAGGAACTCGCAAACATTCCTGTTGTGCGCCTTGCCCGTCTGATGTAAAATGCACTCTAGGTCTAACTACTATGGCATGCTTCCTTAATAAGGATAGTATGCTCATATTGAAACGCACTTTTAAGGAGGGGGCGACAATGGCGAATGACGTTGCTCTAATTGCCCATTTAATGCGCCGTGCGGGTTTCGGCGCTTCCAGGGCGGAGCTGGACGAGCTGGCATCGAAAGGCTACAAGGCTGTCGTGGATGACCTCGTGAACCCGGAACGCTTCCCGGAGCTTGAAGAGGATGTCTGGAAGCGTTACAACCTGGAACTGAGCTACAACGACTCCCTGCAGGCACACGCCGGACGCTGGATATACCGCATGGTCAACACTCAGCGTCCCCTTCAGGAAAAGGTGGCGCTCCTCTGGCACCATGTCTTCGCCACCGCTTGGTACAAGGGCGAGCATGTGCCCTCCATAGTCCGGCAGATAGAAACTTTCCGTGATGTCGGCATGACCGATATGAGGACTATCCTGCTTGAGCTGGCAAGAGACCCGGCAATGAACTACTGGCTGGACAACTGCGAAAACCACAAGGGCGAGCCGAACGAGAACTGGGGCAGGGAACTGCTTGAACTGTTTTCCATGGGCGTCGGTCACTACTCCGAGGAAGACATCAAGAACGCCTCACTCGCATTCACTGGCTGGACTTTCACCCAGCCCATCCCGCTGTACCCCTTCGGCAGCTACGACACCGAATTCCTGTATGTCCCCGAAGACCACGACGATTCGGAGAAGACATTCCTCGGCGAGACCGGCAATTTCAACGGCGAGGACATTATAGATATTGTCGTTCGACAGCCGGCAACCGCAGCATTCATCTGCCGCCATATCTACAACTTCTTTGTCGCCGACGAGCCACAGGTTCCTTCGTGGGAGCTGGAGCCTCCGCGCGACCCCGAAGCAATGGAGACGCTCATCACCGCATACTTCGAGAATGGCGGTCAGATCAAGCCGATCTTGGAGACACTGTTCAAGTCTGACTTCTTTAAGGAAGCGCAGTTCAAGAAGGTCAAGAGTCCGTCCGAGCTAGTCGCCGGCACTATCAAGCTCGTTGGAACTTACAAGTTCCCCGAGCCTAACGAGGCAATCGGCGCGCTTGGCGGCGCAACCTCCGTGATGGGGCAGCAACTGATGAACCCACCCACGGTAGAAGGCTGGCACACAGGCCACGAATGGATTGACGGCGGGACGCTAAACGAGCGCATTAACTTCGCGGTCAACCAGCTCAACGACCTCTCGAAGCCCGGCGTTCAGGACATCGTAGCCCGCATGAGCGCAGAGAGCGACGACGGCAAGCTCGCCCCGGAGCAGTTTGTCGAAATGTCCCTTGAACTCGCTGGCCATGTCGAGGTCGATGGAAGCACAAGGGAAGGGCTGAATCGTTACGCGCAAGCGGTAGGTGACCTCAGCTTCGACACAGAGCAGGATGCCAACAATAGCGCATCCACATTGGCAGGATGCTTCAGCTCATCGTTTCCACCCGCGAGTACCAGTTCGCCTAACATAAAGAATATCGCCATGTATCCAATGTTGACAGTTACAGGCAAGCAAGCAAAAGGAGGCACACGAGATGCCAGCCAACGGTAACGGAAAAGACCCGGTCATGATTGTAGTGCAGCTTTCGGGCGGCAACGACTTCATGCACACTCTCATCCCGTACAACAGCCCGACCTACTACGACAACCGCAAGTTGGTCAAGATTGATCGCGAGGAAGTGCTGCCGATCAACGACGACCTCGCCTTCAACCCCAACTTCCGCCCAGTCAAGGACATGTTCGACGAGGGCAAAGTTGCGGTGGTACAAGGCATCGGCTACCCCAACTCTAACCGCTCCCATTTCCGCGGCATGGACATCTGGCACACCTGCGAGCCGGACAAGGTCGTAACCGAAGGCTGGGTCGGCAAGGCCCTCCGCGAACTCGACCCCAATGGCGAGGACGAGCTTACCGGCATCAACTTCGGCATCGGCTTGCCTCGCGCGATGGCAGTCCCCGGTGTGCCTGTTACCTCCGTCAACGACCTCGACAGCTACGGCCTCCTAACCGGCATCGGCGAGGACGATCAGCGCGATCAGGCACTCCAGATTTTCAAGGACATGTACGCGCAGGCGATAGGCACAGGCCCAGTGATGGAATACCTCTCCCGCACCGGCATGGACGTCCTTCGCGGCGCCGACAGGCTGAAGGCTGCCCCCGCGCAGTACAGCTCCAGCGTCGAATACGGCGACAACGCGATAGCCAAGAGCCTGCGAGACATCGCAAGGGTGCATACCACCGGACTTGGCACACGTATCTTCTATACCAGCCACGGCGGTTACGACACACACGCCAACGAGAACCCGACGCATCCTAAGCTGCTTCAGGACCTCTCCGGCGCGGTCCGCGACTTCTTCGACGACCTCAACGAGCACGACGCCGCTGACAACGTGGTGATGCTCGTTTTCACCGAGTTCGGTCGCAGAATCAAGGACAACGGCAGCGGCACCGACCACGGCTCCGGAGGCGGCGCGTTTATTATCGGCGAGTCGGTTAACGGCGGCCTCTACTCCGAGTACCCGTCCCTCAGTCCCGAAACATGGGCGAAGGGCGAGGACCTGGAGCACACGATTGACTTCCGCGGCATCTACGCCACCATGCTTGAACAATGGATGGGCATAGACGCCCCCGAAATCGTGAACGGTCACTACGAGCAGATCACCCCATTTAAGTAAGAGTTAATCAGTCGGTCGGTTAGTCGATGTATCGGCTGCCGACCGACTTTCTTATTTGTACATTCAAGTGAGCGGTTGAGTAAACTCCGTTCGTCGTGACCCCGTCGAAGGACAGGATGGTTCGGCAACTCTGTTGATGTTAACCACGCCCATTTAAGTACCTATTGAGAAGTACCGATTGACTGACCTACCGAAGAACTGATAAACCAAAAAACTCTGCGAGGTGCAACAATGGCCAGACCATACGGAATGCTCAGGTCAGGCTTCCCTTATTACATGACTCTCGGCATGCGCCGGGTTACTTCCAACGCAGTTGACATCGCCTTCGGCAAAGATGAGCGCGTGTATATCCTCTGTCGAGGCGGACTCGGCAACGAAATTAGGCGCATCAACTGGGCCGACGACAATCTCGGCACCATCGGCACAGGCACATTCCAGTGGCCTTCCGGCTTGCTCTGCGATGATGACGAACTGCTGTATGTCTCCGACGAGGCGCACAACAAGGTCTTCATCTTCGACAAAGACGGCGAGCAGCAGGCAAGTTGGGGTGAGAAGGGTGGCGGCGAAGGACAATTCAATCGCCCGACAGGAATGTCCTTCGACAACGATGGCAACATCGTCCTCTCCGACACCCTGAATCACCGTGTACAGACATACACTAAAGACGGCAAGTTCCTATCGCAGTTCGGCGAATTCGGCGACGGCAAAGGGCAGTTGAACATGCCTTGGGGCGTAACCGTTGACGACGAAGGCGACATATACGTTGCCGACTGGCGCAACGACCGCATGCAGAAGTTCACGCCCGACGGCGAGTTCCTGATGGAAATTGGCGGTTCCGGCGACGACAAGGGCGAGTTCGACCGCCCGACTAGCGTTGCCGTCGATGCGGACGGTGATATCTACGTCTCCGACTGGGGCAACGACCGTGTGCAGCTCTTCGATGCTGAGGGCCGCTTCGTCGAGCAGTTCATAGGCGACGCCAGCCTCTCCCGCTCCGCTCGCGAGTACATCCTTGCCAACCCGGTAACGCTTCGCCTGCGCGAAATGGCAGACCTCGAAGCCACCAAGCGCCTGCGCGCTCCACTGACAGTGCGCGTTGACGAGGAAAACAGGCTGTACATCACTGACTTCGGCTCGCACCGCATCCAGATTTACAAGAAGGAGGCCTACCCGCTCAACGAGCGGGAAATAGCGCCGCCTCTGCGAAACCCCATACTATTCACCACCTAGTCCGGCATATACCGCGATCTACCTTTCAAGCCAACTACTGAGGGGCGGGACATCAACCCGCCCCTCAACTTATTTGATGGGCGAGTAGGTCATCCCCACACCTCAAACCACTGATGTCAATGTAATGTACCAACCGCCCCAATTCACGCTCGCCGACATTCACCGCCGCACGCACCGCACCACTGCTACACGCATTTTCTATGTGCTGCGCCGCTGGCCTATCATCCCAATCCTCATCATCGTAGCTCTCGTTACCTGCGCCGCCTTCGCCGAATACATCTCACCCAGCCTGCCCAACCGTCAGGACCTTCGCGACCGCACAGCCGCGCCCTTCTGGTACCCGCAATGTGTCGGCGACGAAAAGCCCTATTTCGACTACTGCAGCAGAGGCGGCAAGTACATTCTCGGAGCCGACCCGCTGGGGCGTGATGTGCTGTCTCGCATCATCCACGGCGCTCGCATCGCGCTGACGCTCGCGGTGATTAGCATAACCATCGGTACGCTGGTCGGCACGACGCTCGGCTTGGCGGCAGGTTACTTTGGACAGAGTCGTTGACGAGGTGATAATGCGCATCACGGATATGATAACCGCCGTACCATACCTCTTGCTTGCGCTAATAATCATTGTCGTCCTCGGCCAGAAATACATCGTAATCGTGGGGGTGCTTGCTCTGGCAAGCTGGCCCGAAGTCGTGCGGCTTGTGCGCGGCCAAACCCTCCAGTTGAAAACGCTGGACTATGTCGCATTGGCGAAGGTATCCGGCGCTTCCGCATTCCGCATCTATATAGGCATATCCTGCCAGGCGTCACGAACACGCTTGTCATAGCGACCACGCTGCAGGTTGGCGCCATCATCCTTGCCGAATCGATTCTGGGATACCTCGGTGCTGGCATCCCGCTTCCCGCTCCCGCATGGGGTTCTATGATAGCTTACGGACGCGACTATCTGGACGACGCCTGGTGGGTCGCGTTCTTCCCCGGCATGGCATATTCCTCACTGTGCTCGCCTTCAATTTTCTCGGCGACTGGCTGCGCGATCGCTGGGACACCCGCCTCCGCCAGATCCCCTGACATAAAGTCCCTTTCGCCCGATGAGGGAAGGTCAGAGCCTGTCCTGAGCTTGCCGAAGGAATGGGGCGAAATACACCATCTGTCCCTTTCCTATCCATCCTGTACCCTGTACATTCTGTTAACTCCTGGCATTGACATTTCGCTCGCCTGTGCTAAACTCATGGTAGCGAACATATATTCTTACACAGGAGAGCCGCAATGCTCATTAAGCACACGCCGGACACCTTTGAAAAACTTCACATCCTCGGCGGCATGGCAAGTGACGACATTCTCTCACGCCCCGCCGCCCGGCAGCCGAACCGCCGCGCCCTACACATCCGCGCGCCGCAATCCCGTTCCCGGCGTCTATAAGGCAGCAATGCCAAACGGGAAGTTCATCAGCCTCATGCGCGTCATGTTCACCGACTTCTGCAAGATGGACTGCTTCTACTGCCCCAACAGCCACTGGGTCCCCCGAAAGCGCTACGCCTTCAAGGTCGATGAGCTCGCCAACGCCTTCATGGAAATGCGCCGACGCCACACGGTCAACGGCCTCTTCCTCAGCTCCGGCATCGCCGGCAGCGGTTCCAAGACCACCGAACGGCTGCTCAAAGTTGTGGACGCGATACGCAACAAGCACGGCTTCAAAGGCTACATCCACATGAAAGTAATGCCCGGCACCGAGTACCAGTTCGTCGAGGAAGCATACAGGCTCGGCACTCGCCTCTCAGTGAACATCGAAACGCCTACCCACGAAATGATGACACGCCTCAGCACAATGAAAGACATGCAGCGCGACATACTCGACCCAATGAGCTGGGTTGCCGACCTGATGCGCCGCAACAGGGCCAATGGCAAAGGCGCGACCGTCGGGCAGGCGACACAGATGGTCGTGGGCGCGGCAAATGAATCAGACTGGGACATCTTCAAGCGAATGGAGCAGCTCTATGGCGAGTGGAACTTCAAGCGCGTCTATTACTCCCCCTTCCAGCCCATCCGCCACACGCCCCTCGAAGAGCATCCCGCAACACCCATGGTCAGAGAGCATCGCTTGTACCAAGCTGACTGGCTCAGCCGCGTGTACAAGTTCACCAGCGACGAGATGCGCCTCGCCTACGACGACAACGGCTTCCTGCCCCACGACGAAGACCCAAAGCAATCCATCGCAGTGCAGAACCTTGACGCATACCCCCTCGATGTGAACGTAGCAACAAAAGAACAGCTTCTGCGTGTCCCAGGCGTAGGCCCCACATCAGCAGATCGCATCCTGAAGAACCGCCACGCTCACAGCATCGACAACTGGCGCGACCTTCAGACTATGGGAGTCGTCCGCAAACGCGCCTGGCCCTTCCTGCGCTTCCCCGGCCATCGCCCACCCCGCGCCAAGCAGCTCAAGCTCGACCTCTTCAGCGAAGGCGCAAAACATGCCCGCAAAATAGAGGTAGCATCCCATCTCGGCATAACGCAGACCCAGCCATCTTACAACCCATCCACCTGCGGCAACTCCACGCAGCCAACATCCTGCACCGGCTGCCCTCTCTACGGCGCCCCCGGCCATCCCGGCAGCGCAGCGGCATAACAAAGAGCTACACCAGCCTCACAAACCGCCGCCTACCCGCACGCAGCACGCAGCCCGCTGCGACACCGGAAGTAGAGTCCTCGTTGACGCGCTCACCATCAATCTGCACCGCTCCTTGGTCGATGAGCCGTCTCGCCTCGCCCGCACTGTTTGCGAGCCCGGCGTCAACCAGCAGGCGGCTCAACCGCATGTCGGCAAGCTCCTCGGAAGGCGGCAGCGCGAACTCGGCTATATCCTCCGGCAACTCCCGCCCCTGCACAGTCCGCTCGAAATGCCCCTCCGCCTCGCGCGCCGCATTCGCATCGTGGAACTGCGCCACAAGCTCCCGTGCCAGCCGCTTCTTCAGCTCCATCGGATTCACTGAGCTGCCGCCCAGTGCTTGCCGCATCTCGTCAATCTCATCTTCGGCAATGTCCGTAAGATACTCGCTGTACGGCACGATCTGGTCGTCCGGCAGCGACATCGCCTTGCCGTAAATCTCGTTTGCAGGCTCGTCGATGCCGATATAGTTCCCAAGGCTCTTGCTCATCTTCTGCACGCCGTCCGTCCCCGGTAGCAATGGCATCAGGAAGCACTGCTGAGGCGTCTGCCCCATCATCTGCTGCAAGTCCCGTCCGACAAGCAGATTGAACATCTGGTCGGTCCCCCCGAACTCCACATCCGACTCGATTGCCACCGAGTCATACGCCTGCAGCAGTGGGTACAGCAGTTCAGTTATGGCTATGGGCTGGTTCGCCTTGAATCGGCTGGCGAAGTCGTCGCGCGCTAGGAACTGCGCCACCGTGAACCGGCTCGTCAGACTAATCACATCCGTCAGCGAGAAATCGCCGAACCACTCGCTCTGCCAGCGCGTCTCCGTCCTGTCCCTGTCCACAATCTTGAAGAACTGCGCCATATAGGTAGCAGCGTTCTCGCGCACCTGCTCCGCTGTCAGCATAGGGCGAGTAGCAGACCTTCCGCTGGGATCGCCTATCTGTGCCGTCCAGTCTCCCCACGATAAGCACAACCTTGTGCCCCAGGTCCTGGAGTTGCCGCAACTTCCGCAGCCCGACCGCATGCCCCAGGTGAATGTCAGTCGCGCTGGGATCGAAGCCCATCTTCAGGCGCAGCGGCTGGCCGCCCTGGAGACGTTCCACGAACTCCGACTCCACGATAATCTCAGACACGCCCCGCTTGAGCACGCGGCGCATTACATTCTCGTCATTGATAGCGTCTGACAACAAGATGGCACACCTCTGTAATGTTCGGCATCCAGTATTTGCAGAATTCGAGGGTAGGGGACACGTATTCCCGTACTGCGCTGAAGCGTCTTGCTCGCTGCTCACCGTTTCGCTGGCAATTATATCGCAAAGAAAGGAGGCGGGCGCAACACATGCTGCGACCGCCTCCTTGAATTGCCCATTAGTCCCGCACTTTCGGTTGTTGACCGAAGGCTGCGCCCCTAATTTCTAAGGGTCATTTAACAGCCGATTATTGTTCGCGGGTCCGCCGGTCTTGGCCTCCCCTGCCGGCTTTATCTATCGGAACTACCCTTCTATCAACGCTAGCGTTGACTACCGTCCCTGAAACCGGCAGGGGCATGACACGGGAATTTCCAGTTATGATTCAGAACTAGTTGTCTAACCATAGCCATCCTCCTGTCAGCCTGACGAATTGCCAGGGCGGTCAATGCAGGGCCTCATGCCCCTCAACTCCACCGTAGCAAGTACATGCCGCGATGTCAACATCGTAGGAGACATTCTTTTGGACTATTCAGTACCTCTGTCCAAGAGCCATCTCCGGAAGTCGTCACTGTCTAATTCGGCAGCACCGCGACATTCGTCCAGTAGTTCAGCAGGTCGCGCACCTTCGTATTGAACTGATGCACATCGACCGGCTTAGTGATGTAACTGCTGATGCACTTGCTGTACGCGTATTCAAGGTCCTCTTGAGACTGCGATGTCGTCAACACGACCACCGGAATGCTGCTCAACTCAGGAAGTTTTTCCAGCTCGGCGAGAACTTCCCGTCCGTCCATGACGGGCATGTTCAGATCAAGCAGTATCATATCCGGTCGCGGCGCATCGGCGGACCCTCCCTCACGCCTGAGAATGTTCATCGCTTCCTGCCCGTTACTCGCCACAGTGAAGTTCACATGAAATTCTGCGTCTTCCAGTATCAGCTGTATAAGACGTACATCTGCAGGGTTGTCCTCGACCAGCAATATTTCAAGCGGCCTGCTGGCATGCCTTCTGTAAGTAGTCACGTCCGTATCCTTAATGCCATCAGTGACTGCCTGGACGGTTTGCCCGGTTCGTGGCCCGGTCTATGGCCCGGTTTGTGGCCAAGTTCGTAGCCATGTTTGTAGGTAAACACGGCCCGCGGCCTAACTGCCGCCGAAAGGCCACCACCACCGGCGCTTGCCGCCCGACGACTCTGCTTGGCTCTCAGCCTGTCCCGCCGGCGGGCCCAGGCTTATCGGCTGCCGACTGAACATTCCGAGCTGACCCACCACGTTGTTGAAACGCTGCAACTCGATTGGCTTGCGGCAGAAGCGGCTGGGTGGGATGTTGTATGCGTTGAGAAGGCTCTGCTCTGCCTCTGTCCCCGTAAGAATCATCACAGGGATGTTCACAAGTCCTTCGTCAGAGTTGATCTCCGCAAGTACCTCGGGCCCGTCCTTGCGCGGTAGCCGCAGGTCAAGCAGTATAAGGTCCGGACGGGGAGTGTCGCCGTAATCTCCTGTGCCGTGCAGCATCTCCATTGCGATGACGCCATCCTCCGCAACTGTGATGTTCGTCGTGTGTTCCGATTGCCTGAGTACCTCCTCCGTCAACCGCACATCGGCAGGATTGTCTTCCACCAGCAGAATCTCGATCGCTCTGTCCTCTGTTGCTGAGGTCATGTTGCCGTCTCCTTTCCCTTTAATCCTCTACAACCGGCAGCGTGAAGCTGAAAGTTGACCCGTTTCCAGGCTCCGATTCGACCCAAATCTTCCCCATATGCCGTTCCACGATCTTGCTGCATATCGCGAGTCCGATTCCAGTCCCCGGATACTCGCCCCTCCCATGCAGTCGCTTGAACATACCGAATATTCGTTCACTGTGCTGCGGGTCTATCCCAATGCCGTTGTCAGAAACCGACATCACCCACGACTCTCCGACCTGTACACTCGATATGTGAATTTTCGGTGGATTCTCGGCGCGGAATTTGATCGCATTGCTGATTAGGTTCTGGAACATCTGCGAAAGTTGGTTGATGTCTCCTTGCACCTTGGGCAACCTGTCATGCGTAACCCGAGCATCAGCCTCTGACATGGCGACTCGTAGATTGGACAACGCATGCTCCAGGGCGCTTGAACTCTCTACCGGCTCCAGGGGCCTACCCTGTGTACCCACGCGGGAGTATTCCAGCAGATCGTTGATGAGAATCTTCATCCGCTCCGAGCCATCCACCACATATCCGATGAACTCATCAGCAGTCTCGTCTAGTTGACCTGAATATCGGTCAGAGAGCAGTTGCGTAAACCCTGAAATAACCCGGAGTGGCTCCTGAAGGTCGTGCGAGGCAACATAAGCGAACTCTTGCAGCTCCGCGTTTGACCGCGCCAGTTCATCTGCCTGCCGTGCCAGCTTCTCCTGCGCCCTCTTGCGCGGCGTAATGTCGTTGGAGTAAATCCGAATCTCCTTGATTGTGGGGATATACACTATGCGTTGCTGGTAAGTCTCTTCCCCGACATCAACTTCACGAGAATGAAATCCACCGCCTGCCGTCAACTCTTCGATTATCTCGTTGATATCCTTCATGATGGGATGGCGTGGTCCCAAATCCGTCAAGTTTGGAAAGCGCTGACGCGCAATCGGGTTACAGTAAGTAATAGACCCATCCAGATTCGCCTCGATCACCGGATTCGGGTTGTGCATCGGGAAAGTCGCCAGCCTGCTCTGCTGAGCGAACAACTGCGTGTTTGCTACTGCGGCCGCTACCAGCCGCGCAACCTGTGTCAGCATATCGACATCCCGCTGACCGTAAGCATTCTCCTTCAGCGAGCGAACATTGAGCAGCCCGATGACCTCATTCTTGAATATCAGAGGCGCCATAACCACGGAGCGCATGTTGTGGAACACCATCGAAGGGTAGCGCGCCCTGAGCACATCGGCGCTGCCCTGAACCAAATTAGTCCGTGCGGTTCGTACTACGTCTTCCGCCGGCGTGTCCAGCACAGAAAACTTCTCGCCAACGCGACGCCCTTCTGCTTCAAGCCCAATCACATAAGTGTTGGTCAGCGTGTCGTCTTCCCGGTCCAGGAGGCTGAGTGATATCCGGTCGAACGTTATCAGCTTCTGGACCTGGTCGGCAAAGTCATCATAGACCTCGTTGATGTCCATAGAAGACGAGATTACCCTGCTGATTTCCGCGAAGAGCGCCTGCTCTTGTACCAGACGCTGCTCTAAGCGCAGAGTCTCTTCGAGCGCAGTCTGCGTTTCCACCTGCTTTGCGTATAGCAACGAGTTGGCTAAGGCTCCCGCAATCTGCGAAGCAACCCTCTCTGCCAGTTCAAGGCTGTGCTCACTATAGGCATTTGGGTCGCTCGACCTGAAGTGCATCGTGCCGATAATCTCGTTCCGAGATATGAGAGGCACGGCAACCAGCCATCTCAACCCCTTCATTAGGACTGGGGACTGGTTGATGAACCTCTCTTGGTCTAGCTGCTCGGAGTCGGGGCTGAAAACCAGGCCGCTTCGATTCTTGACAATCCAATCAGTAGGCGAATCAGCAAGCGGCCTGACAAGCCCCGGTGCCCACTCAGGGATATTCTCCCCAGACTGGTACAGCGTAACTACCGTTCCGGAGTCGAGGTTGATGGTGTTGATCACCAGCCGATCGAATGGGATGACGTTACGAACTTGCGAGGCGAAGCCCTCATAGACATCATGGATGTTCGGAGAGGAACTGATGACGCGACCAATCTCCGCGAAAATTGCGTACTCGGCTGCCACGCGCCGCGCCTCAGAGACGGTATCCCGAAATATCGTCGGCGCTATACCTGCGGAATCGTCGTCCGTGCTTCCATGTCGGTCAGGCCGCTCTTGCATTAGTAACCCCCGTCGTTTTGAACTTCGGGCTACGGTTTCGCCGCAAGCAATCTTCGCGTTTGCTCTACATCCAGCTCCATCTGCTCTAGTAGCGCATCCACGCTGTCGAATTTCAATTCATCGCGCAGACGCTGTACGAATTCCAGCCGTAGTTTCCTATTATACAGGTTGCTGTCAAATTCCAATAGGAACGCCTCTATCGTGCGTCCTTTACCGTCGAAAGTGGGTCGTGTGCCGATGCTTGTCGCCGCCATGTGGCGCTCACCATCCACGAATGCCAGTGTCGCGTAAATACCATTCCCCGGAACCACCATATCCAGTCCGACCTCAATGTTAGCGGTAGGGAACCCCAGTGTCCTGCCCCTCTTGTCGCCAGTTACCACAGTGCCGCTTATCGAGAAGTTCCGCCCCAGCTTCTTTGCCATATCCTTGACATTGCCATCCACAAGCGCCTTTCTGATGCTGGTGCTATGCACAGCGTCACCACCATCCGACAGCAGGTCAACCACGCTCACCGAAAAGCCTAGCTCAGCCCCCATGTCCGACAGCATATCGACGTTGCCCTCGCGCTTGTACCCCATGGCGAAGTCAGGCCCCACCACAAGGCCTCGCATTCGCAGCTTGCTGCGCAGCAGTTCGGTGAACTTCCGGGCGCGCAGCCCCGCAATCTCCATGTCGAAAGTCACAGGCACAACAAAGTCGATTCCTAGGTCCTTGATGAGACGGATTCGTTCCGCAATGCTCGTGATGTACTGCGGCTGAAAGTTGGGATTTAGCACCGAATCCGGGTGGTTTCGGAATGTAAGCACACCAGCGGCGGCGCCCTTCGTCTTCGCCTCCGCAACGACCTTGGCTAAAAGGCTCTGATGACCGCGATGCACGCCGTCAAAGACTCCGATGGTCAGCACCGAGTCCCTGTCGATGTGCGTCTGAGCCAGCTCCTGCTCGATTCGCATTGCGCCTCAATCTACCGGATTCTGTGTGTGGTCAACCCAAACCGCTCCGACCGCTGCACACTCCGGGTTTGCCGCCGCGAAACCTTGCTGAAAGGTAAGTGGAGTATATCAGACCCATAAGCCGTGCTTCCATAATTTTCGACTCGTTGAACGCCGCCTTCCGAAATCCGCCAAGCCATCAATATCCCGTTCGTCATGATGACATGAAAATCCACGAAGGTGCGGCTCAATCCCGTTCGCAGATGGGGCCAGTCGAACCACCTTGAGAAAAGCCTCAGCGCATTACTACCGACTGAACCTATGCGTCAGCAGCAGCAGGCTAACCGGCAATATCAGCGCAGTTGCCCCTCCCATAATCAGCATCGTCGCGCTCAGGCTGTATGTATCTGCAATCAATCCGTACCCGATCGGTGCAATGACCGTGCCGATCTCGTTCGTAGTGTAGAAAAACCCATAGAATCTGCCACGCCTGTTCGCCGGTACATACTCCGCCACCGTCGCGTACAGAATTGAAGATGTGCCGTTCAGCCCGATCCCCAGCAGCACCAGCAGCGGGATCATCACCGTCATTGGCGCATACAGCGCCAACACTATGAGCACTGCTGTCAGGCCCTTGGTCGCCCACACCAGACTCACAATGCTAAAGCGGTCGCCCAGCCATCCCACCACAAACTTGCCCGCAGCCCCGCCTATGAATACAAACAGCAGCATACTGATAGCTTGCGATTGGCTTACGTCCTTCGAGATGAGCACGAACGGCAGGAATGTCAGTGCCCCCACCCGCGCCATCGAGTCCAGCGCGCCAATCCCGCTCAATGTTGCGAACCCGCTCAGCCGCGTGTTGCTGGACCTACCTCCATCGGTCTCTTCCATGTCTCTTACGGGCCTGCCAATGTCCACCGCGCGCCGAGTCAGCGCCGCCGCCGCCATGAATACGAGGCTCGCCAGTCCGATAACCCACAGCAGTTGCCGCCAGCCCATACTGATCGCTATCGACCCCGCCACAATCGGCGGCGCGATCATCTTGCCAAGGTCCCCGGCGAAATTAACCGTGCCCACAGCTGTCGAGCGCCCGCTGTCGTCGTATGCCCGCGAAACCATACTCGACGCCAGTGGGTGCTGAAAGCCCCCGCCAAGCCCTCCAAAGAAGCTCAGCACTACCAGCATCACGAACATCGGCGCAAGGGCCATTCCCACAAGCCCAACAGACACCCACATATTCCCCGCCAGCAGCAGCCAGAACTCGCCCATATTCTCCGCGAGAAAGCCCGCGGGTATCTGCAGCACCGCCGAGGCCCCGCTATATGTCGCACGCAGTATTCCCACCTGCGTGAACGACAGCCCCATATCGCTCTGGATGAGAGGCAGCAGCGGAAACATCAGCGCGAAGTGAAGGTCGCTCCAGATGTGCATCACGGAGCCGAACCACAGCGTCCGGCGGCTCTGTGGCGAGTGAACTATGTAGCCCCACGCATTGGTAGGCGCCTGAATGACGAAGTCCAGCATAATGGCGCGGATTATACCACTATGCCGAATGTCGTGTTTTCAGGAAACGAAGATACACAACGGTATTGTCGCCTGTGTGAGAGGGAAATAGAGTAGAGGGTGGAGTAGGGAGTGTGTGGCAGCTAGGCGGCAATTATTCCTCAACCCGCCACTGACGCAGGTTCGCTGCCCCCCGCTGATACACATTAACCAGCTCATCAGCCCGCTTGTCCGTGTTGACGAGGATTAACGTCCGAATGCACATCGACTGAGAGCCTGGCACATCGATCTCCACCGCATCCAGCAGCGCGACATGAGTCCACCCCATAAGCCGAGCGGCAGCCGCAGGAAAGTCCGCATTCAGATCAGGCGTCGTAGTGAAGAACGCCGCCGCCACATCATCAGCATCAATGTCATTTGCCTTTACAAGCTCGGCAAGCATCTCACTTGTCGCGTTGAACACTTCGTCTTTTTCGTTGCTATTTGCGGTTGTCGCCCCTCTTATGCCGCGGACTTTGGACATCCTGCTGCACCTTCCATATTCAAAGATGAACTAGGTGGATGACAAGCTCAAGCGACGCCGCGAAGTTGTCGCACAAACCGCGCCGCCGCCGCCGCCGCGTCCTCGGTCGGAACTCTGCTTACGCTGTCCAGCATTGCGCTGGCTACCACCGCGCCATCGGCAAAGCGCGCGATGTTCTCCACATGCTCCTGCCGTGACACGCCGAATCCCACCAGTATCGGAAGGTCGCTGTGTTCACGTATGCGCCGCGCTAGCCCTTCTACGCCGCCCGACAACTCCGACCTCGCGCCCTGTCACCCCTGTAACGCTTACGCAGTATATGAACCCCTTTGCCTGTTTGCAAGCCTGCTCGATGCGCGCCTCCGTGCTCGTAGGTGCAAGCAGTGGAATGAGGTGAATGCCGTGAGATGCAGTATCGTCTGATAGGGTGGTGCCTCCTCCGGTGGCAAATCCGGGATGATGATCCCGTCCATGCCCGCATCTGATGCTTCCTTAGCGAACTCCTCCATCCCGTAGCTGAGAAACGGATTAAGGTAGCCCATGAATATCAGCGGGGAAGTAATTCCGTTTGCCCGCAGTGCCCGCAGGCTCTCAAGTGCTCCTTGAAGGGTGGCGCCGTTCTCCAATGCGCGAAAGCTCGTCATCTGAATAGTAGGCCCATCGGCTAGCGGGTCGCTGAACGGTATCCCCAGTTCGAGCATGTCCGCTCCCGACTCTAGGATTGCCACTGCCATCGCCTCCGATGTTGGCATGTCCGGATATCCCACGGTCACGAATGGCACAAGAGCAGCCTTGCCCTCCGCCCTCAGCGCCGCCAGTGTCGTGTCTATGCGGTTTGTCATAGATTCCCCTTAAGTTTGCAAAATTGCCGTCGGAGCATCAATTGGTAATTCCAAAAATATCAGTGCCAGCAGATTTTGTGCCGCATGTGCTGCGAACGAAGGCCATATCGAACCCGTCCGCAAGTACAGCCAGGCCAGCAACATGCCTATTACGAATATGGGAAACAAAGTGCCCACTTGCAAGTGCGCCGCCGAGAATATCGCCGAACTGACCACGGCCCCGCGTAACCCGCCAATTAGGGGCACCAGCGCAGCAAGCAAAAATCCCCGAAAAAACACCTCTTCGCCAAATGGAGCAAGCAAGCCCACTATCGCGAATGTCGGCACGCGCGCGAAGCCCTCTAACGCGCCTATCTCCTCTAGCTTCTGGTCGGGCACGAGAATGTCAATACCGAGCCCTTCCATAAGCAGCGCATACACGCCCATCGTGGTTAGGCCTATCGAAAGCGCCACAAGTGGCAGCCACAAGGCCGACCACAGCGAAGTTCGGCGAAATCCAAGGAATGACACATTAACATTGTGCCGTCGCACGCCGAAGACCCACGAGCCCGCTAGCAGTGCAATCGGGAGCAAAATGCTCCCAAGTATTATCGCTAGTATCTCATCCTCGACCAGCGACATCCGCGCCAGTGCAAAGCCCAATCCGAGGCTTCCGCCCACGCCCGCTGGCACGAACAGCGCCGACGCGACAATGACATCCCTTAACTTCCAGGGAACAGCCCTTATTCTGCTGGCAAACAGCCCCGAACCATCTGGGAGTTCACTGCTCGCAGGTAACGCGCCACAAGTATCTTGCGGCTCAGATTCACATTCGGAACAGCGCTCTTCAACTCCGCGCTCATCCCCTAGCTTTCCTTCCACAACACATCGCCGTAAAGGTCATCCGGATGCTCGCGCGATGCGAAAGTCAGCGTATTCTTCCTTGGAAGACTGCAAGTGCCCGTCATCGCCGTGACCGGGATACACATTCACATCGTCCCCTAGCGGGAACAGCTTGCTAGTGATGCTTCCGATAAGCTGCTTGAGCTTCTCCGGCGAACCCGATTTGCCCGGTCCTCCGGGAAACAGCGTGTCGCCGGAAAACAGGTGGCCGCTCGTGTGATAGCAGGTCGAGCCGGGCGTATGCCCCGGCGTGAACACCGCCGTAAGATTGACATTCCCCGCCGAAATCACATCGCCATCATTCAGTAGAATGTCCGCTGGGCGCGACAACGCGTCCGCATCGTCCGCTCCAATCCCCACAGGTGCGTCTATCGCCGCCGTCACATCCTCGAACCCAAGCAGGTGGTCCATGTGATTGTGCGTGATGATTATCGCCTTCACATCCGTCGTCTTCGCAAGCTCGATCATCTTGTCCGGCTCCGCCGGCGTATCTATGAGTATGCTCTCGTTAGTCTCCGGGCACACCACAAGGTACATATTGTTCCCGTAAGGCCCGCATTCCATCTTGTGAATAATAATTTTGTCGTCCTGAAAACGAGGCGTCGCCATATCTTCTCCTCAAAGTCTGATAAAATGTAGTCGCACCCGGAATTATATCAGCCACCACCCCAGCGTCAAACCGCCGATTCCTATGAAAATCCCTTCCCCGTCTATGGCGGAAGGTAAGGATGGGGCGGAATCGGTGTAAAAGAAACCTGAATTTAATCGGCTGTCCAGCCAGAACCCGGAGTCGTGAACATGGTCACCACCGGCGCCAAAATCAAATTCACTTACGAAGACTACTGCAACGCGCCCGAAGACAAGCGCTATGAGCTTCACGACGGAGATTTAATATTGGTTCCATCACCGAAAGAGCCGCATCAGAAGACTTCACTGGATTTGGCAGCTGAGTTAAGGCTATTCACTCGACGAACAGGCATAGGCTACATCTACATAGCTCCATTCGACGTTTTCTTCTCGAATACCGATGTCGTCCAGCCCGACGTGATATTTGTGTCCAGTGAGCGACTCGAAATCATCACGCCTGACAACATACGGGGCGCTCCCGACCTCGTAATTGAAGTCCTATCGCCCTCAACCGCCCATCGAGACCGCACATTCAAGCGTGCCCTGTACGCGCGACACGGTGTCAGGGAGTTCTGGCTGGTCGATACCGATGCCCACACCATAGAAGTGTTGCTGCTCGGCGCGAGCGGCTACGAAACCGTCGGCATATTCGGCGCAGGGCAGACACTCACTTCACCCACACTGACCGGCTTCAACCTCAACACTGACGAGGTATTCTAGGGAGAACCGCATGCCAGACTTTGGACTTATCGTAAAGCACGACTCAGAAGGCAAGCGCATCGAATTGCAGTGCGAGCACCAGAACGGCCTGGTCTATGTAGTGCGTGGCGAAGCAAACTGGGTCTGCGACGAAGACCTGCTGCACGCCCACTCCCTCGCCGGTTTTTTCCGCGAACTAGGCGAACTCGACGACGACCGCATCAGCGAAGTCATGCAGCGCTGGGGCATCTACTACCGCCCTCGCCCCCTCGCCGAGGATGCCCACGCAGACGCCAACGCGACCAGCGCATAGCAATAGCCGCTCGCTGGCCGCGTTGTCTTCAGGATATTTACAGTCTTACAGGATGTCTTTCGCGCGTACCCTCAATCCACATCGTCATCCCTGCACAAGCAGAAATCCCTAGATTTGACCGAGATTCACTGATGACGCTCCACGCCAGTAACCGTCAATCTCATCGCATCTACGAATCGCTCGCAGTTACTACGCCCCGATGCCAAGCTCCTCTCGCAGGTCCTTTATCGTCTCTGCCCGGCTGCGCGTAACCCTACGCTCTCGCAACCCAATCGGCAGGTTCTCTATCTCCGGCTGAACCTTTATCGCGATGAGTATCGGCCCATCTTCCTGCATAATGTCCTCGATACTCGTTGCGAAGTCTTCGAGGTCGTCGAAGTTGTACGCGGACAAGTACCCCGCGCCCTTCGCCATCGCGGCATAGTCGATCTCCGCCGAGTTCGGCACAGGCTGTCCGCCTGTCGTAGCATAGCACTCGTTGTCCAGCACGAAGTGCACAAAGTTGGCGGCTTCTTGCCCGCTATGCTCGCCAGCACGCCCAGGTTCATCAGCAGCGAGCCTTCTGCGTCGAACAGCACCACCTTCTCGTCCGGCAGCCCCAGCGCAAGCCCGAACGCCGCCGAAGTCGTGTGGCCCATCGCGCCGCCAAGCGAAATATCCCGCGATGGCTGATCGCTGATGTCCCCCCAGTGCCGTCCCGCCGTACCTTGCGCCGTCACAATAGCGTTGCCGCGATGCGGCTTGAATGTATTGAACACATCAATAGGGTCTAGCATCTCGTCTCTCCTTGTTATTTGATTTGAAGTCCCTTCCCCCTTGATAGGGGAAGGCTAGGATGGGGGTGAGAATCCTATCCATCCTGTTAATCGATGTAAATTCAACTCTACCTGTTGAACCCGTGATACTCGTCGCCAACCAGCACAACTACGGGTCGATTAGTAGCCTGCGCCTCGGCAAACGCCTCCGAAATCCGTTCCCCGTCCTCATCGTGCTCCACCAGATAGTAGTTGATGCGGAACGCGTGCAGGAACGGCTCCGTGTAGGTCGCCGCAGTGTCCGGCGTCTTGCCCCAGCCGCGTCCACCCGCGATACCCCACCACCATCACCAGCGGAAAGCCCGTATCCAGCGCCATCCCGCGTATTGAGTCACCGGACTCCATCATTCCCGTATTCTGAATAAGGCACACAGGCACTTTGCCCGCCACATTCAGTCCCAGCGCGATGCTCATAGTCTCGCCCTCACGCGACACCGGCACCACGTCCAGCCAGTCCTGCTCCAGCATCAGCTCATACAGGTAATTAGTCTCGCTGTCCGGAATCGTAATTATGTGCGTTACTCCGTTCTTCTTAAACTCCTCCACCAGTGTCTCAGGCCTCAGAATCTGCGGCTGCTGTTGCATAAGTCTCTCCTTTAACTATTCCGCCGGTAATGCTCTCGTATGTGATAGGTAGCAATTTAAATCTGCGTCAGGCGCTCATTATAAGTAGTTACGTGAGGACGGTCAATTTCACAGCAAGCAACATCGAATCTCACGGACATGTACGGTTGTAGAGATTTGCGCCAATAGTACAATGTGAAAAGCATCACAAGCAGTGTACAGATCAAATGGAGAAAAGGCAGTACCGATGACACCCCATGAACGCGCCCAGAAGATTGAATCCTATGCCGGCGCCCACACCCTCCTCGCTGACGCACTCAAAGAATTCCCCAAAGAAATGTGGCAGTTCCGCGACGAGCACGGCTGCTGGAGCATCCACGAGCACATCATCCACATCACCGACAGCGAGGCAAACAGCTACATCCGCTGTCGCAGGCTTATTGCCGAGCAGGGCGAGCCTCTCATGGCATACGACGAAAATCAATGGGCATCAGAATTGAACTACCACGACCAGAGCACCGAAGACGCTCTCGCCCTCTTCAAGTGGCTGCGCCACAAGAGCTACACCCTCATCAAGTCGCTCCCAGGACGCGTCTGGGCGCACTCCTCATTCCACCCCGAAAACGGCGAAACCACCCTCGACGACTGGCTCGACACCTACGAGCGCCACGTCCCCGAACACATCGATTACATGCGCCAGAACCTCGAAGCCTGGCATGTGTCAAATCATTCGTAAGTGCTTGCAAATTGACTCCAGACGACAAAACGCCCGGACTTCGCTCGCCCGGGCATTTACAATCACCAGAATGAAGGCGGTCTGCTACGACCCGATAAAGATGTTCAGCAGCGTTGCTATCAGCGTAGCCACGAGCGCGATCCCTCCCGCAAACAGCCAGTTGCGTATCTGCCTAATATCCGCGCGCATATCCCTCAAATCCTCGCGCAGATCGTCCAGCCTCTTATCTGTTGTCGTGCTCTCAGTAGCCATTCCACTCATCACCCCTCAATCGTACATCCATGATATCGTCACAATATCGGCAACGTCAAGGTTGTCTAACAATCAGAAGTGTTCGAAGTGTCGAAGCACTCCTCAAGTCGCCGCCTGCTGCGACCATCCCACTGCGAGCGGACATGCATATGCGGCCTGGAAACTAAACCACCCCCGCCTCTCTCATCACTCCCAGTTCGTCCGCTCCAATCCCGATCTCCCCAAACACCGCCTCGTTATCCTCCCCGAGCATCGGCGGCCGTCGCCTGATACCCCACGGCGTCGCCTTGAATTCGTATGGCGCGCCCACATACACGAACTCCTCACTAAGCTCCGGATGCTCGACAGCCACCTGCATCCCCCGCTCCTTGAAGTGCCTGTCCTCCAGCGTCTCCTCCGGCGAATAGACAATGCCCCACTGAAATCCCAGGTCCTGCGCCCGCACGAATATGTCGTATGCCGTATTCGCTTGGCACAACTCGCTCACCGCGCTCATAACCTCGGCCATCTGCCGTATCGCATCGGCGTCACGGTTGATGATCGCAGCGCGGCTCGGCGGGGTAATGTACTTCGACAGATCCCCCATAAGCCCGTGCTCGTCCAGCCACGCCAGCAGGTGAAACCACTGCTCCTCGGTCCGCGCCGGAAACCCGATGTTCACATACCTGCCGTCACCGCACAGCATCTGCACATCCGCCGTCGGAGTCGGCGAGGAATGCCGCCCCGTCTGCCGCTGCACCGTGTCGCCCGCCACCAGCCAGTGATACACTGCACCCTCGGTCGTCACATTCTGCGCCGCGTGCATGTTCACATCGATAAACTGCCCCTCACCCGTGAACTGCCGATGCACCAGCGCAGTGAGCACACCGATCGCCGCGAAGTGGCAGACCGTGTGATAGGCTTGGTTGCCCCCGCCTCGCACCGGCGGAATCGAGTGGTCGTCATACCCGCTGCTCCACACAGGCCCCCCAAAAGCAAGGGCAGTCAAGTCCGTCGCCGCATAATCGCTGTACGGCGCATCCTGCCCGAACGGACTGATAGCGGCAAATATGATGCTTGGCGACACTTGAGAAACATCGTCATACCCCAATCCAAGCGAATCCAGGTACTTCGGCTCGCAACTGTCAACTATCACATCCGCCTCTACCGCCAGCCGCAGGAACACATCGCGCCCCACATCAGATTCGATGTCCAGCGTCACGCTCTGTTTGTTCGTATTGTAGTGCCAGAAATACAGGCTGCGATTCTTGTCCGGCTCGTCCTTGTAGAACGGCGGATACCCCCGCGTCTCATCCCCCTCTGGCGGCTCCACCTTGGTGACGTTCGCACCCATATCCGCCAGCAGCTTGCCGCACCATCCGCCAAGAACGCCGCCCACCTCAAGAATACGCACATCGTCGAGAACTGAAGTCCCTGTCCCTGTGGATGCCATTAAATGACCCCCTTGGCATGCAGTTCCTTCTGCTCCGCCTTGTCCAGCATCAGGATCTCGTCATAAAAGAAGTCGTTTATCCTCACCTAACACGGGCGCGCCCTTCTTGATCTTCGCAGGCGTCTTCGACAGCTTCATCGGCATCCCTTCCACGCGCACACGCCCCATCTCCTTGTGCTTCACCTCAGGGAATGTGGGCCAGTCAAGGGAATTCGCATCCTTGTCCATGCGATCCTCCGGATGCTGCACAGCCGCTGCAGCCACGCCCTTCGCTTGCAGCGCATCCATCGCCTCGAATGGCGACCGCTCCGCCGTCCACGCCTCCAATATCGCATCCAGCGCATCCTGATTTTCACCTAGCATCCGCCGTTCCAGCGTAGCGAACCTGCTGTCTGATGCAAGTTCGGGCCGCCCGATGACCTCACATATCGCCTGCCAGTCATCATCGTTCCGCGCTGATATAGCAACCCACCTATCATCCCCCTTCGAGCGATATATCCCATGCGGCGCCATCGGCGGGTATTTATTGCGGTTGCTGTGCGGGCTTCCCGGGCGCCGCATCGGTCGCCCGTTCACCGTGTAATCCAGCAGTGCAGGCCCATTCAGCGTCAATGCCGCATCCGTGCAGGACAAATCCACATACTGCCCTTCGCCCGTCTTGTTGCGGTGATACAGCGCCATCAGTATCGCTATCGCCATGAAGTACCCGCCGGTGTGGTCCATGTGCGAAAAGCCCCAACCCGCCGGCGGCATATCCGGCAGCGCGGACTGAAATGTCAGCCCCGACACTGCCTGCACCACAGGCCCCCACGTCTTGAAGTGCGTATATGGACCCCGGTGCCCGAAGCCGCAGTTGGAAACATAGATAATATCAGGCTTAATGCGCCGCATCTCTTCGTATGGAAACCCCCACCTCCCCATCACGCCCGCGCTGAAGTTCTCCGTGACAACATCGCTGATGGAGATTATCTCGCGCATAATCTCCTTGCCGCGCTCACTCTTCGCATTCAGCGTAATCCCCAACTTCTCCACATTATGATTGTTGAACATCCCGCCGAGGTTAGTGCCGCGCCGCTCGTCAATATACGGCCCATTCCCCCTGAAAATGTCCCATCCCCCTTGGCTCAGCCTGTCCTCGATGCGAATAACTTGCGCCCCAAACGCTGCGAAGAACCGGGTCGCGCCCGCCCCCGCAAGCTGCCCCGAAAAGTCGCATATCCGTATCGGCGCAAGCGCGCCCTGATTTCCATTCGTCGCCATATCGCAGTCTCCAAAAGACATCTTGGTGATGAACACTGCCGCTGATTATAACCCCAACCTACCACCCTTGCCACATTGCACTTCCCATTCGTCCTTCCCAATCCTGTACATCCTGTTTGCAGGGTCTTTTATTGTCACCCTGAACGAAGTGAAGGGTCTAAAATCGCTGTTTGAAAACAATGCTGGTCGTAATCAGTGCTTTCAAACTCCTTGCTGCATTCGGATTGATATGGATGAGGAACGCGATAATAGAAAGACCCAGTCCTGTTTGATTTCCCCCTTGACAACCCAAACACCCGTACTTATCATATTCATAGCAGAACAAATAGGCTTATCCAGCTACCCTGACTCGATCAAAGGGAGAACAGCCCGAAACCTGATATGTGCAAATTAACCGAGCTGCAACACAACATACACAGCATCACCAAAGACGGCTACGACATCGCCGCCTTCCTCGCCGACACCATGCGCGGCGAAACACCCGGCGTCAAAGTCAACCACCGCATGGACGCAGCAAAGCAACTTATCAAGTACGGGTTCACCGACATCAACTGCGGCAATATTCCCGCTCTACCTCAGGGAGAGGGCAGGGGTGAGGGCGACGAAAAATCCCCTTCATCCGCTCCATCAGTGTCAGCCCCGTAACCCACCTCGACATCATCAACTACGAAATAGCCCACCTCATACGCCACGAGACAGCAGAAGGTCACACCCTCGTAGAGTTTCTCATTCACATCATGAGCGGCAGGGACAGGCCATTCACTCCCAGAAGTTCCGCATCAAGCCCGCAGACCGCATGGCAGCAGCAAGAGAACTCCTGCGTCGCGGCTTCGGAGAACTCGGCACAAGGCGCAAGCCCTCAGACACCGCCGACGAAGCAAACGCCTACGACACCCTGCACACCGATCTCGCCCAGCGAATGCGCGAGTACAGCGAACGCGGCACCGACACCGTCCGATTCCTGCTCGAAGTGATGTCTGACCCCGACCCTGACCTAGAGTTCACCATCCATCACCGCATGTCCGCGGCTCAGGAACTTCTGCGCCGAGGCTGGGACACCAACTACGACAACATCGAGCCCAAGCACCTTCAGGACTACTGGCGCGACAAGGACAGCACGCGTCTCTCCATAGGCCAGAAGAAGACCCAGGCCGGTCTCTCAACCACCATCGACGACTACGACAACTACGACGATGTAGATTATGAAGCCATCGCCCAAGAGATAAGAGAACAAGAAGACCGAGACGACAACTCAAAGCCTCTTCGTTTCCAAGAGACCGTCCCATCTTCTCGCCATTCCTCCGAAAGCAGGAATCCAGAAGACCACCAAGCCGCCACTCCTGCCACAAAGCTCCCTCTCCCTCAGGGAGAGGGCTGGGGTGAGGGCAAAGAAACAAATGTCCCGTCCGTCCCGACCCTGCCTAAAAGCCTGCCCCTAGGCAAATCAGAGAACGAACCCTCCGACCCCAAGGCAATCATCAAAGAGTTCCAAGAAGCGATGGACAGAGGAGACGAGCGAGCCGCCCTCCGCGCAGAGGCAAAATACCGCCGCATAGACGTAAAACCAGAAAAGAACATCTACGACTACGGCCCCAACGATCCCGACCCAACCGTGGACTACTACTTCGAACCCCTAAGCCCCGAAGAGCAGGCAAAGTTCGACAAAGAAGACAGACGCGAACACGGCCTCACCGAAGAAGATATCGCAGATTCTTCAGGCATCTCCCACGCAAAAGCCAAATCAGACCCGCTCAAGAAGCTCGCCGATGCCGCAGCAACCCACAACACCCCCATCCACCCCAACCCGCTCGCCGCCAGGCGCAAAAACCCCACCATCCGCAGCCCATAGCTATCCTGCCGGTCCTGTCCGTCTCTGCCAGCTCCATTCTCCTGATAGCTTTGGCATCACACCCGGTGTCCGAAGGCTGGCGGCTGTCAAACTTTCAGCCCAATCCCTGCCTCGATGCTATAATTGCCGCACCTGTTCGCAGGCACTTCAAGGCACAACAGCTACCAGGAGGCAGACGATTGACCGGCGTACTTCACGGCTACCGCGTTCTCGAATTTGGCGAATACATTGCATCTCAAGTCTTGGGCATGCTACTCGCCGATCAGGGAGCGGAGGTCGTTAAACTTGAACCGCCCCATGGCAGCAGGATGCGCGGCAGCGCAGCTTTCGCCGTATGGAACAGGAGCAAAAAGTCCGTAATCTTGGACCCTTCGCTCGATCGTACAGGTGATGTCGTTGACGAACTCGCAGCCACTGCCGACGTGCTGATATGCGACTCCGAGACACTGCCGCATGACGTTGGCGTCGCCCAGATACACACAGCGAATCCGCGCTTGGTGACCGTATGCCTGCCAGCGTTCGGTGCCGAACATGCAAACGCCTCTTTGCCGCCACACGAAACGCTCATCGCCGCTGCAACAGGCATTTATGCCGACAGAGGCGCCGGCGCGCCAAGCTACATATCCGTGCCGCACGCCAGCATATTCGGTGCCCTCACAGCCGCACCCGCCGTCATCGCCGCCCTATTGCATCGGGAGGCACCGGAGAAGGACAGCGCGTCGATCTGCCCCTGTACGACGCGATGTTTGGCGCGATGGGCGCACAGGTAGTCGTGCTCCCGGAAGGCGCGGACGATGCCAGGCCACACCCGGTAATCGCCCGCTTCTACGAGTGCAGCGATGGTCGTTGGGTTAACATCAACGCCGGCTATCCCCCGTGCGCTGATTCCGATGGTGGGAGCATTCGGCCACCCGGAGTGGGCAGAGCCGCTTCTGGACACTGACAGCCTCCTCGCCCACCCTGAAGACAGGCAGCTTTGGATAGACACCCTTGAAAGCACATGGCGAAGCCGCACCGCAATCGAATGGGAGCAGATCATGGACGAAGCCGGGGTGCCATGCACCATGTGCCGCACCGTCGAAGAGTGGCTGACTGCGAGCAGGCTGCCGCAATGGGTGCTGTAGTTGAAATCGACGACCCCGCATTCGGCCCAATGCGCCAGGTAGGAATACAGGTCCATTTGAGCGAAAGTGAAGGAGGAATACAGCGCCACGCTCCGTCCCTCGGCGAGCACACCCACGAGATACTCGCGCAGCTATGACTTCTGCCCTTAGAGGATATCCCCAGAGTCCTCGCCTAGCATCATCTCACGCACCAGCGGGATCTGCGGCGCGCCATACGAAAGGAACTCGTCGTGGAACCGCTTCAGCGAGTACCCATCGCCCTTCACTCGCTGGTAGTCTTCCCGTAGTTTCAGGATCATCAGCTTGCCCAGCGTGTAATTGAGATACATAGGATCGAAGGTGCCGCGCATCGCCTCCTTGCGAGCTGGCAGCTCCTCCAGGAAGGCATTGTCAATGAAGAACTGAGTAGCCTCATCCACGGTCATGCCCTGCGTGTGCATCTTGATAGCGCAGATGAACCGGCAGTCCCGCAGCAGCGCCTCCATAAGCTGCCCCAGCTCACTCTTAGGCTCGGACGCGTAACCCGCTTCAACCATCATCTGCTCGGCATAGTGCGCCCACCCCTCCCAGAATGAGTAAGCCCCAAAGATGCGGCTTATCATGGAATCAGCATCGCGCGTGTGCAGGTAGTGAACATAGTGCCCGGGGTATGCTTCATGGACAGACACCGCGCGCAGCGTCGCATAATTGAACGAAGTCAGCCACTGCTCTTTCTCCGCGTCGCTCCAATGCTCCTCAACCGGCGTAACATAGTAGTAGGTCTCTGTCGCATTCTCTTCGTACGGTCCTGGGAAATCCAATGCAGCGAACGCCCATCGCATAAAGGAAGGTGTCTCCACGGTCTGGCACCGCACCTCCGATGGCACGCTCACGATGTCGTTCTCGATGAGATACTGGCGTATGTCCTCCAGCATGTCCTTGGTCTCCCCAATCAGCGCATCGGCCGCCGGGTGGTCGGCTGCAACGGACGCCATCACCTCGGATGGTGACTTCTCAGGGTCCAAGTTCGCGGCAACCTCTTCGAACCGCTCCATGTTGCGCCGCAAGTCTTCTTCGCCCGTAAGCAGCAATTGCTCTAGCGGTAATTCGACCATTTCGCCGTACTTCAGCAGCGCAGCAAACTTCGCGCTTCCGATGGCGAATCCTGCATCCGCATATGGTCGCAGCGCTTTGAGGTGCTCCACGAACTCCCGCACGGCCTCTGTTGCGCTGGCACGTGTTTCTTCAAACCGGCTCTGCAGCTTGCCTTCGGGCAGCACGCTGACAGCATCCACGAGATCGTTCTCATAGAATGTTGCTACACCCTCATACGCTTCGATGCTGGCATCAAGTACCGGCCCGGCAAGCCGTCCGCTCATAACGGACCTCAGTTCCCCAAGGTAAGAAGGCACAGAGCACAGCGCCTGCGCCAACTTCTCCGCTCGCTGTTCCAGTGGGGCATAGTTACGCTGCACGTAGCCGCTCATGTCGATATGCGATAGCATCTCCATCGGGTTGGTCTCATGCCAGCGCAGTTCTGTGAGTTCCAGCAGTTCCTTGTGCAGCGTTGCCGTCAGTATTCGATGATCGTAGTAGCTCCGAACGCTCAACGCAGCGGTATCTATGCTTTCTAGAGATGCCAGCCCCTGCCTTAGATCGCTTACCCTTTTCGCAAGTGCCACCTGTGATACGCTCGGCAGCCGCCCGTCATACTCATGCAGCCCCAGCCGCGACGCCATGCTGGGATATTGTTCCCAGGTTTGCAGTAGTATTCGCTCGGTGGCGGCGTCAAATAGGCGGTTCGCGCTATTTGTCATGGACTTCTCCTACGAAACGATGATTGGCACAGATTACTCGCACATTTTACTACAATCGAATTGCTGCATCTGAGGCGAAGCCAATGGCTTAGAGGTTCACAAGACAACTGCCCGCGTGATACGCTTCTAATGTCGAATTGCAAGCAAATTGAGCGCAAGTGAGAATCAATGAGCGCTGAAGAAGCCAGGGATACATTAGGAGTTACGGGCGCTGACCCCAAGTATGTGTGGATGTCCGGCGAGCGCGTAGCGTGGGATGACGCCGTTGTGCATGCATCGACGCTGGGTTGGTCTGCCATATCCATGGTATTCGAGGGAATCCGTGGCTATTGGAACGCGGAAGAAGAGCAACTCAACATATTCCACTTAGAGTTACACTTAGAGAGACTGCTGCGCTCCATGAAAGTTATGCGCATGACATCCCCCTGGTCGGTCGCTGAGCTCAAGTGCGCAATTGTTGAATTGGTGCAAGCGAACCAGTTCAGAGACGACATATATGTGCAGCCTCTTGCGTACTTTGGGGGAAGCACTACTCCTGGGTACTTGCCGGTATCAGAGCGTCCGGGTGACATCACGATATTCAACCGGCAAATCGGCTCAGTGCTGGGGTCGGGGCACACAGTGAGTTGTGGCGTAAGTTCGTGGACACGCATATCGGACAACGTGATGCCACCCCGCGTAAAGGCAATTGCGAATTACCAGAATAGCCGCTATGTTGCGGACGAATCCTCGCGGCACGGCTACGACTTCGGCATCATTCTTAATCCGCAGGGCAAGGTGTCGGAAATATCTTACGCTTGTGTATATATAGTGCGCGATGGCGTGGCTATTACTCCGCCGGTGTCGGCTGGAATACTGGAGAGCATCACCCGCGACGTGGTGAGGAAGCTTTTTCAGGATGAACTCGGTGTCCCTGTTGTGGAGAGGGATGTTGACCGCACGGAATTGTACATCGCGGACGAGGTGTTCATCTGCGGCACTGGCGCGGAGCTTCAAGCAGTGGGGAGCATCGACGGGTACACGATCGGCGACGGCGGTATGGGGCCTGTGGTGACAAAGCTGGAGCAGGTGTTCCACGACATCGTGAGAGGCAAGGACCTTCGCTATCCGGAATGGCGTACCGGAATTTATTAGAAATCTAACGACTAACAGAATCGATGAGCAAAGGAGTAAGGAATGATTTACGAGTTTCGGACATACGACCTGCAGCCGCGAAGTGTGCCTGATTTCGAAAAGCGCTTCGGAGAGAAGTTGCCAGGCAGACTCGAATTTTCGCCGCTTGGGGGCTTGTGGCATACGGAGGCCGGCCCTCTGAACCAGGTGCTGCACATTTGGCCCTATGACGACATGAACCACCGCACAGACACCAGGGCCAAGGCGACAGCTGCAGGAGCCTGGCCGCCGAACACATCTGAGTTCGTGGTCAACATGCAGTCGGACGTCTATTTGCCGGCGCCTTTTACGAAGCCTCTCGGCGAGCGCAAGGTCGGACCGCTATACGAAATTCGTATATACACCTACCAGCCCGGGGACATTCCTAAGGTCATTGAGGCTTGGGGTAACGCTATCGAGGAGCGCGAGAAGTATTCGCCGCTGGTTGGGGCGTTCTACTCCGATGTAGGCGCGCTGAACAAGTGGGTTCACATGTGGGCATACGAAAGTTTTGAGCATCGCACGCAGGTGCGCAATGAAACGCGCGCGAAAGGCGTGTGGCCGCCCAGCAGCCCAGTCGCGCCGGTGCATCAGGAGAACAAATTGCTTCTGCCTGCCGAGTGCTCTCCCATGCAATAGCAGAGTTGCACTGCTGATTTCACAAGAACAATTAATACCGCGAAGGAACGTACAATAAAATTCCTTCGCGGTTCTAGTCGGTGCAAGCCCAGCAGACAACGCTTCCGCTCAGTCAGGGTAAACTGGTTCATGGGTGCATCAATCCCCTAGCCATTCCATCCAGCGCCCGTGATGGTGGCAGCGCGCCAGCGTGCGCTCCTGGCGCATACCACCCTCGAACGAAACCAACTGCAATGTAGGGCGTACGCTTTCGGCGTCATCCGTCAGCCACCGCCTCGGGCTAGCGCGATACTCGCTCGAAATCCAGTACAGGTCGCGCCTGCTCCCTTCTTGTGAGAGCAACTCGTCCAATCGTTGACGCGCTTCAGCCGAGAACTGATTGACCGTATGCGTGTGATATACGATGAACGCAGCATCGTCGGATGCGTCGGCAAGCGCACCGGGAAGCAGTTCCAAGGCGTCGCCTTTCAGTAGGGTCGGCGGGTCTGCCCGGGCAATTGACATTGCGGCGTTCAGGCGTTGTAGTCGGGCGGCATCCTCGGGCCAGACCAGAGCGCGCAGCCATTGGGTGGCATCATCATCCCGCACATCAATAGGGTTCAGATCGATGCCAACGCGCGCTGCTATCGGAGGAATCATGTCCGGCAGCGGTGGCGCGGCTTCCCCACGTAGTTCAACGCTAATCTGAACCGCAGAAGAGCAATCGCCGTAGCTGCGGCCCGTGCCGTAATTGAAACCGTATTTGTCCCAGAGCAGGTTCAGCCCGGCGCTGCAGCCGATCTCCACGAGATGAAGAGGCTTGTGATCGAGGCGCTCTGCGACGATGGCGAATGCGGGCAGAAGTAGCCCGCAGCGTTCAACTACATTGGTCTGCACGCGCCGCTCTACAATGGTGCGTTTGATCTGCTCGGCATGTTCCAGGCAGAAGCTGCGAAAGTGAAGGAACGGTTCTTCGGCAGTTGAGGGATTGCCTGTTACAGACGGATAGAATTTCGCGAGTTCGTGCCGAACGCCGCTCAAAAGCAGCATGTGGACGGCGGCTAAGAACAGGTTGGGCAGCGGCTGGTCGCGTCGTCCCTCAGCGGCGATTGTGAGCAGGGCAGGGTCTTGCGCGATGCCCAGCGAAAGCCGCTCATACAACGGCGAGGCACCGCGCTGCTCTAGTTCCGAGGCACGCACGAACTTCCTGGCTATTGATTGTCGTAAAGCGTCAGCCGACACTCGACCTCCTACTTTGGATGCAAGAATTCTATTTCGCTCAATCAGCGGTAACTGAAACTTGAGAGAAGTGTGGGCGGATGCTGATTGGCATCCGCCCACTTCTTTCATACGGGGGGATTCAGTTCACGGGAATCCCGGTTCAGTTACCGTTCGCTCGGGCTCGCTAGAGTTGCGCTTCGAGCTTGGTTATGACGCTGTCAACCTGTGAGACCACATGGTCAACCTCGTCTCTCGTGATGCAGAGGGGCGGTGCGAGGTAGATGCTGTTGCCGGGCCTGCCGAGCAGATTATGCTCGTTCATAAGCGGGGCAATCTTTTCGGAGAGCTTAGCCTCGGCGGGGAAGGACTCCTTTGTATCCCTGTCCTTGACCAGTTCTACTGCGCAGAGCAATCCCATGCCTCCGCGAACATCACCGACTATTGGGTGCTCGTAGAGCGTCTGCAACTGCTCGTACATGTATGTGCCCATCTCGGCGGAGTTTTCGACCATTCCCTCACCTTCCATGATTTCGAGGTTGGCAAGGCCGGCCGCGCAGGCTACAGGGTTACCGCCGAAAGTTATCAGATGGCGGAAGGTGGCGTCTTCGCCCATGAAGGCGTCGGAGACCTTTTTGCTGGCGATTGCGGCACCGATGGGAATGTAGCCGCTCGTGAGCGCCTTGGCGACGGTGAAGATGTCAGGCTTGACGCCCCAATGCTCAGTGGCGAACATCTTGCCGGTGCGCCCAAAGCCGGTGATGACCTCGTCGCAAATCATGATGACGCCGTACTTATCGCATATCTCTCGGATGGTGGGCCAGTACTCGGGATGAGGTACGTGGATGCCCGCTGCCGCTGAGATAGGCTCGCCAATGAAGGCGGCAACCGTGGAGGGCCTTCGTGCTGTATGGCGATTTCCAAGTCTCTGGCACACTGGAGGTTGCATCCTCCGTCAGCGCTGCAGCAGAGGCCTCGGTATCCGTCAGGTTGGGTGATATGGATGTTGCCGGGCATCAGCGGGCCGAAGTGGATGGGTGCGGCGACACCACCACCGCCAAGGCTCATGCAGGCGTGGGTTGCGCCGTGGTATGAGCCGCGCCTACTGATGACCTTGTAGCGTGTCGGCTCGCCGTTGTTCCTGTGGTACTGCTTCGCCATCTTCAGTGCGGTCTCAACGGCTTCGGAGCCGCCACTGACGAAGTAGGTTCTGGATTCCTTGTCGGGCGCGAGACTCGCAACCTTGGCGGAGAGTTTCGCGGTAGTAGGTCCAACGGTGCCACCCGGGGTGTAGCTGATGTCCAGCATCTGGTTGTAAACAGCGTCGGCGACCTCTTGCGGCCGTGCCCGATGTTCTTAAGCCACATGCCAGCCATAGTGTCGAACCACTGCTCGCCCTCCACATCCTCGACCCAGACGCCTTTGCCACTCTGCACCAGCTTGATGCCGCCATCATCCATGTTGCCGGCAGGGTTGTTGTGAGGCCAGAAGTGGTCGGCCGCCTGCTGTTTCAGTTCTTCAATCTGTTCGCCGGTTAGAGTCGTAGCCATGCTGTCAATACCTCCCAGGATCTGCGTGTAAATTGTAGTTATTTGATGCTCCGGTATTTATGCGGGGATAGTACCATCAAATGCCCGCGTGGGCTATACCTAGCCAGCCGCCGCTATGCAGTAGCCTCTATGATGAGCGCGCTTATGAGCACGTTTTCGCTAGCCGCCGAGATCGTTCAGGGTGTCCTCGATGGTCTTGTGGATGCCTGTGAAAATGGGGGTGTCGCGGAGGGTGTAGAGGCTGCCTTCAACGCCACGCAGGTCCATCACGAGGTCGACGAAGTCGGCGGGATTGTCAGTCTCGAAGCCGACGACGAACTCCTGGTCATCAAGGCCGAAGGAGTAGGTGGTGTTGATCTTGACGGACGGGTACTTGTGGCCGACGGTGAAATGGTCGTTCATCATGCGCTGTCGTTCTTCCTGAGGCAACAGGTACCACTCTCGCGTTTTGAGGAAGGGATAGACGATGAAGTATTCGGCTTTGCCGGGGCGCAGGCGGGTGCCGGTGCCTTCCTGACCGAGATGCGTGTGCGTGCCGACATACTGGGAGCGGCGGGTCATGGCAAGGAAGGAGTATGGCTGCGTGAGGTATGCGCCGAGGTCTGTGGACCAGAGGCGGGCGGCGCTATCCTGAATCTCTTCAAGCGTATCCGCCGCCTGCCAGAGGAAGAAGTCGGAGTCGCCGCGCAGTCCGATGAGACTGAAGCAGCGCGTGAACATCTGCTCGGAGATTTTCGTAACGGCTTGCGCGAAGTCTTTTCTTGCTTTCATAGCGAAGTTCTTCGGGCAAACGTCGCCATTCGGGGTCGAGCTTGAAGAAGCTGTACTTCACGAACTGCCTGCGGCCTGATTCTGCCATTCGTCTCTCTCCAACAATGTTATAAGTTGATATAAGTCTCCAGCGAAATGCTTGGAAATTATAGCATTCTTGGAGGCAGTACGGGGGCTGGCATGGATGGATGGATAAGGATTTACCCTCACCCTAGCCCTCTCCCGAGGGAGAGGGGACTTTGAGGTTATGGGCTGCGGATGGTGGGGCTTCTTGTTCTTGCCGGCGAGGGGGTTGGGGAGTATGGGTATGCCGTGAAGTGCGGCGGCTTGCTTTATTGGCGCAGGTGAATCGGCTGTGCCATTTGGATGGGCGGGTTTGCGCTGCCATTGTTGGCTGCTTCGTCGTCTTTCAGGCCGTACTCGCGTCTGTCTTCTTCGTCGAATTTTGCCTGCTCTTCGGGGCTCAGGGGTTCGAAGTAGTAGTCGATTGTCGGGTCGGGGTCGTTGGGGCCGTAGTCGTAGATGTTCTTTTCTGCTTTGATGTCTATGCGGCGGTACTTTGCCTCTGCGCGGAGGGCTGCCCGCTCGTCGCCCCTGTCCATCGCTTCCTTGAACTCTTTGATGATGGCTTTGCGGTCGGATGCGGGTACGTTCTCTGATTTGGTCTGGGGTAGGGTCTTGGACACGGCTCCGTCACCCCCATCCTAGCCTTCCCCCGTCGAGGGGGAAGGGAATTATCACTGCCCTCACCCCAGCCCTCTCCCTGAGGGAGAGGGGGCTTTGTGGCAGGAGTGGCGGCTTGGCGGTCTTCTAGATTCCTGCTTTCGGAGGAATGGCGAGAAGATGGGACGGTCTCTTGGAAACGAAGAGGCTTTGAGTTGTCGTCTCGGTCTTCTTCTTCTCTCATCTCTTTGGCGATGGCTTCGTAGTCGGTGTCGTCGTAGTTGTCGTAGTCGTCGATGGTGGTTGAGAGGCCGGCTTGGGTCTTCTTCTGGCCTACGGAGAGACGCGTGCTGTCCTTGTCGCGCCAGTAGTCCTGAAGGTGCTTGGGCTTGATGTTGTCGTAGTTGGTGTCCCAGCCACGGCGCAGGAGTTCCTGTGCTGCTGACATGCGGTGGTGGATGGTGAACTCTAGGTCAGGGTCGGGGTCTGACATCACTTCCAAGAGGAAGCGGATGCTGTCTGCGCCGCGCTCGCTGTACTCGCGCATTCGCCTGGCTAGGTCGGTGTGCAGGGTGTCGTAGGCGTTTGCTTCGTCGGTGGTGTCTGACTGCTTGCGGCGTGAGCCGAGGTCTCCGAAGCCTCGTCGCAGGAGTTCTCTTGCTGCTGCCATGCGGTCTGCGGGCTTGATGCAGAACTTCTGGGGGTGAATGGCCTGTCCCTGCCGGTCATGATGTGAATGAGAAACTCTACGAGGGTGTGACCTTCTGCTGTCTCGTGGCGGATGAGGTGGGCTATCTGGTAGTTGATGATGTCCAAGTAACTAACAACAGGATGAGGAGCTCTTCACCCCCATCCCAGCCTTTCCCCATCGAGAGGGAAGGGGTGTTTGTGCTTCGCCCTGCCCCTCTGGATTCCCGCCTGCGCGGGAAAGACGGTCAGAGGTGGTTTTGCATTCGGTGTCGGTGAAGCCGTACTTGATGAGCTGCTTGGCTGCTTCGAGGCGGTGGTTGACTTTGACGCCGGGTGTTTCGCCCTGCATGGTGTCACCTAGGAACGCGGCGATCGTGTCGCCTTCGTTGGTGCGGTCGATGATGTTCTGTTGGAGCTTTGTTGGGATGCACATGAGAGTCTGTCAGTTTTCAGTTCACAGTTGTCAGTGATGTGATTCGATGGGCTTGGTGCGAATATGTGTTCTTTCAACTGCCTACTATCATAAGTACGGATGTTTGGGTTGTCAAGAGGCATTTTGAGCAAATTGGGTTGTGTGGACATTTCCCATTTGTTCCCTGTCATTGCGAGCGCAGCGGGGAATTTGAATTCGGAGATTGCCGCCTGTACAACGATTTTTAGATTCTTCACTTCGCTGCGCTGCGTTCAGAATGACAGGGAGAGGGCGCTGGGTTCAGAATGGCAATGAAAAGAGCCTGGGACTTTGACGGAATCTGCTCGTCATTGCCTTGAACGGTCGAATTGGGTAGCTGTCAATATGGGGCGGCGTTGGCTGAGGGCGAGGATTTTGGATGCGTAGTCTGCTTCGCTCCGTGAGGGTGAAAGCGAAGAGGGTCTTCTGGAAGCAAATAACCTACTTGTGCAACTGGTTGCAATAATGTAGAGTGTGCGAAAAGGCGTATAGCGCATAATACGATACTTGATATTGGAGGTTATGATGGATACTTGCAAGTGTAGCAAGGCTGAGTTCGGCAGGGAGAGAAGTGAAACCCTGAGTGCTCAGCCTGAAGGAAAGGGTCTCGTGACAATTGAACATGAGCCGATCATCGGTGAGACCCCGCAGGCCACGTTACAGAGCTGGCTGACCCCTAATCCTCTATTCTACATCCGTAATCATTACTCAATTCCGCAATGGGAATCAGACTCGGAATGGGCACTTACTTTAGACGGTCATGTAGATAATACGTTGTCCTTCTCACGGGAGGATTTTCGTAGTTTCCCAATACAGACATTGCCAATCACTCTGGAGTGCGCCGGTAATAACCGCAGCGACCTCGAACCGCAAGTGCCGGGCAACCCATTCCAGAACGGCGCAGTGAGCACTGCCATTTGGGCGGGAGTTCCACTCCGTTGTCTCTTAGAGCGCGCCGGCATCAAGGAAGGCGCTGTCGAGGTGCTTTTTGAAGGCTTCGATGCGGGAGAGCCTGCGCCGGGAGAGCAGACGCAGCCTTACCTGCGAAGCCTGTCGATTGATGTCGCGATGCATCCCCACACGCTGCTCGCCTACGAGATGAACGGTGAACCATTGTCTAGGGAACATGGTTATCCTCTGCGTCTCATCGTGCCCGGATGGTACGGTATGGCGTCCGTGAAGTGGCTGCGGCGCATATCTGTGATTCAAGAGAAGTTTGAAGGATTCTTCCAGAAAGGACCGCTATATCATCGAGGGCGATGAAGGCGAATCCGTGCCTATCGCACAGATGCACGTGAAGTCGCTAATTAGCTGGCCACAGTCTAATACCAGCCTGGCGAACACCAACCTGGCTTTGCAAACGCACATGATCAATGGCATGGCGTGGTCGGGATTCGCTCACATCGCTAAGGTGGAGATAAGCGATGACGGCGGCGAAACATGGAATGAGGCCGAACTTGTGGGGCCGCGCTATCGTTATTCGTGGCAGCAATGGAACTTCGCATGGTCTCCCAAGGGCGCCGGGCACTATACACTGGTTGCCAGAGCCACAGACGAGGACGGCAATGAGCAGCCGCTCGAAACGCGCTGGAACAGCCTGGGATACATCATCAATGGAGTGCGCCCTGTCTGCGTGGAGGTGCGCTGATATTTGATGCTGATATTTGATACGGGCGACGGCTTCATCCGTCACGCATATCGCTTCGTTCTCCTGGACATTGCGTTAAATTAGCGCGCCCGAGGAAGGTTAATGTCGAATGAACCTAGACCGGGGCGGGCGGTTGCAAGCCGCTTTCTAGCAGCCCTACAATACGGCGATTTCCAAACGCTATGGATCGCGAATTTCTTTGCCGGCGCTGCCGCGTGGGCGCTTATTGTCGCGCGCGGTTGGGTGGTGTACGAGCTTGCCGACTCGTATGTGTGGGTTGGGGTCGTAACTTTTGCAGCGATGATCCCGCGCGTGGTTGTATCGATTTTCACCGGCTATCTCGCTGATCGCTTTGATCGCCGCCGACTGCTGACGGCGATGTTCGCCGTTAACTTTGTGCACAATATCGCTCTTGGCGCCTTGATGCTGACCGGCAACGCCGAGATCTGGCATCTGGTTGTGCTTTCGGTCGTGAATGGCTCTGCTCGTGCAGCGCAGATGCCTGCGGGACAGTCGCTGATTCCAAATCTCGTTCCTCGCCATCTGCTTCTGAACGCAATAGCCCTAAATCAGGCGACGATGCATGGCTCGCGGCTGATCGGTCCGCTGGCAATAGCACCCCTGCTGAGCTTGGGCAGTTCGGTGGGCACCGGCGCGGCGGGCGCGGTTTTCCTATGCTCAGGCTTCTATGCCGTTAGCCTAGTTCAGTCGATGCGGATTCGCACCGTAACCACAGGGGAGATAGACAGAAGACAGAGCATGTTGAGGAACTTCGCGGCGGGCGCCGTTTATGTCTATAAGACGCCTATGATGCGAGCGATTGTGGGAATGGCGTTCTTCCATTGCGGGCTAACGATGTCGTTTGAATCGCTGTTGCCGGCGCTGTCGAGTGAGCAGCTCGACGCGCAGGGCTCCGGGTTCGCGCTGCTAATGATGGGAGTGGGCGCAGGCGCGCTAATCTCCGCGATGACGCTTGCCGGAGTAGAAAGCGAAGTCACGAAGGGCCGACTGTTCCTCATTGTCGGGCTGCTCAGCGGACTTGCTCCGTGCGCGCTTGCGCTTGCGCCAACGGTGCCGCTGGCGCTGATTGGCGCGTTCTTTATGGGACTGGGTCAAGCCGCGTTTATGACGCTGACACACACGATGATTCAGTCTGTCGTGCCGGACGGCATTCGCGGCAGGGTTGCGGGCATATACTCGGTGCACATAGGCGGGATAATGGCGTCCGCGAATCTGTTCAACGCCAGATTCGTTGATTACATCAGCATCGACGCCATTGCGGCGTCCCTCAACATAGACAGCAGGGTTGCGTACTTTTTCAACAGCGCGTCGTTGCTTCTCATAGGCGGCGGGCTTGCTTTTCTTAGGGGTAGTCGTCCTGAGCTGGTGGTACAGCTCCACGCGGCAGATATATCAGGGTCAACTCTTTCAACGCGCTTTTGCTGTGGCAGACTAGCACGTGAACACGCTTTGGTGCGCGGCATGCTGAAACAGACTTTCATACACTTGCCAAGAGTGGGTAAGGTTACCGAAGGCGAAATCTGGGACGCGGGCATAGGAAGCTGGGATGACTTTCTGGGCGCCGGCGAATTGCCGTCCCGGATACGCGGCAAGGAGTGCCTTCTGCGGTCGCTGATAGAGCGGTCATCGGAGCGGTACGAATGCCGCGACGCTGCGTACTTCGACAAGGCTCTGCCTCCGAGAGAGCGTTGGCGGCTGTATGCCGATTTTCGCGAGCGCGCCGCCTTCGTGGACATCGAGACTACCGGATTGTCGCCGGAGCGCGGGATCATTACGCTCATAGGCGTGCTCGATGACAGCGGCTATACGGCATACGTGTATGACGAGAATCTTGCGGATTTTCGAGAGGCGATGGAGCAGTACGACCTGGTGGTGACCTTCAACGGGGCTGCGTTCGACCTGCCTTACATTGAGTATCATTTTGGCAGTATGTTCAAGAGTGTGGCGCACATCGACTTGCGGTTTCCGCTGAGGCGCGCGGGCTTTTCGGGCGGATTGAAGTCTATTGAGCAGCAGGCTGATGTGGGACGACCGTCTGAGTTGAGCGCGCTGAACGGGTATGACGCTGTGCTGCTGTGGCGGATGTGGCAACAGGGTGATGAAGGGGCAAGGGATACGCTGGTCAGGTACAATGCGGAGGACGTTGCTTCGCTGCCGGCGCTGGCGGAGATTACTTATAGTAAATTGGCTGGGCGACTGGCTGGGCGACCGGCAGGGCGGCTTCCGACTGATGTGAGCAGCCTGCCGCCGACGCATCGGCATGATATTGACTTGCCGTTTGATATGAAAGTCATAGAGCGATTGAAGTCCGCGAAGTTCGGTATAGGGCAGGCGCTTTGAACCGCATCGCTTTGGTCAGCAGCGACGAGATGGTACGGGTTGCCAGTGCTGATGCGCTGGGCGCGCCGCACCAAGCGGTTTCACAGCAGAGACATCGCTGCGTCTGGCCGGCTTGGTCGCCAAATGGCGAGGATCTGATGTACTCGGTGTATCCTGCTGCGGGGAGCAATGGGCATGGCGCGTTTCGGATCATATCGCGGCCTGCGGGCAAGCCTGCGACTGCCATATACACGAATGAGCCGGGAACGGATGCGATTGCGCAGCACACGCCGCACTACCTGATGTGGTCGCCGGACGGCAGCAAGGTCGCTTTCATCGCGCAGACGGTTTCTTCGGGTATGTCACTGATGGTTGCCGATGCTGCAGGCGATGCTGCGCCGGTGCGCCTGTTGGACGGAGCGCCGCTATTCTTCTGCTGGTCGCAGGATTCAGAGTACATATTCGCGCATGCCAGGGAGCTGCACTATCTGATAAGGCTGAGTGATCCGGAGCCGGCGCAGGTGCCGGTTGCGTCGATTGGGTATCAGACGCCTTCGGTCAATCCGCAGGATGGGCGTATCGCCATGTGTGGGGAGATGTCCGATACTTTGCAGGGAATAGTTGTTGCGACCGTCCAAGGTGGCGCCGAGGTAGTGGGAGAGGTCGAGGGATCGGTGGGGTTTTCGTGGAGACCTGATTATTTGCGACCTCAGGGTGCGAGACCCCAGGGGGCGCATCTTGGGATCGTGAGCGGTCTCAACCGAGGGAGCGGCTACTATGACAGGCTTACGCTGTTGGATGTGAGCACTACAGCCGAGCGTGTTCTGATCGAAGAGCCGATACTGTGCTTCTTCTGGTCGCCCGACGGCTCGAAGATTGCGTACGTCACGCCATCGGAGGGTGCGCAAGGATCGGTGCGCTGGGGGATGCTTGACCTGGAAACGGACGAAGTAAGATATTTGGCTGACTTCATTCCGAGCCGCGAGCAGCTCACGATGTTCATGTTTTTCGATCAGTACGGGCAGTCGCATGGGTTGTGGTCGCCAGATAGCGACAAGATTCTGTTCTCGGGGATTCTCGGGCGGATAGAGGCGCGCGGTCCATTGCCGGACGGTAGCACTTCGTCAGTCTATATTGCGGACGCGATGGGGAGGGATGAGCCAGAGTTGGTAGGGCAGGGTTCGATGGCTGTGTGGTCGGTGTAGGACACAATTCCTGAATGTCTCTGGGCGTACTTCAAGGCGCTAATTCTTACCTTCTAAGGTTTTCAGGCAAAGATGTCAGCCGTGTTAGAGCAATGCCGTGACGGAATTGGCCTTGTCTTGAATATAGTCAGCCCTTTGTAATCAGCACGCCGATCAATCCGCCACCAACTATTATGATTGTAATGAACAGACCCATGAGCCAGCCGCGCAACTCGCGGATGTCTCTTCGCAGCTCGTTGATGCCTTCCTGCAATGAGTGCAATGTTGGCGTCGAAGCGCCAGTCTGTTGCTGTTGGCGTTCCTGTCCTTGAGTTCGCATCGGAACCTATGCCTCTCCCACCGTGCCATTTGGTTAGGAAGGTATGAAAAGTTCGGATTGTTCTAAGTAACTCATTTATCCGCGAAAGACTGAATGCACAAGTCCATTTGGTATTGCCAATAGGTGTTGGCGTTTGCGTTATTTCAGTGAAGTGAGAAATCTAAAATCGGCGAATGGGTATGGGCAGCGAGTTTGATCTTCACCCCGCATGCGCTACGTTCCCCATCGACGAGGAAGGGGACTGAGTTCGAATGACAGGGGTGCAGCACGCGTGTCCAGATGACAGAATACGCCACTTTTCCAGGTATAACTTTGATCCCAAATGCAATGTGCCTTCAGACGTTGGTGTTGCACATTTTCCAAGACATCAACTAAGGGAACTTCCGCACCTTGCTCTCTCAAGAGTGGCTTGTTGATTGTGAAACAGAGTTTAGAGTTGGAACCACTAACTATGAGAATAATACGAATGGTTTGACGGCTTGAAGCATTGGTGATAAGTATTAGCAGGCTGATTACACTCCTGGAGTTGATGCTTTGCTTGCTAGTGCTTTTACTTGCGCCGTCGTGGGATTGGAAAGGGTACATTGTCAGGTCGAGGTTGATATTTCGCCGGGGCTGGCCTCAGTTCACTGTAGTAGGCTTGCCGGATGCGGCGGTGAAGGAGGCGAGGGAGCGGGTGCGCGCCGCGATTCGCAATACCGGCTGCGAGTTTCCGATGCGGCGCATAACGCGAAACATGGCACCTGCCAACCTCCCGAAAGGCCGGTCTGCATACGATTGCCGATGCGCTGGCGGTGCTGATAAGCTCGGGGCAGGTGCCGCCCGCCCCTGAGTCCACGATGTTTCTTGGAGAACTCTCGCTCGACGGCACTCTGCGCCATACAAACGGCCTGCTGTCTATGGTGGCGGTCGCGCGTGATGAGGCATTCGATTCGGTTTTGTGCCTGCTTGCGATGCGGGTGAGGCTGCGCTGGTAGAAGGCATACAGGTGTTTCCGGTGGAGACGCTGGGGGCCTTGGTGACGGCACTTTCGCGGTGAGTGCCCGAGTGAGCAGTGTTGCCGAGGATGTGTCAGGCGCGAGAGGGCTGGAGATGGCAACGCGGCGCAAATCGCGGGGCGGGCAGAGAGTTTGACCTTGCGGATGTGCGAGGGCAGGAGCATGCAAGCGCGCGCTAGAAGTTGCGGCAGCGGGCGGACACAATCTTCTGATGACCGGACCTCCGGGAAGTGGCAAGACGTTGCTTGCGCGGTGCATCCCGTCTATCCTGCCCACAATGACTTATGACGAGGCGATCGATGTCACCAAGATTTACAGCGTGAGCGGACTGCTTTCAAGCTCCTCACCGTTCATGGACGAGCGACCGTTTCGCGCGCCGCACTACACAATATCCAATGCGGGCTGGTTGGGCGGCGGCAGAATCCCTCGTCCCGGCGAGGTAACGCTGAGCCATCGCGGAGTGCTGTTTCTGGACGAACTGCCGGAGTTCGGGCGCAATGTGCTCGAGGTACTGCGCCAGCCAATCGAGGACAACGTGGTTACGATTAGCCGCGCGCAGGGCACGATAAGCTACCCGGCGAACTTCATGCTGTGGCGGCGCGCAACCCCTGTCCGTGCGGTTATCTCAATGACATCGCCAAGCAGTGCGTATGCAGACCGAGCGAGATTTCGAGATATAGCCAGCGCATCAGCGGCCCGCTTCTCGACCGCATCGACTTATTCGTGGATGTGCCGCGCGTGGAGTATGAGAAGCTGACGAACCCCAGCGACGCTGAGCAGTCAGAGCAGGTGAGGGAGCGTGTGGAGTCAGCAATTCAATCGCAGCGGGAGCGTTTTGGCGGAACGGACTTGTGAACAATTCCGAGATGGGGACCGAATGAAGTCTGGAAATTCTGCCGGATGGATGATGCGGCGAAGGGGCTGATCAAGACGGCGATGAATCGCATGAACCTGTCGGCGAGGGGCTTTCACCGCATATTGAAGGTGTCGCGCACAATTGCCGATCTGTCCGGCGCTGAGGCAATAGAAGTGTCGCATCTTGCGGAGGCGTTACAGTACAGGCAGGCGGGTGAGGTTGACTAGGTTTGTTGGACATTTCCCATTTGTCCCCTGTCATTCCGAGCGAAGTGAGAAATTTGAGGTCTGTGAATGGCTTGTGTGCAGCGATTTTAGATTCTTCACTCCGCTGGGCTGCGTTCAGAATGACAGTGGATGAAGGTGCCGCGTTCAGAATGACGAAAAAAATCCTCTTCAAGTCTAAGACGCTTTGTGCATCAGATGTCAACGGAGCCTAGGTTACGTAGCGCAGAGCTAACTTAGTTTCGAGTGGTCAATCTGGCTGTTGTGACTGCTGCACTGCTTTGGCGGAGCGTCGGCGCAGGTGTGCAATCAGCAGATAGAGGACGAAAGCCGCTACCGTCGTCACACCGAACGCGATGCCAACAAGCAGACCGTTGGTCTCCAGAGAACTCCAAAGCCGCATTGCCGAAGATGATCGCTAGCGCAGCCCACATGAACATTCGGCGCCTCTGCCAATGAACGATGCCACGATAAACGACTTCTTGTCCATCTCCATCGCGCCGGCGGTTATGGCGAAGACCTTGTATGGTACGGGCGTTACTGCGGCGAAGATTATTGCCCATACACCGTACTTGCTGAACAGTTCTTCGACTCGTTCCACCTTCTTCGCTGACACGAACCTGTTGATTATCGGTCTGCCGTAGCGGTTGCCAGCCAGTATCCGCACAACGCACCCGCTACCGACGCCACGGTTACGATGGCTGCGAGAATGAGCGCCATGTCCGGATTGAAGACGGACGCCGCTATGAGAATGGGATCGGGCGGGAAAGGTGAGATGATGGATTCTGTGAACGCAACCGCGGCCAGCACCACGATCACCCATTGGCTATAGGAGAAGCCCTCCAGCCAATGAGACAAGCCGGTGAGTAGTTCAAGCATGTACAGACACGCCGTCATTCGAGCGGCGATGGGCGCTTGTAAGCGTCATGAAGCCTTGAAGGATCACAGGCCCGCCATGCCCAGAACGCGTTCTACGTTAGACGGGTCGGGCGTTATCTCGCCGCTATCGACGCCTCGCATTACATCTACTATGGCGGCGTTGACCGGCGTGTGTATGCCGGCTTCGCGTCCCCGCGCCACGATGTAGCCGTTCATGAACGCGGCTTCGGTTCGGCGGCCCTTCGTGACATCCTGCGCCATAGAGGACTTCCAGTCCGCCGCGCTCGGCTTGGGCTGCAAAAGGGCGTCCAGATCTTCGTAAATATCGCCCTGGTCGGCGTTTGCCCAAGTCTTGGCTTCGACGCCGCTGATTTTCTCGATTTCGTAATTAAGGGCAAGTCCGACCTGCGTAGATTCTTTGGCTATCTGAATCTGGAGCATTCGCGCACGGGGATTTGCGGCGAAACCTGCGAGCCTTGTCCGGTCATTGCGCCAACCGGATTTCCGATGGAGTTGGTGGTCAGCTTGGACCAGCGCTCGCCCCAGATATTGGAAGTGACGCGCGAGCCGTCAATACAGCTCAGCATTTCGGCGATTTCCTCGACGCGGGGAGTGATTCTGCCATGCAGCTCGCCGACTCGGAACACGTCGTGACCGCGGTCGCGCCCCGGTGCGCCTCCGCGCGTAACATGCGCAGGCTCCCAGAGCGCTACGGTGATGCTGGACATTATGCAGCCGACCTGCCGCTCGTAGCCTACTATGGATGCCGTGAGCTGGTCGTTCATGCAGTTCTGGCTGTTGACGACAAAGCCGTTAGGGGAGAGGAGTCGCTTTATGAAGTGGCTTGACCATTCTGTGTCGTAAGACTTCATGGCGAGGAAGATAATATCGAAGTTGTGCTGAAGCTGCCATGCGTCCGCGAGGTGAACGGCATTTACGGGTGTAGTAAAGTCGCCCTGGCTGCCGGAAGCGCGCAGCCCGTTGGCGTTCATCGCATCGACATGCTCGCCCCACATATCTATGAGGGTGATGTCGTGGCCCTCACGGGTGAGGAATGCGCCGAGGTAGCTACCTGCGGCTCCCGCGCCGAATATGGCTATTCTCTTGGACATCAGTTACTCCTTGCATTTTATTGCTGCTTTGTCGGGCATGCTTGTCGAGTCAATGCGCCGCGCGTTTATCTGAAGCTCGAAGGCTGTGCCGCCTATTCGCACCTTGCCGTTCAGGAGATGTGCTGCCGATTCGCCTGAGATTGGCAGATTGAGCGGCTTGCCATCCTCACCGAGTATATCAGAGATGTCGTCGTTCATCACAACTGCAAGTTTAGCGGTTGGGGTGGACTCATTCAGGACGGAGTGCAGCAACTCCTCTTGCTTGCGGTGCGCTTCCTGCGCTTCGTCTACCGAGACAGCGCTGAATGTGATGGTGTGCCCGGGCATTGCCTGGGCTATCCTGCTGATGTCGGCGCTGATGACGGTGGCGATCTTTGTGTAACCTCCGGTCGTGCCTCTGTCGGCGAGCAGAATGATTGGCTCTCCACTGCCGGGTACCTGGATTGCGCCCAAGGGCGTGCCGTCGGATATCACGTCTGGGCCTGTGACGTGCTCGATAGGCTCGCCTTCAAGCCTGTATCCCATGCGGTCGGAGTTGATGGACACGGTGTAGGTTGAGTTCAGGAATGTGTCGATGCCTGACTGAGTGAAGGCAGCATTCTGCGGTCCGAGAACCACACGCAGTTCATGATTGACGCCGTACTTGGGTATCGCTTCTGTGGGGAAGCGTAGAACTGGTCGCAGCGCGCTCAGGGCATCTCCGAAGGCGTTGAGGATGTCCCCGGAGCGCAATTGCCTGCCATCCAAGCCGCCGATTGCGGCTTTCATATAGGTCGAGCGGCTGCCCATTATCACGGGAACATCTATGCCGCCCGCAACTGCGAGGTAAGCGCGCATTCCGTCCTTCGGTCCGTGGAACTCAAGCCTGCTGCCCTTGCGGACGGACACAGCTTGCCACATGGGTATCGGCTCGCGATCCACCGTCGGAGATACATTTGCGCCCGTAATGGCGATCCGCGTGTCTGCAAGCAGGATTATGCGCGGGCCCAGCACGGTGGCTTCTATACCGGCGGCGCCAAGGTCGTTGCCGAGCAGCGCATTTGCGGCGCGGAGTGCGAACGTGTCCATCGCGCCTGCCGTGGGCATTCCGAAGCGCTGGTAGCCGTACCTGCCCGTGTCCTGCACGGTGGACAGCATGCCGGGTTGATTTATTTGAAGTGTGGGTGTGCTCATTTCAAGTATTCTTCAGTCGCCTGATATTCTCCGGACTCAACCTGCTGCAGGATTGCGTCATATTCGTCCCGCGAGGCGAGAGGCACGAAGCGCACATAATCGCCAGCGCTGAGCAAGACGGGACGCTCGCGCGTTGGGTCGAACAGCTTGAGCGGGGTCCTGCCTATGAGCTGCCAGCCGCCGGGGCTTGCCATCGGGTAAACGCCGGTCTGGGTCTCGGCTATGCCCACAGCGCCCGCGGGAATCTCGGTGCGGGGCGACTGAAGGCGAGGTGTTGCGAGGCGCTCGTCGAGACCGCCGAGGTAGGCGAAGCCGGGGCTGAAGCCCATCATATAGACGAGGTAGTCGGTGCCGGAGTGGATTCTGATAAGTTCCTGCTCGTTGATGCCGGTGTGCTGCGCCACGAATTCGATGTCGGCGCCCATTTCGCCGCCGTACAGTGTGGGTAGATGCACGATGTGACGCTCGCCAGTGTCTGCTTCCTCGGTAATTTCAAGGAGGCGCTCGATGCCTTCCTGCACATCTGACGATGAAATCTGGAGCGGGTCGTAGTACACGAGGACGGAGCGGTAGGTCGGCAGAAAATCGAATACGCCCGGGATGCCACCTTGTTCCAGGGCGTCGGTGAGGCTGCGCACCTTGCGGTTTATCTGTGGGCTGATTGCGTCGCCGAGTTCGACGACGATCGCCATATCGCCGGCAGGGAAGAAAAGGGGCTTTTCGTACATGTGCCTATTTTAGCCGAGTATTCTGGCGAGTGGAAGGATTTCCACATCTGCGGCTTCGAGTTCGCGCTTGAGCGACGCTGCCATTTCGACCGCGCCGGGAGTGTCACCATGGAGGCAGAGGCTGTCGGCTTGCACATCAATCTGCTCGCCGGTAATGGCGGTCGCCTTGCCTTCGGTTACCATGCGCAGGCTGCGCTCGACGACTTCCGCCGTGTCGTGGATGACCGAGCCGGGCTGAGAGCGGGAGACGAGCGTGCCATCAGCGTTCAAGGCGCGGTCGGCGAAAATCTCGCGGGCGACTTTCAATCCCATGTCTTCGGCGATGTCCAACCAGCGGGAGCCGGCGAGGGCGACGAGAATCATATCGGGGTCGATCTCCAGAATGGACTCGCAGATTGCCTGGGCGAGGGATTCGTCGTTCACAGCCATATTGTACATCGCACCATGAGGCTTGACATGCTGGAGCTTTTTGTCGGCGGTGAATGCCTGCAAGGCGCCGACCTGATATGTGACATCGTTCTTGGCTTCGTCGGCCGATACGACCATGTTGCGGCGGCCGAAGCCATTGAGGTCGGGGAAGCTCGGGTGCGCGCCTATGGCCACGCCATGCCGCAGGGCGAGATCGACCGTGTGGCGCATCCACATGGGGTCTCCCGCGTGAAATCCGCAGGCGATGTTGGCGGAGGTGATGTGCTTGATGACCTCCTCGTCGAAGCCCATCTTGTACATACCGAAGCTCTCGCCCATGTCGCAGTTGAAGTCTATCTTGGCTGTCATATATCGACCTCCTGTCAATGGGTCGCCCGATGAAGTGTTGTAGTCCGACTGTAATTATACGGCGTCCCGCAAGGTCTTACCACCACCAGAGCAGCTAGCGTCAATAGCAAAACTGATGCAAATTTCAGTGTTTGAGGTTCATATATTGCATTTACATTATTGCAAGCGTGGTCGTAAGATTAGTTGATTGAAATCATGGTCATATTGTGTGAGGGTGGCGCAGCGCAGTTTATTTGCGATTCACTCACGGGCAGGATGCCGCTGACATATCACACCGGCGCATCGGAAGGAGCACTCGATTGAATAGACTGGTTGCTGGAATTGTAGCGGTTGTGATTGTTGCCGTGATAGTGGGTGCGGCTGTTTTTTTCTTCATATTGCGCGATGATGAATCGGGCGAAGGCGATGTCAGTGCGGTGGCGTTGAGCGCCGCTCCCGTAGTGCGAGCGGACGCGGTGGTCGTGCCGATACGGAGCGCCAGCCTGGGGATGCCCATGGGTGGCATGGTCAGCGATGTGCTTGTCAGGGAGAACGATGCGGTAGAAGAGGGGCAACTGCTGGTTCGGATTGATGATACGGATGCGGCATTTGCCATTGAGAGGGCGGAGAATACGGCAGCCAGCGCCCGCGCGGACCTGGAGACTCTTAAGATTTCCATAGAGAAGGAGCGCGAACTGGACGATGAGGCGCGGCCCGGAAGGCTGGAGCAGGCGCGTTCGGCGCTTCAGTCGGCGCAGGAGCGTTACATGCATCTGAGCGGGGCGAATCGCAGGGCTGGCGCCAGAGTAAGCGCTGAGGGCGCGTTGATGGAGGCGAAGTACACCGAGGCGATCGCAAGCGCGGAGATGCGCGTAGAGCAGGCAGAAATGGCGCTGCTAAAGGCGATGGGCGTTGCCAGCACACGTGGCATTGCGGAGACTCCGGAAAGCCGCGCCTTTGTTGCCGCCCGCGACGCTCGCATTGCCAAGGCGCGCCTTGCGATTGTGGATCTGCAGAATGTCCTGGATGACGCCCGGGACTTCAACAATATTGAGCAGGATGCGCAGGATGCCATAATTGTGGCGACGGCTTTGCTTGCCAACGCAGAGAGAGACCTGGAGGTTACTGTTATTGAGATGGCGGAATCCAACCGGGTGGCTCAGGACGCTTACCTCGACGCAGAGTTTCACTGGCGCTCGCTGCATAACCACTACTTGGGGATACAGCTGACTTCTGACGAGCTGCACAAGGACCCGAAGACCCTCTTCGAAGAATGGGGAGTCGATCTGGAGAGTGTGTTTGACCGAGATAACCTGTCGTTCCCGAATAATGTGCTGGAAGACGATCCCGCGACCAGATGGAACGAGTTAAAGCTGTTTGCGATGCTAGGGGCTCGGGCCTTACAGCGCTCATATGGTAACTTGCCAGGATGTCATCGTACCTCGCGGAATGCGATGCATCGAAAGGGAGTATGAGGACGCCTGGCACGCCTTTTCGGCAGCGCGGGAACATTACATCACAGCCGAGAAGGACGGGATGTCTGCGGTGCAGGTAGCGGAGAATAATGTCGTGAGCGCCCAGAACCGTCTCGACGATGCGGAGCGCGCGCTGGAGATAATTCAATCGGGCCGTCTGCAGGCAAATGCGGAGAGCATTCAGTCAGAGTTGGATCGCAGCCAATGCCGCGCTGGCAGAGTTGCTTGACTTCACTGACGATGCGGAGAGCGTGCAGGCTGAAGCGAACCTGGAACTTGCCAGGGCTGCGCTTGCCGATCTGCAGCCGGATAATCAGGAGATAGCACTTGCAAGGCAACAGGTAGAGGATGCAGAGCTTCAGATTTCCAAACTTGAGGCAGGTAGAGACCCGCTGGACGAGGAGCGCAGAGAGGCGCGCATCGCGGCTGCTGAATCAAGAATCGTGTCTGCTGAAACTGCATTACAGGCTTCACAGATCGCGCTGGCCGATACGGAATTGCGCGCGCCGTTCGGGGGTGTGATAGTTGGGCTCAATGTTAACGCCGGTGAGGAGGTCAGTCCTCGGCAGTTCGTTATGAGCCTTGCGGATACCTCTGAATGGGAACTGGTTACCCTTGATCTTGACGAACTCAGCGTGGTTAATCTCTCAGAGGGCGACGGCGTGAGCGTAGTGTTTGACGCGCTGCCTGACCTTGAAATGAGTGGAACCATTCCAGGGTCAGCCGTTACGGGGAGGAGCAGCAAGGCGCCGTTATATACTCGGCTGATGTGCGGCTGAGTAGTACGGACCCGCGATTGCGCTGGGGCATGACTGCTTCGATCAGCAAGTAGGGCAGCAAGTAGTGTCTGAGTTAGATGCGTCACTTAGGTGATGCTTCCCGTACTGCCTTCTCATATGGCATGGGCACCGATAAGGAAGACAGGACACCGCCGCACGAAGAACTCGTGCGGCGGTGTCTTTTTGTCTGATGACAGTTTTGGGTCGGGATCGGCTGGTACTAGCTTGTCTTCAATTTTGTTGACATCCCGAAGCCATGCGACGAATCTATTGTCCTGGCTTGGCGATGTGGAAAGGGGTTCAGTTCCTAATTCCGATCCCGCCAAGTGCAGAGTGTCCTAGAACTTGCGCTTGATGGTTATGAGCGCCGCCGGGTTCTGCCAATTGTGCTGCGCGGGAGTCAGACCTGCGCCGCCATATACGCCTGAGTGGATGTGCACAAAGCCTTCGGCCGCGGAGTCATCGTGCGCGTGGTTGCCGCAGGGCGGTCCGGGGATGAAGTCGCAGTTTTCGCTGTTTGCCTCACTGCCGGAGTCATAGACCGGAACTCTTATAGAGCGGTCCACAACGCCGAGCAGACTCATGCCGTTGAGGGATACAAAGCCGTCATTCGTGCTGACGAGCATACTTGCGAGCGACAGTCGCGTGGCGGTGCCATCGACATTCACGACCCCCGTTGCGGTCTGTCCGGGCGGTATGGGGCCGTCGTTAAGGGTGAGAACTTGTACATCGTTCACCTCATCGTTGTTTTTCCAGAGGGCCATAGCCCTGATGAGTCCGCATCCTCAGCCATTGCCGCGAGTTCAGCGCTTGCGGGCTGTGCGAGAGTGAACAGGGGCGCGTTGTCCTTAGAGTGCGTTGCCACGATTACAGGTGACAAAATCTGTCCGGGCGTAAGGTTCGTCACCGAGACTTCGTAGTCGATGCCATCACCTGAGTTGCTCACCGGCGCACCTGCGACCACTCCCACTGTCAAAGCCGACAGAGCGGCGAGTCCAGCTAATAGGATTATGATTTTCTTCTTCATTCCAATAACCTCCACTCCACTTCCTATTTTCATCTGAAAACTCAAGTCCGTGACGCGCGCTATCCACAGACCAAATTCCAGATATTGCCTCTGATGTAACCAATTGGATACTTAGTGAAACGCCTGATGTGGCTCAGATTAAATATAAGTAACTTAAAGTAACAGGCTTCACTATAAATACTATTATAGCGTAAAACTTGCACTGAGGTGAGGTGGAATTGAGGGTTTCGAATAGAGGGAGTGGCTGTCGCATTCTCAATGTGTGTTGATGCCGCACGTCTGCTCGAATGTCAGCAGTACAGAATTTTTGCAGCAGGGAATGGTGAGAACGCGTGCTGAGAATGCCGTGACCTTACATCGGCGTCTCGGCTTGCTTCAGGGGCGATGAAACAAGGACAGTCTGGTAAGCAACTGCTCACCAGACTGTGAAAAGGATACGAGTTTGGGGGATGGGCAGCTTAGTCGGCTGCAGCGGCTTCGCTGTCGCTGTCGCTGCTGTGGGACGACGGGCGCCCATCGGGGAAGAAGGCGCTTAGCACTTGCTGCACTATGCCTTCGGCGTCCAAGAAAAGTTGGCGGCGCTGCGCATCGGCAGTGCCGTGCTCGACAAAGGAGTCAGGCATGCCGATGCGATGCACGGAAACATCGTCGAGACCGGCTTCTGCGAGGGTTTCCAGTACGGCTGAACCGAATCCGCCCGCCAGGACGTTCTCCTCGACGGTACGATACGCTTAGTCTTGCTCGCAGATTCAAGCAGCAGTTCGACATCCAAGAGGCTTCACGAACAGCGGGTTTACGACGCTGCAATCGATGCCGAAGTCCGCAAGCAGTTCTGCAGCTTCCAGCGCCGCGCCTGGCAGATTTGCCCAAGGCCAAAAATGGCGACATCAGCTACCTTCCCTCACAACGTAGCCCTTGCCGATAGGCAACTCCTTCAGGTCGCTGTCCAGTAGAGCCCCCGTGGCTGTTCCTCTGGCGATGCGAATTGCGAATGGTCCCTGGTGTTTATATGCAGTGTAGATGAGATGCTGCAGGTCGTTTTCGTTCATGGGCGCCGCAACAACGGCATTGGGGAGGCATCGCAAGTATGAGATGTCAAAAGCACCGTGATGCGTCTTGCCGTCCTCTCCGACGATGCCGGCACGGTCAGCGATCAGCGTGACAGGCAGATTCTGGAGACAGACATCATGTACTACCTGATCGAAAGCGCGCTGAAGGAATGTCGAGTAGATGGAGACGAACGGCTTGAGGCCGCTTGATGCCATCCCGGCAGCCATGCTGACTGCGTGCTGCTCGGCGATACCGACATCAAAGACCCTATCAGGGAACTCCTGCTGTACTTCCACAAGACCTGTACCCTCCAGCATAGCGGCGGATATGCCTACAACCGATTCGTCTTCGCGCATCAGATGCGACACAGTCTGGGCGAACACCTTTGAGTAGGTGGGGGCGCCCGAAGAGCTGCCAAGAGGCGAGCTCGGCTGGTGGAACCTGATGGGGATCGTCCTCGGCAGGCTCATAACCGTGGCCTTTGTGCGTTACTACGTGTACTACGGGCACCAAGTCGGTGGTTATCTTTGCCTGATTGAGGGTATCTTCAAGCTGCCTGAAGTCGTGACCGTCAACGGGGCCGAGGTATCGAAAGCCCATCTCGTTCCAAAACATAGTGGGCAGGATGAAGCTTTCAACACCGTCGTTAAGGCTCTTTACGAGCTGGTATATCAACTCACCCGTGGGGACTCTCTTTGAAAGGTCAGTCATACGCCGGATCATCGCCTGATACTGGGGGTGAGTGATCAGGCGCTTCCGCCAGTTGGTTAGGAAGCCAATGTTCTCGGAAATGGACATGCCGTTGTCGTTGAGAACGACAACCATCTTCTCCGGATTAAGGTGCACGATGTTGTTCAGCGCCTCAAAGCTCGATCCGGAGGTCATTGCTCCGTCGCCTACGATGCCGATGGTCCAGGAGTCGGACTTCTGGCTGGTGGCAGCTTGCGCTATGCCCAGCGCGATGGAAAGACCGGTGCCGGCGTGCCCGGCGCAGAGAGTGTCGTGCGGGCTCTCGCTGGGTTCGCCGAAGCCGGACAGTCCGCCCTCAAGCCTGATGTCCTTAAACTCGTCGCGCCGTCCCGTCACCAACTTGTGCGTGTAAAGCTGATTGGTGGTGTCCCAGACAATGCGGTCTTTAGGGCTGTCGAAGACGCGGTGCAGCGCCAATGTCAGTTCCACTACGCCGAGGTTGGACGCGAGGTGACCGCCACGCTCAGTTATAACGGAGATGATAGTGTCGCGGGCTTCCTGCGCTACCTGTGACAGTTCTTCGTGAGAAAGTGGTTTCAGGTCGCCTGGCGCATCGATGCCGTCCAGAAGGCGAGTAGTCATCGGGGTAATCTCCTTGGAATGCTGGAATACGAGGCACACAGCAGAGTGTCCGAAGACAAGTTAACCGTTCGTTAATCGTTAATAAGGTAAGACATGCGGATAAACCTGTCAATAAAATTGGCTCTACGATGGTGCGGGTTCCAGCCGGAAGCGCTCTCTGGGAATCTTTGAGTCAGGAGTTTGATTCAGCCGTTGGAGTCTTGACCGTCTGATGAGCATGTAGGCCTGGATTCGAATCTGCCGATCAGTTCAAACTGCTCGGACTTCTCCCTGGGCACTCTGGCGAGAGACAGGGAGTCGGGCAGGACAATGCCGCCGGAGAAGACAAGCTTCATAGCGTCGTCAACGGCGAGGTCGGTCTCAACCAGATCATCTTCCAAGACCAGTGCCATATTGCCTGAAGTCGGATTGGGAATTGTTGGGATGTAAACGATTGCTATTGAATCTTGTGTCCTGGCAGAATACGCGCGACCTGTAACAAAGCCCATGGCAATCATTCCTTCTCTGGGCCATTCCAGGAAGACAACGCGACTGAAGCTATACTGCGAGGTGAAAAGAGGTCATGACCTGCTGAGTGACACCGAATATTGCCTTGATGACGGGGATGTGGCTGATCAACGCGTTCTTGAAAGCAGACAGTCTCATACCGAAGCTTGTGGATATTACGATGCCGACCAGATAGAAGACTATTATGCCAACGATAAGACCGATGCCGGGGAAAGTCCCATGGTTCATTGGCTACGAATGGAAGGGGGCGAATGAGGGCGTCCGTCTTTTCGACCAGAAACAGAACTACGATGACGGTGACAAGCACAGGCACGAGATCAAGGAGCCCGGCGAGCGTCTTGCTCTGAATATGTCCTTCGATTCTCTTGAGAATGTTAGGTCGAGTCTCCTCTGTGTCGTCAGACTCTGACCTTTCCGAGTTCGTTTGCATTTCTTTGCTCCGTATCGAAGACTCTTTGCGTCCGCTTTCAATATATAAGTGCTCGCCCTTTGCCCATGACAATACGGCAAGGTGCCTATAAGGTCAAAATGTCGGGTCTGGCGCGTCATCGCCGTTCTTCACGTTTACGGCTTGCTTGCTATGCACTCTCCGAAAGCGATGCCGCCGACGGCGCCTGCTTCCCTGCTCCAATCGTCGAGTGCGGCGCGAGTGGCGTCGAACTGCTGCTGCGTAGCCAAGCCGTATTGAATTGCAGCAGCTACCACTTCGGGCATGAAGAACCAGCCGCCCATGAAGGTATGTAGGAAAACGATGTCGTCAGGCGCGCTGAAGAAATCAAATGAGGCGGTAGCAGTGATGTTGGTGAACCCTGCGACGAGGAAGGCGTTCTTCAGCTCCTTGCCCATCTCAGGATGGGCGCCATTGGCGGAGAGAAGGCGGATGAAGATCTGCCAGGCGGCGACGAACTCTTCACGATTTGGCTCCAGGAACGAAGATTCGCAGATTAGTTCGCGGCTGGCGATAATGCCGCCGGGCTTCAGGACGCGCTTTACTTCCCTTAATGCTGCCTGCGTATCAGGGATGTGCGTCAGGACGGTATGACATTGGGCGACATCGAAGTAGTTGTCTTCAAATGGAAGTTCCAAGGCGTTGCCGACGTGGAAGGTGGCGTTGTTGTGTCCGCCTGCCTGGGCGGCGGCACGCGCTAGTTCGATCTGCGACGCTTCCATGTCGATTCCGTGCAATTCGCCGGGTTCAATTGCCTTGGCAAGGCCGACAGAAATCGTGCCCGGTCCGCAGCCGAAGTCGAGAATGCGAATGCCCGGCTTCAAATGCGGGAGGAGATGGGCAGCATGGCTTTCGAGGCTGCGGCGGTTTAGCAGCAGCTGAAACTCCTCGCTGTAGCCCATCGTGTACTCCGGCGCAGGCTGAGTCTGATCTGTCATCACTATTTCCCTATATGTGTAAATTCAAGCAGTCGTACATTGCCGAATACTTGCTGTGGACGGACATAATCGGACTGCCCACGATGGGCGATGGGGCTAAGTAGATCGCCACTAAGTTGGAGTATATATGGCTATTCTACTTACGCACCAGAGATTACTAGAAGCAAGATTGAGTTTAAGATTTGAGATTTTGTTCGGTGGGGACTGCCGTTGTGTCGTAATTTGTGGAGTATGTGAAAGCTCTTGTGCCGTTTCTAAGCGTCAGTCTCAGCAATCATTGCGGACGGAAATATTTAGTGGTATAAATGGCGAGAGTGCATCTGACTCAAGTCGGAGCAAGCAAACCATTACCTCGGAAAGGAGGGTGTCATGACAGCCAGAAATTTTAAGTGGATTGGAATCCCGGTCTTGATAGCGCTCTCCATGGTGGTGGGCGCTGCATGCGACTCAATTGGCGAAATTGGAGGAGGCGACGAGCCGTACAGAATTGGCGTAATGGAGTCGGTTACAGGACCCGGCGAGACTTACGGCAATGTGGCCGTGCAGGCCAAGCAGATGGCGGTTGATGAGATTAACGCGGCGGGTGGCATTAACGGGCGAATGATCGAACTCATCGTCGAAGACGAGAAGTGCAATGCTCAGGACGCTATCACAGCGTACAGGAAGCTGACCGATGTGGATGGCGTGAAGATTATCCTAGGTACATCATGCAGCGGCGCGATGCTAGGCGCTGCGCCGTTGGCGGAAGGGGAAGGCGTGGTCATGTTCTCGGGCCTGGCTACTAACCCGGACATTGCCAACGCCGGTGACTATATTTTCCGCACTGCGATGAGCGATGCGCAGGTCGGTATAGACACGGGCAATGTGCTGTGGGCGGATGGAGTACGCACACTGGCGACGATTACAGAGGCGACCGACTATGCCGAGGGTGTAAGGCGGACATCGGTCGAGCAGTTCGAGAAGCGGGGCGGTCAGCTTGTCGGCGAGGAGCGCTACGCCTCGGATGTGACCGACTTCAGGTCTCAGATCACGAAGCTGCTCAACGCAAATCCTGACGGGCTGCATGTCGCGGCGCAGTCGGAGTTCTCGGGCGGGACAATCGTCAAGCAGGCGCGAGAACTGGGATATGAGGGGCCGATCTATCCGACATCGTTCCGATTGGAACGACGGCGCTAGAGATAGCGGGGGACGCCGCAAACGGGATGAAGGCAATCACCGCGGACCTTGACCCGGCTAACTCCAAGGCGCAGGAAGTCATCACGAACTTCAGAGAGAAGTACGACTATGTAACGCTCCCCTGGTATCTTGGCTCCGCATACGACGATGTCTATATCACCGCGGAATGCCTGAAGCAGACGGAGGACGATCAGGACGCCGATGGCTTCAGAGATTGCATGTACGACGTCACATGGAGCGGCGCTATCGGAAATAATTACAGCTTCGACGAAAATGGCGAAGTGGTGGGCCTGGCGAATGTGGTCGTGGAAATTCTGCCGACATCGGAGAGGTCTGAGGACAATCAGGGCTACCGGGTGCTGGGACCTGCACCATCCGAGTAAGTCCGGTTGATTCGGCAATGCGTCGTTCTCAGACTTGGCGCGTTTCTGTATCTGACACTGCCGGGCAGGGAAGCATAGCGATGTGCTGTCCGGTGGGACGTGGCGTGGAGGGGTTATTTGCACAGATTCCTTGAAGATCGCGGCACGACACTGGCGATTGCGCTGGCCGCTGCCGCCGCACTATACATCGCCTGGAAAATTACGCAGTCCCCGGACCAGGCACTTCAGTTCGCGTTCAACGGATTGGCTGTGGGCGCGGTGTATGCCCTGATTGCAACCGGTTACACGCTGGTTTACAGCACGGTCTGGTTTTTCGACCTCTATTACGGCGCCGCCGCCGCACTGGGCGCATACGGCGTATTTTACCTGCGTTCCTTCGATACACTTGGCGGGCGCTATGAGGTCAACGAGCCAGTTGTAAATGTCGTGTTCGCGGCTGTGACTGCTGGAGTAGCAGCCTGGGCGTTTCATGAGGCTTTCCATTCGCGGCTGCGTGATCGTCAATGGAGCCGTACCGCTATCAGGTTCGCGGACGGGGTATTAGCCGTCGTCGCGGGCGTCTATATGCTGCTCGTGCTGACCTTCCCAAAGCAGATGACAATCTTGCTGAGCCCGGCAGTCGGGTTGATGGCGGCTGGGGCGGTCTACTGGCTACTGTATCGTGGATATCGCCGAATGCTCGCCGATGCGAGCGCGCTGCCCGTAATTATTATTGGCGCGATTGCGGGGTGCGGAATTGGGGGATACTGCGCCTTTGTAATATACGGAACGCCCGGAGCGGGCCTTTATCTGAGTTGGGGTGTATCGTGCCTGCTCGCCGGCGTAGTGGGGCTTGCGCTTTACCGCGGGCTGTATGTGTATATGCGAGAGCGGGCGAGGTCGCCACTGGTCATGATTGTGGCGTCGCTCGGTATTCTGTTGGCAATGACGGCGTTCACGACGATAGTGTTTCAGAGTGCGCCGCGCCCGCTACCCGAAGCCTTCGGCAGCGAGTCGTGGAGGATTGCGGGAGCCAACATCAAGGGGTTCAATGTCTTCGCGATTGGTGTCGCGCTTGTCGGGTTTTCCTCCTTGCTGCTTGTGCTGAAAAGGACATCGTTCGGCAAGGCGGTGAGGGCCATAGGGGACGATGAAGAGGTTTCCAAGGTGGTGGGTATAAACACCACCGTCGTGATTGCGATAGTCTTCTTCATTGGCGCGGTGTACGCTGCGATGGGCGGGATCATAAGCGGTCATGACACTGCGATACAGCCCAGAATGGGATTGCTGCTGCTGCTGAAGGGATGGATTGCATCGGTGGTGGGCGGCATCGGAAACTTGTACGGCGCCATTCTTGGGAGGCTTTGCGCTGGGACTGATCGAGCAGTTCGGCATCTGGGACCTCGCCGGAGAGTGGAAGGATGCAATTTCCTTTGTCCTGCTGATACTGTTCCTGTCTTTCTGGCCCAAGGGCATTTTGCCGAGAAGGTAGCCACATGACGATAAGACTTCAACACATAAGGGACAATATAAAGCTGCTGAGTAACCCTCGGGAGTTCCGGCGCGCATCCAAGGGTAATATACAGCTGTGGGCGAATCTGTTCGTGATCGGCTGGGCAGTTGTGTTCATGCTGTGGCAGGGTGTCGGGTTTGCCATAACCGTGGGCACTGTGTTTCGCTATATGGGCTATGCTTGCGGTGAGCCTGAACTAGTAGTGGGCTTTGCGGGGCTGCTCTCAGTGGGGCATATCGGCTTCTTCGGCATTGGAGCCTACTCAATGGCGATACTAAGTTCCGACGCCGCATACGAACAACTTCGCACCGAGGCGCTGACAACCTTCGCGTGGCCTTTCTTCGCCGCTTTGCCGGTCAGCGCGCTGCTGGCAGGCGTGGTCGCACTTGCGGTGGGCGTCGTGTTCAATAGATTCAGGGACGACATATATGTGCTAGTGTCCTTTGGCTTCGCAATTATCTCATTCAACGTGTTTCCTTAACTGGCGCGGCCTGACGAGGGGCGCGTTCGGCATCCACGAGATAGCGAGACCCCAAATTGGAAGCTGGACGCTGGATGGCGAGCTCCAGTTCATGCTCTTCGTACTGGCGTTCCTTGTAGTCGTGATGCTGATAGCATGGTTCATAGTTACATCTTCGTTTGGGAGGGTGCTGACCGCTATCAGGGAGGATGAGGAGGCAATAGAGGTGTTTGGCTACCAAGCGACACACTACAAGCTGGCGATATGGGTAATATCCGCCATGATTGCGGGACTTGCAGGCGGGCTGTTCGCCAGCTGGACGAGTTTTATCGACCCGTTCTCGTTCATTCTGCTGGAGTCTATTTTGCTCGTTTCGATCGTCATTCTGGGCGGGCTTGCGACAATCTGGGGATCGCTGCTCGGCGCGATGACATTTGTGCTGCTTGAAGAGGGCATGCGCTTTTTGCCGTTCCTGCCGACCGAGTTCATCGGGCAGGCGCGGCAGGTTGTGCTTGGCATACTGCTTGTGCTGTTGATGCTGTTCAGACCGCAGGGTCTGGTTGGGAAGTACAGATTATGAGCGCCCGATTTAATGACACAGAACAGTTTGCGCTTGAGACATCGGAAATCTCGAAGCACTTTGGCGCGGTCAAGGCCGTGGATGAACTGTCAATCTCCATTCCACGCAAGGGAATGACAAGCATTGTGGGCCCCAACGGTTCTGGCAAGTCAACCCTGATAAACCTGCTGAGCGGCACACTGCCTCTGGACGGAGGGCTGGTAATCGTAAACGGGGTGGGGCTGCAGGTGGTGAAGGCGCACGAGACCCCGGCGTATGGCATAACACGCACTTTCCAGGAAGTGAGGCTGTTCGACCAGATAACCGTGTGGGACAACATCCTGGTGGTGCTTACCAACCGACGCGTGTTTCCCGCGCTGATGGAGCGGTCTAAGCAGAGCCACCGAGATAAGGCGAGAAGCATTCTTGAGAGCGTGGGAATGTGGGAAAAGCGCGACTCGCTGGCGATGGAGCTTTCGTACGGGCAGCGGAAATTGCTGGAGATAGGGCGCGCGCTGGCGCTGGATGTGAACATTTACCTGTTCGACGAGCCATTCGCCGGACTGTTTCCGCAGATGCTGGAGATAATCAAGGACATTATGAAGCGGGTTCGAGACGAGGGACGCACCGTCATATTTGTTTCGCACAATATGGACATCGTGCGCGAGTTGTCCGACCACCTAATCGTGCTCGACAGCGGCAGGCTGCTCGCGGAGGGGGATGTGGAGGATGTGCTGACGCGCGAAGAGGTTATAGAGGCTTATCTGGGGACATAGAAATTGCAGATGGATATTCTGAATCTGGTTGACATATCCGTTCACTACGATGCCGTGGTCGCGCTGGACAACGTATCCCTTGGCGTAAGCGAGGGTGAGGTCGTCGCCGTCATGGGACCAAACGGGGCTGGGAAATCCACAGTGCTGAAAGCGATTATGGGGCTGGCACCGGTAGTCGGCGGGGAAGTCTATTGGCAGCAGCGGCCTCTCGAAGCGGCTACGCACGAGATAGTGAAGCAAGGCATCTCATTCGTGCCGCAGGGAAGGCGCGTTTTCACCCATCTCACCGTGGCAGAGAACCTTGAGATGGGCTGCCTGTATCTCAATAACGCTGCGGAAAAGGCCCGCAGACTGGATTCGGTCATGGAGCTTTTCCCGATATTGCATCAGAAGCGCGATGATCTTGCGAGCCAGATGTCGGGCGGACAGCAGCAGATGCTTGCGCTTGGCAGGGGGCTAATGGCTGCGCCCGATGTTCTTCTTCTCGATGAGCCGACGCTGGGACTTGCGCCGATAGTCGTTAAAGAGGTGTTTCAGAAGGTTGCGGAGATCAGCGACAGGCTCAACACGACGATCCTAGTGGTGGAGCACAACATTAAGGGCGTGCTTGACATTGTGGATCGCGCCTATGTGCTGGACAAGGGGCGCGTCGTGCATGACGGCACGCCGCAGTCTGTCAGGGACACAGACATACTGACTCAGGTTTTCCTGGGGAGTTAGGACGGGGGGCGGAGGGCAAGCCATGCTGATAGGTGTGTCGTTGTCGGACTCTTGGGGAGCCGGACTCAGCAAACCTGCGGCTGTGCACCAGCTTTTGCCGAAATACCGCTGCCAGATTATAGGCGGCACAGCGCAAGGCAAGTAATGTCGTCGGACTGAGTTGCCCCTTCCGCAAAGACTTTTACAGCGTCAAATAACATCTGGACCGCATGGCGCGCATCATTCGGCGGGCATCCGGCGTAAGTCTGGCGCATACGCTCGACGCCAAACTGCTCCCCTTTTATATTCATGGCTTCGGTTATGCCATCCGTGTAGCAGATGACGGTATCGCCGGGAGCCAGATCCAAACTCTTCTGCCCATAATCCAAGTCGGGCATAATGCCGAGCACGATGCCGTCTGTCAAAGAAAGCAGTTCTGAACTTCCGTCGGGGTGCACAACAAGAGGAGCGTCGTGCCCTCCACTTGAATATGTGAATAGACCGGTGGCCGGGTCGTAAACGGCGTAGAGGAGAGTGACAAACATCTGGGCATCGTTGTCTTCGGAAAGCATGGAATTGACGATACCAATCGCATCGCCTGGCTGCTGGGTGCTGATCGCCGCTCCCTTCATCATCGTGCGGCTGGACATCATGAACAGCGCGGCGGGTACTCCCTTGTCAGAAACATCCGCAACTGTAAGTCCCAGGCACTCGTCTTCCAGTCGCACTATATCGAAGAAATCGCCGCCAATTTCTCTTGCCGGCTCCATGTGACCAAACACCTGATATGCGGTATGTGCGGGGAATTCTGTGGGAAGAATGGATTGTTGAATCTGATTGGCTACGTCCAGTTCGATCTGCAACGCCGTGAGCTGGTCGCGTGAAGAAACTGCATCGCGCCATTCGTCGAGGTTGCGCAAGGTTCGCTCAATTGTTACGCGCAAATCCGAGAAGTCGAGAGGCTTCGTCACGAAATCGAAAGCGCCTCGATTCATGGCTGTTCTGATGTTGTTCATGTCGCCATAGGCGGAGACAACTATGGCGCGGGTGTTGGGATTGACATTCGGTATTCTTTCTAAGAGCGTGAGACCGTCCATCCTCGGCATGTTGATGTCGGTGATTATCATGTCGATGTCTCTGATTTCACTCAGGACACCGATGGCCTCGATGCCGTCTTCGGCGAAGAAGAACTCGTAGCGTCCGCTGCGAATATCGCGCCGCATGCGCTGCAAGACGAGAGGTTTCAGGTCGGGCTCATCGTCAACAACCAGAATTTTGTTCGCCCGTTGTTTCATCGGGGCTCCTACTAGCGGAGTATGCCTACCTTGGGCCTGGCGCTGGCGCAGAGTCAACGCAGCCATATTTGCTATATATTAGGCTGGCACGCCTGACAACAAGGTGTCATATCTTGCAATGCTACCTAAGTTCTTCAATGCGCGCAACAGTATTGTTTTTCACCCGAAATAAGTTTGTACCGATTGGGCTTCACCACTCTCAACTCTCTATGCTGGAATGTTCCGTTCACTATGCAGATGAAACGCAATTTGACGGTTTGTGTCTGCGTGAATCGATTGGAACGGGTATGCGTTGATCTCTAATTTGCTCATGGTATTATGCGCTTGACAAGAATATAAATGGAATGCTGAAGAAGCCGCCTGCCAACTGATGGCACGGTGATTTGAGGCACATTCCGAATCTAGGATTGCCATCTCGATTCGGGTGGCATCAGCGAAAGTAAGTCATTCATCAACCGTGACAGCGGAGCTGATGTACACGATTACAAACTGTCCTCATCGGAGTCTATCATTTTGAAATTTGTTCTGCTTGAAGTCCGTTCGAGGTCGGTACGGACTATCGTGCTTTTGGCTTTCGCTGTGACTGTTTTGCTTTCGGCGCTGATGGGAGGGGCTGAAGGCGCGGCGGAGCAGAACGATGCCGAGTATGGGGCTGGGCAGAACGACCAGACTAGCGATGCGATCTCCGTGAGTGGGCGTCCGTCCTTTTGGTACGCGAGGGCACAAGTATAGGGACTCATCTTGTCACCTACAGGGCAATCGTGTCTCCTACTGCCGATCTTTCCGGTGTCAACCTTGTGTTCAGTATTGCGGGCACGGACAGCGGCAAATATAGGATTGATCCGATGACGGGCGAACTGTTCACCGCCCAATGGATCGACTACGAGACTGACGCCATCGATATGTTCACGGTAGTCGTCTCCGGTGGCGTTCATCAGTGCAACACTTGATGTGACCGGTGAACATCGAGGATGTAGAAGACTCCGTTAGCACTCTTAGTGTCAGCAAGGCAAACCCGGTTCCGGGAGTGTATCAGGGCAATCCGGAGCACGCGTTGGATGATCCTCGTCCAGATAATTTTGTGGAGACCGGCTGGGCGAACTGGGGCACGATTCTACGGATTGTGGTCAGGAGCGAATCGCCTGACCCGGATTGTGGGACAGGCCTGGACTGCATTCGATTGTATGTTGCGGCCGATGGCTCAGAGGATGAGCAGGAACTGGTGGCGATGAGGACTGGCGCGCCAGGGTACAAGTTTGTTGCTGCAGTCAAACTGGTGGAGACCGAGGCGGCGGGTGGTGAAACGCTTGAAGTAATAGGCGCGGACGGCACAGCCAGGCAAGTGCAGGTTTTACAATTGGGTGAGGACGACGAAGTAGAGATTGAATTCGACAATCTGCGCGGCTCAGTGGATGTGGAGAATGGTCCGCCTGAGTTCACCTATTTTCAGCCTGATCACGGTTCAGCGTTTGACGACCAGGATGTGGACTTCTCCATCACAGTCCAGGACGCAGAATCGGGCTTGCCTGAGCCTGAAGACCTACCGGACAGAGACGGCGACCAGGACTACACCCCTGTGGCTGCGCTGGTGCATGACAGCCAATGCTATAACAGTTCTCAGGATGAAGACGGCTTCGCAGCAGTTGAGAACTTGAGGCTGCGCGATGGCGCGATATATTGCTTTGGGCAGCCAGAGATTCACCCGATACGCGATGATAGGGATTTTGATGAGATAGACAATGGCTATGATGTGGAAACCACGATAGTTCTACCGGAGGGGGAAATTCACTATGTGACCTTCGTAGTGTGCGACAGATCAGGCAATTGCATTGCCTACGACGCTGACGAAGACTCGGACATTGCCCTAGTGGAATTGACGCCAGAGCAGGACGACCCGTGCCTTGCAACAATTACAGATGACAGCACTATCGAGGGCAACTGGGATGGCACTTGCCCCTCTGGACGGGAGCCTGAACCGTATGGGGGTAGCGGCGACAGGTACGCGCGCTACTACACGTTCACGCTCAGTGCGACTTCCAATACCACCATTGCTCTGACGTCGAGTGAGGATACATACCTGTATCTTCTTGAAGGCGTTAACAAAGGCGTACCGTACTTATATGAAAACGACGACATCACGCCGGGCAGCAATCTTAACTCCCGCATAGAGCAACGGCTTCAACCGGGCGAATATACGATTGAGGCGACTACTACTATAGCCAAAAGACAGGTGAGTTCACGCTGGAAGTGAGCGGCATTAGCAAACCGCCCGAGGATGCGGACTGCTCTTCCGGCATTGCGGTGACCGATCCCGATGACAACCCGGGTCTCGTGTCGGATTGCGAGGTGCTGCTTGCGGCGCGGGACATTCTGGCGGGCAGCGCGGGTTTGAACTGGTCGGCGGACATTCCGATAGAGGAGTGGGACGGTATAAGGATCGTCGGGTCGCCAGAGCGGGTGGACTCGCTGACTCTCAACGACCTCGGGCTGAATGGCGTGATTCCTGCGGAGTTGGGCCTACTTGCTCACCTGTTTCTGCTTAGCTTATCAGGCAACGACTTGAGTGGACCGATACCGTCTGAATTGGGTGACCTGGGGGATCTTGCAATTCTGTCTCTCAGCGGCAACAACTTGAACGGGGCAATTCCTCACGAACTCGGTGACATTCCGTATCTGACTATTCTTGACCTTTCCAGCAATCAACTCACCGGCGAGATACCGCCCGAGCTAGGCAAATTGACTGATCTTCTGGAACTACACCTAGATCGAAATCAGCTGGTTGATGTCATCCCTGACGAACTGGCCGAACTGGAAAATCTGCAATCGTTGTATCTGGCAGGCAACGACCTCACGGGTTGCATACCCGACGGGCTGAAAGATATTGATGCCAGCGACTACGCCAACCTAGGATTGCTCTTCTGCGACGGCACCCCTGTCGTGCCGCTGCCATCAGACCCCTGCGTGGTGGATATGGGTGACTTTGAGTCGCGACTCGAAGTTATCGACAATTTCTGGGAAGAGCAGTGCGAGTCGACGAACAGGCCCGACGACGGTGAATATTATGCTCGCTTCTTCACCTTCGATCTGAGCGTTGAAGCCGACGTAACGATCACGCTGGAATCTAATCCGGATGCGTACTTGTACCTGCTGGAAGGGGATGGACAGCGAGGATCTGTGCTCTTCGAGGATGACGATACGGAGGGCACGAATCCTCGGATACGGACCACCTTGCAGCCGGGTAGCTACACGGTCGAAGCGACAACTTACGAAATTGGCGTTACAACCGGCGATTTCAGGATCGGAGTGGAGACGGATGAGTTGAATGGGCGTCCGCCGATTACTGCGTGGAACCAACCCCAAGGGTTCTTTCAGGTCAGACGTTTGGCTTAACTTACTATTCCGAGGGCAGGTGCAGGTCGATGAACAGACCTGATGACGGTGATACTATGCAGATTACTTCAGAATGCCACTAAAGTTTCCTGCCCGTGTGACCGTCGCTCTAGAGTCAGACGAGGATGGTTACCTCTTCCTCCTTGATGGCGAAGGGGTTACAGGTGAAGTCCTCCATGAGAACGACGATACGGTGGGCACTAACCCCCTCATAGTGGCGGACCTGCAGCCTGGCGTCTACACCGTAGAGGCAACGACGTACGAGCAAGGAGTCACAGGGAAATTCAGATTAGAAATCAAGGTCATCTCCAATGCCGGGGAGCAGTGCCTGTACGGGCGCGCTGTGCACGATCCGGACACCAATCAGGCACTCTTCAACGATTGCGCTGTCTTGCTTGAGGCAAAGAATATCCTAGGGGCGGAGCCATCGCTAAACTGGTCTGCCGATGTTCCCATGGAGGAATGGGAGGGAGTTACACTTGGAGGTTCGCCGCAGCGAGTCACTGGACTGCATTTCAAGGATCGAGGTCTGAAGGGCGAACTAGCGATGGAGCTGGACTATCTGTGGGGGCTTGAAGAGTTAGATCTGACCGGAAACCAACTGACGGGCGGAATGCCTCACTTTGGCAATCGAGGAGTCTCGAATTTCTGAATCTTGGTGCAAACAGGCTGAGTGGCGAGATCAATCCAGGATGGAGCATGCCAAGTGAATTGGAGGTGCTTTACCTTTATAACAACAAGCTAAGTGGTGAAATTCCCTCCCAACTGGGAGACTTGGAAAACCTGGCTGCACTTGGCCTCGACGGGAACCGATTGAGCGGAGAGATACCGCCAGAGTTGGGCAAGCTCAGCAACCTAGACAAGATGTACCTTTCAGACAACAGGCTTGTGGGTGATATTCCGGACGAGTTGGGTGATATTCCGAACCTTTATGGGCTGTTCCTCTCTGGAAATGATCTGAGTGGCTGCATCCCGGAAGGGTTGCGCGATGTGGAAGAGAACGACTTTGAGGCGCTTGGATTGCCGTTCTGTGTTCCGCCGGATGATGTGGACTGCGTTGAACCGTTGCCATCCGTACACGCCATTGCGATTGAAGATTCATGGGAATCTGAATGCATTTCCGTCAATAGGTCCTCTGGCAGGACATATTATGCTCGCTACTACACGCTCGACCTGAGTGAGCAGGCACTTGTGGGAATTGAGCTGGCTTCTGAGGACGATGATGGTTATCTGTACCTTCTGGATGGCGAAGACTCGAACGGTGAAGTGTTGCAGGAGGTAGGCGGTTATAAGGGCGTCGCCCGACTAGGACCTACAATGCTGCAGCCTGGAAATTACACGATCGAAGCTGCGACATACGATAGCCGGGTAGAGGGCAGGTTCACTCTTCGGGTGAGAATGGTGCACGAAAGTGTGCTGCAATCAAGCGCCGACCGAATTGCACTCGCCACTCTATATCTCACTACGCACGGAGACGGGTGGAATAGAAAGACAAACTGGCTAACCGAGGCGCCCCTATCGGATTGGCATGGCGTCATCACTGACAGCGCCGGAAGAGCCATAGACTTGAGACTCGGCGCGAATAACTTGAAGGGTGAATTGCCCGCCAAATTAGGTCTAATGCAAGAGTTAAGAGTCTTGCACCTTGAATTCAATGATCTGTCAGGTGAGATCCCGTGGCAGCTAGGCGATTTGGTACACCTTCGAGAGTTGCGGCTTAGTTTCAACAAACTGACTGGACCAATTCCCTCTCATTTGGGCGACCTGTCAGACCTGGAGGAGTTGCACCTCAATGACAACGACTTGTCGGGAGAGATACCAATTGAACTGGGCAATCTAATCAGTCTCACGGATTTCAATCTGGGTCATAACGAAGTCTCAGGTGCGATACCGCCGGAGCTTGGCAAGCTGGCCAACCTCAGATCACTGGAGCTGGGAAGCAACAACCTTACTGGGCAGATTCCGTTGGAGCTGGGAAACCTCGTCAACCTTGAACGGCTGAATCTTTCCCACAATTGGTTAACTGGAAGGGTGCCGTCAGAATTGCTGAATGTGATCCGATTGGAAGACCTCAGACTAGGCTTTAACGGGCTAAGTGGGAACATACCGACCGGATTGAGCACGCTCGGCGAATTGAGAATCTTGGACCTAGCGAGGAATGAATTCAGCGGTGAAATTCCAGATGAACTGGGCAGCATTGAGAATCTGGAGAGTCTTTTTCTCTACTACAATCGGCTGTCCGGTGAGATACCTGTTGAACTGGCGCGCGCCACGAAGTTGAATGAATTGATATTAAACGGAAACAGTCTGGTGGGTCAGATACCGCCCGAATTGGGAAGCCTCACCGACCTGCAAGAGTTGAGTCTCGACTATAATCTGCTGACGGGCACGATACCTTCAGAATTTGGGGATCTGGAAGCCTTGGAAGAGCTTGACCTTAGCCACAACCAGATTACAGGGACAATTCCGCCCGAACTGGTAACCTTGACAATCTGGAAGAGCTTGACCTTAGCAATAACTTGCTTACTGGGGAGATTCCTGCGGAGTTGGGCAATCTTTCAAGCATTGACGAGATAGACCTGATTAGTAATCAGCTGACCGGATGCATTCCTTATAAGCTCAGGGATATTGTCTTCGCCGATCCTGAGTTGCCGATATGCCCGGCGCCGTAGATGTTTCAATGGCGTGGAGGCGTCGCTTTCGCAGCCTCTTGTTTGCTTCTGACTGGGCGAGCAATGAAATATCCGGCCGCTCCGTAGATGTGGTTACGATGCAAGAAACGGCTTGCTTACCTTGTGAAGGCAGGCGCAATATGGTAACTTTCATCAGACATTAATTCGTTTGAGGTATCGAATATGTTCGACCATGATGTGCTGATAATTGGCGCGGGGCTCGCAGGAATGCGCGCCGCACTCTCTGCTGTGGAAGCTGGCGCTGATGTGGCAGTCGTGAGCAAGGTGCATCCCGTTCGCAGTCACTCGAACGCGGCGCAGGGCGGCATTAACGCGGCACTTACCGACAGGGGAGACGACTGGCGGGAGCATGCCTACGACACCATCAAGGGCAGCGACTATCTCGGCGATCAGGACGCAATTTCAATAATGTGCCAGGAGGCTGGTAGCGAAGTAATTTCCATGGAGCACATGGGAGTTATCTTCAACCGTGACGAAGAAGGACGCCTGGGTACAAGGGCGTTCGGGGGGCAGCGGCAGGCGCGAACGTTCTTTGTATCGGACTTCACCGGCCAGGCATTGCTGCATGTGCTGTACGAACAGGTTATGAAGGCGGGTGTCCGCATCTATGAGGAGTGGTTTCTGCTTTCTCTCATCGTGGAGGACGGCGAGTGCGCGGGCGCAGTCATCATGGAGATTCGCAGCGGCGAAATCCATGTGGTTCGCTCCAAGACGGTCATAATGGCGTCCGGCGGGCTCGGGCGTGTCTTCGAGCCGAGTACCAACGCTCTTATCTGCACCGGCGACGGCATGTCGGCCGCGTACCAGGTTGGCGCATCGCTTATGGACATGGAGATGGTGCAGTACCATCCGACAACGCTCAAAGGGAGCGGCGTGCTCATCACTGAGGGAGCACGGGGCGAGGGCGCATACCTGCTCAACTCCGAGGGCGAGAGATTCATGGAGAGGTATGCACCAAATATGATGGAGCTTGCCTCCCGCGATGTCGTGTCTCGCGCGGAGCAGACGGAAATCAACGCGGGCAGGGGCATTGACGGCTGCGTATTGCTGGATGTGCGGCATCTTGGTGAGGCGGTCATTAACGAGCGCCTGAGCCAGATTCGCGAGATCGGGCGCGACTTCGCCAATGTTGACCTGCTGCAAGAACCGATACCCATACGGCCCGGAATGCACTACCAGATGGGCGGCATCAAGACGGACGTTGATGGGCAGACGGAGGTTCCGGGGCTGTACGCCGCGGGAGAGGCTGCTTGCGTAAGTGTTCATGGGGGCAACAGGCTCGGCGCAAACTCGCTGCTCGATACACTGGTGTTTGGCCGACGTTCCGGGGAGCATGCTGCGCAGGTGTCGAAGTCGAAGTCGCACAGCGGCACAGTTACGGATGCTTCTGCGGAGAGTGATCGCATCAATATTCAGCGACTGCTCGACAATGACAACAGTGGTGAGATGTTCGGCAAAGATTCGGCGGGAAATGGGTGACACCATGAATGAGCACCTTGCCGTTTTCCGCGAACAGGATGGCATGGAGACGGCTCTAGGAGAATTGCGCGGCCTTCGCGAACGGTTCAACTATGTGGCGGTGCAGGACAAGAGCAAGACATTTAACACGAACCTGCTGTTTACGCTGGAATTAGGCTTTATGCTGGACTGCGCGGAGGCGGTTGCGCTTTCTGCGATCGAGCGTAAGGAGAGCAGGGGAGCGCATACGCGAACCGACGCACCTAACAGGGACGACGAGAACTGGCTGCGCCATATACTGGTGAGGCACTCTGATGACGGGCCTGAGATAGAGTACATGCCCGTGGTGATTACCGATTGGGAGCCGCAGGTTCGCAGCTACTAGCGCGCCTGCGAGCCAACCGGCACGATGGAACGCATAGTTGTGCGCATCTGAGGATTGATTAGATGAAAGTAACCTTTAGCGTCAAGCGATTCAACCCTGAAGAGGGCAGCAGAGCTCCTCATTTCCAGTCATACACTCTTGATATGGACGAATCGTCCACTGTTCTCGATGGTCTGATACGCATCCGTGAGGAGATGGACGGCAGCCTGACTCTCAGATGCTCATGCCGAAGCGCGATTTGCGGGTCTTGCGGGATGCGAATCAACGGACAGGCGGGACTTGCATGCAACACGAAGGTCATTGATGTGATGCGAGACGGCGCGCCCATTATGGTCGAGCCGATGGGCAATATGGCCGTCGTCAAGGACCTCGTGACGGATATGGCGATTCACTGGGACAAGGTGCTCGCCATACAGCCATGGTTGCAGCATGACGGCCCGGTACCCGAAGCCGAGCACATCGCGCCCAACGAGGATATGGTGCATCTTGCGGGTGTAATGAGTTGCATCATGTGCGGCGCATGCGTGTCCGACTGCACATCGCTTGAGGTGGATAAGAACTTTGTGGGACCGGCGGCACTGGCGAAGTCATATCGTTTCGTCGCGGATCCGCGCGATGACGCCGATACAGCGCGCCTAGGCAGTCTGAACGAGTATGGTGGCATCTGGGACTGCACGCGCTGTATGCAGTGTATTGAAGTCTGTCCTAAGGGCGTCGCGCCGATGGAGCGCATAATGTCTCTGCGCGACAAGGCGATAGAAGCAGGCTACACCAACACTTATGGCGCGCGTCACGCTGAGGCTTTTGCGAAGTCCGTGGAACACAGCGGCTGGCTCGACGAGACAAGTCTTGTCGTCAACACATTCGGCAAGACAAACTTTAAAGAGATGATTAAGCTCATTCCCGTTGCCGCCCGGTCATTCAAGGTCGGCAAGGTTCCGCCGCTGATTCACAAGAAGCGGCCTGGTGCCGAGAATGTACAGCGGATCTTTCGAAAAAGTCGAAAACCGCGAGAAGGTTGAAAGCAGAAAATGAAATATGCCTTTTACCCGGGCTGCGTCGCGCAGGGCGCTGCCCCCGAACTCTACAATTCGACCATAGAAGTTTGCCGCAAGCTGGGCATCGAACTCGACGCAGAATCGATGCAATCTGCGTCCTGCACTGGCGCCGGTGTGCTGCAGGAGAAGAACCAGCGCCTAGGGGACACGCTCAATCGCGCGCAACTTTGCGCTCGCCGAACGCTCGGGCTGCCGCTTCTCACGATATGCAGCACATGTCAGGGCGTGATGTCTCAGGCGAACCAACGCCTTACGGCTGACGCCGACTACCTGTCTTCTGTCAACGAGGACCTCGCCGAAGAGGGCCTGGAGTATAAGGGCACTGCTGATCCTAAGCATCTGCTCTGGATAATCGTCGAGGATATAGGCATCGACAAGCTGAAGTCGATGGTGGTGCGCCCGCTGACCGGCTTCAAGGCTGCGCCCTTCTACGGCTGCTATCTCGTGCGCCAAGTTCGGCGCTGGGATTTGCAGAGAATCCGGAACGCTTGGGCGCGCTGGAGCAGGTCATCGAGGCGGTGGGCGCGACTGTCGTTGACTTTCCGGGCAAGACGCTCTGCTGCGGCTTTCCCATTCTCACCATCAACCAGACCAATTCAATGAAGATGGTATCGAACCACACGCTGGACGCGAAGGACAGGGGAGCGCAGGCGATGGTTACGCCATGCCCGCTGTGCCATCTCAATCTGGACGGCTATCAGCCGGAGGCGGCGAAAGCAGGCGCAGCAGCCAATCGACCTGCCGATTCTTCACTTGCCGCAGATGATCGGTCTTGCGCTCGGTATTGATCCTGCTGCCATGCGGCTCAACCGGCACATCATCTCCACGAGGCGGATGCTGTCAACGATTGGCGTGTCGCCTTAGCCAACTGCGTAAACTTCGTCAATTAGTTGCTCTGCCCACGCCTTGAGGTCGTCGTAGATGTCCTCGCCGCAGCGTGGGCACTCAAGGTCTCCGAATCGCACGCGCACGCCGCACGACGGGCAGGGTATCGCGTCAGCAAGAGCGTTCATTACTATCTGTATCTGTTCTTCAGTCGCCATTTAGCCCGACCTAATCCTGTCTATGCTCAAAATTTGTGTCTGTTGTTATTGGAGGGGTAGTGGTGGCTGCAGCCACTTGCCCGTGCGGTTCACTTCAATGTCAGTGATCCACTTGACCCACTCGAAGCCGCGCTTGTCGTGCGCCACCAGCCTAGCCGGAAACCCGTGCCCATGCGATAGCAGCTCGTCGCCCACCTGCGTGGCGATGATGTAGCTATTCGCCTCCGTGATAGAGAACTTGCGATAGTAGCCAGTAACCGAACGCACGGTGACGCTGTTCGCATTCTCGTCAAGCTGTGCCGCTTCCAGCAGATCGGCGAGTGCGATTCCGCGCCACGCCTGAGTTGAGTGCCATCCTCCCGTGCAATCCAGCGTTGCCGTGATTTCGGCGTCGGACGCAATCTCTTCGTATCGGAGTCTCATTGGATTCGCTACTGCACCGCCGATGCTAAGCCTCCATTCGGTTGGGCTGATAGGACCCCGGACTGTCGTTTAGCCACGATGTTAGCGGGAAGGCGTTGCCCGTGTAGCTGCCCGCTTCGTAGGAGCCTGTGAACCGTCGAGTCGCCCCGCTTAGTCCGCCCACACTTGCCGCAACTTCTCCGGCGCGCCACAGCGCTGCGCCTACAATCACCAGCCCTGCCAAGCGAAGAAAAGAACGCCTTTCCGCCCAGAAGCGCAGCGGGAAGCCGCGCGTATGGTAGGTGGCATGCCAAATCAGAATGGGGACGAGCGCGCCGCCGATGTAGATGTGCCAACTGACACCACTGAAGAGCCAGAATGAGATCGGACCGATGAAGGACCATACGAAGCCTAGCAGCAGAGTCGCAGTCAGCGCGAGCGCGAGCACGAGGGACGCCGTTCGGGGCGTGGCTGCCCGGGGCCAGCGCAGCGAAGCGAGGACGTTCACGGCTTTCCACGCCAGAACTGCGACGATGCCCCATCCCGCTATCCTGTGCGCAAGGATGAAGATGGCTTCATCGGGCGAGCCGGAGACCAGCCCGAAAAAGCCGCTGACCAACTCGACGGCTATCAGCGCCAGAAGCAGCGTATTTGCCCAAGGGAACCTCATGCCGACCTCACATAGAGCTTGCACCGATTGAAGTACCGGCGCCGTGAGCGCTGCGGCAAGCGGTCAGCCTTCGCTATGCTGCTGCCGTCAGCTCGCCTCAGCCATTACATCCACCAGTTCCTGTACGGAGTCGGCGGATTGCTTCAATGCTGCCATCTCGTCGTCGGTCAGCTCGAACTCGATGACCTCCACGACGCCGCTGGCGCCAAGCTTGACAGGTACGCCCACGAACAGATCGTTGATGCCGTACTCGCCTTCCAGCAGAGTGGTGCAGGGCAGAATCTCGTTTCTTGTCGAACAGGATTGCCTCGACCATCTGCACGATGGACGCGGACGGCGCATAGTAGGCGCTTCCGGTCTTCAGGTAATTGACAATCTCAGCGCCGCCGTCGCGCGTTCGCTGCACTATCTCCTCAAGGCGGTCGGCCTCGATTAGGTTGGCAACGGGAATGCCGCCAACTGTGGTGCTTCCAACGACGGGAACCATAGTATCACCATGACCGCCAAGCACATACGCTTCGATTGAATTAACTGACACACTTAGTTCTTCCGCAAGGAACGTGCGGAAGCGCGCAGTATCGAGGATGCCGGCCATGCCTACTATGCGGTTCTTGGGGAAACCGCTGACCTGATGCGCGCGCTGTGCCATAGCGTCCAGCGGGTTCGTTACCGGCAAGAGGATACTGTTCGGCGAATGCTCGACCACATCTCCGACCACGCTGCTGACGATGCGCATGTTAGTCAGGAGCAGGTCGTCGCGGCTCATACCGGGCCTGCGGGCTATGCCCGAGGTGATGACTACGATGTCAGAGTCTGCGGTCTCCTCGTAGCCGTTGGTGCCTACAATCGTGGCGTCAGAGCCTAACACAGGTCCTGACTCCAGAATGTCGAGCGCCTTGCCCTGTGGAAGACCATCGACGATGTCAACGAGCACCACATCGGCGTATCCCCTGTCGAATATGCGCTGCGCGGCAGTCGCGCCTACGTTGCCGGCTCCCACAACCGTTACTTTGCTTCGCATTGGTTCTATTCTCCCGAATCACTTGTAATTCTAGCACTTGTTCAAACAACGCCCCCTTGCAGCGCATTGAACCTGTGCTCAAGGGGGCTGATTACTGACTTACCTAGCGTTTAGCCTTCCTTGCTGACATACTCGTCCCAGCGCGCCTCCACATTGGGGTCTTCGACCGTACTCATGATGTACTCGCCGAACTCTGCGCTCGTGACGCCAGTGTCTCGTCCGGTCATAACCATCTTGCGCTCGTACTGGCCGCAGATGTCAAGAGCCTTGTGCAGCTTAGCACCAATGTCCTCGAAGCCGATGTGCTCAAGCATCATCGCACCTGCGCGAACCAGCGAACTGGGGTCTGCGAACTGCGCCCTGCCGGTCTCCACCATACGCGGCGCGCTGCCGTGAATCGCCTCGAACATGCCGTAGCGCTTGCCGATGTTCGCGCTGCCTGCCGTGCCAACGCCGCCCTGAATCTGGGCGGCTTCGTCGGTCAGGATGTCGCCGTACAGGTTCGGGAGCGCCAGAACCTGGAAGTCCCTCTGGCGCGCCGGGTTGATGAGTGCGGCGGTCATGATGTCGATGTACCAGCCATCCCACTCGATGCCGGGGTATCGCTCACTCACCTTGCGCGCGATGTCGAGGAACTTGCCGTCAGTGGTCTTGACGATGTTCGCCTTCGTGACGACCGTAACGCGCTCTTTGCCCGTGCGCTGCGCGTGGGCGAAAGCCGCGTCGATGATGCGCTCCGATCCCTGGCTGGTGATTACGCGGAAGTCGATGGCGAGGTCCTCGGAAACATTGATGCCCTGGCTGCCGACCGCGTACAAGTCCTCGGTGTTCTCACGGAAGAATGTCCAGTCGATGCCCTGGCTGGGCACGCGCACAGGGCGCACATTCGCGAACAGGTCGAGCTCTTTGCGCATCGAGACATTCGCGCTCTCGATATTGGGCCAGCCATCGCCCCGCTCCGGCGTGTGGGTCGGGCCCTTGAGAGTTACGTGGCACTGCCTGATTTCCTCAAGCACGTCATCAGGGATGGACTGCATCTTCGCGGCGCGGTTCTCGATGGTGAGCCCGTCGATGACCTTGAATTGGACCTTGCCTGCCGCAACCCGGTCTCGCAGGAGGTACTCCAGCACCTTCTGCGTTTCGTCGCTGATTGTGGGGCCGATGCCGTCTCCGCCGAGCATGCCGATGATAATGGGGCTGAGGGTTGAGTAGTCAACCAGTCGCCTTCTTCCTTCAGCCGTTCGACCCGTTCAAGCTGCTGCTCCAGTACAGTTCCGAAATGCTGCTTTGCGGCCTCTATTGCTTGTGAATTGTCCACGCCGGCTCCTTTCGAATGTCGGCACGGTTCTTTTCATTGCCGACAGTTTAATGTTTGTTAACGATTGCTCATATTGAGATTACAGCGAGTATGGCGTCTTTTGCAACAGTTGCGCCTAGATCAGCGACCAGCGCCTTGACCGTGCCGCTGGCTGGCGACGGCAGCGTGTTTTCCATTTTCATTGCCTCGAGTACAACGATCGAATCGCCCTCTGGACGCTCTGCCCGATCTCCACAGAATACCGAAGCACGACACCCGGTATCGGCGCCGTGAGCGGAACTTCGTCAGTTGAAGTTTCGGGTGCGGCACTTGGTGGGGGAGACGGCTGTTGTTGGGAATGAGGCCCGGAATCGGGCGGCGCAACAGACGAGGGCGTCGCAGGTGGCGGGGGAGCGATGCGCATACCGTGTTCGGGCGTATGCGGTTCGACTTCCACTTCAAAGCGTTCGCCGCCAATGTACACGTTGAATGTGCGGGTATGGCGGCTGCGCGGTCTTTCAGGGAGGGCTGACGGCGCGGGTGCGTCTTCTGTACTGCTCGATTTGTCTGCGTCTTTGTCCGGCTTCATCTCGTCGGGCATCGGGTCCAAGCCGTGCTTGATACGGAGGAACTTCATGCCCGTTGCGGGATAGAGGGCGTAGGTCAGCACGTCTTCGATGTCTGTCGTGATGCTCCTGACGGCGTCTCGTGCGGCATCCATTTCCGGTGGCAGATCGGAGGATTCTGCATCCAGCGTATGTATGTCTCCCAGCGCTTTGGCGCGGAGTTCGGGCGCGATCTCTCCCGGTGGAGTGCCGAACTTGCCAGCCACGTAGTCTTTAACGGCGCCCGTAATCGTAGCGTAACGCCCGGACAGCACATTGTTGACGGCCTGGGCGCCGGTCATCTGGCTCAATGGCGTGACCAGCGGCGGGTAGCCCAAGTCCCTGCGTGTGTGTCGTATCTCTTCTAAAACCTCATCCAGCCTGTCTAGAGAGTCCGCTTCGCGCAACTGGGATGCGAGATTGCTCATCATTCCGCCGGGTATCTGATGATAGAGCACTCTGGCGTCTATCACTGATATTCGGGCGCTTTCCAGATGGCGGCGGTACTTGGGCAGTATGCGCTCGAAGTAGTCGTCAATCTGCAGCACCTTGTCAAAATTCACACGTGGCTCCCTGTCGCTGCCGCGCAGGGTGAATATCAGAGGCTCGATTGCGGGCTGCGCCGTGCGGAGTGCGAGAGGGGCGCAGCAGGTGTCCACGCCGTCTATTCCAGCTTCTATTGCCTTTAGCGCGGTCATTGTCGCCATGCCGCTAGTGTAGTGGCTGTGCAGCTGGAGGGGAACGTCAATCGTTTTTTTGAGCGCGCTGACGAGTGTGTAGGCGTCATAAGGCGCGAGAAGGCCGCCCATATCCTTGATGCAGATGCTGTCCGCACCCATCTCATTGAACTGATCTGCCTTGGAGAGGTAGTAGTCCAGGTTGTAGTAGGGGCCGCCAAGCCTGCCTTCTTCCGTAACCGAGTAACATATTGCGAGCTGAAGGTGCTTGCCTGCTCGCTTGACCGCCTCCGTCGCCCGCCGCACATTGTTCGGATCGTTGAGTGCGTCGAATACGCGGAAAATGTCGATGCCTGCGTCTGCGGACTGCGCAACGAAAGCGTCAACCACATCATCGGCGTAGTTACGGTAGCCCACGAGAGATTGACCGCGCAGCGAGCATGGATAGCGGCGTTTTCGGCATCAGACTTTTCAGCGTATGCAGGCGCTCCCAAGGGTCCTCTCCGAGAAAGCGGGTTGCTGCATCGAATGTCGCACCGCCCCAGACTTCCATGGCGTCAAAGCCCGCGTCATCCATAGTTGGAGCGATGTCAACCATGTCTTCGAGACGCAGACGGGTTGCCATCACGCTCTGATGGCCATCCCTGAGCGTAGTGTCGGTTATTTTTACCGGATTTGAAGCCATAGACTCCACTCTCAGCGGTCGCCTAATCTCGCCCTGTCCAAGAACGATGCCTTCCAGTGAAGGCATCGCCGGACGCGGGAGAAGATTGCCGTCGCCAGGCGCTTATACCGCCTGCTCTGCGATGTGCTCCACTCTGCTCGCCTTCGAGAAACGCCTGCACCGCTGCGACAATCGCGGCGAATTTCCTTGATTCAAGGCTGTGTGGGGAGGCAGACATCAGAGTGGAATACTCCCATGCTTGCGTTTCGGAGTTCTTCGCGCTTGTTCTCCAGCATTTCCAGCGCGCTGATAATCTTGCTCCTGGTGTCGGCGGGGTCGATAACATCGTCAATCAAGCCGTGCGAGGCGGCTATGTATGGGTTTACCAACCTATCGGCGTAATCCTGTACCAACTGATTGCGGATTGCGTCCGGATCGTCGGCGGAAGAAATCTCGTCGCGGTAGATGATGTTGACCGCGCCTTCAGGTCCCATTACTGCTATCTCGGCGGTGGGCCAGGCGTAGTTGATGTCTCCCAGCAATCCCTTGCTACTCATCACGATGTACGCGCCGCCATACGCCTTGCGGGTGAGTACGCTTATCTTGGGCACACTTGCCTCCGCGTAGGCGTAGATGAGCTTTGCGCCGTGCCGGATGATGCCGCCATACTCCTGATCTGCGCCCGGCAGGAATCCCGGCACGTCGATGAATGTTACTAGCGGTATGTTGAACGCGTCGCAGAAGCGCACGAAGCGAGCTGCCTTATCGGAGGCGTTTATGTCCAGCACTCCCGCGAGGTGGGAAGGCTGCTGCGCGACGACGCCCACGCTCCTGCCGTCCATTCGGGCGAATCCCACAATCACGTTGCGAGCGAATGCCTCATGCACCTGCATGAAGTCGCCGTCATCTACTACGTGCCCGATGATCTGCGTCATGTCGTAGTGCGCATTCGCGTTATCCGGAATGATATACAGGAGTTCATCATCGCTGCGCGTCGGGTCGTCGAAAGCATCGTAGCGAGGCGGGTCTTCCATGTTGTTTTGCGGCAGGAAGCCCAGCAGACGCCGCACTTCTCCAAGGCAGGTCTCTTCTGAGTCGAGGGAATAGTGGGCAACGCCGCTGCGGGATGCGTGGCTGTCCGCGCCGCCTAGCTGCTCGTGCGTGACAACTTCGCCGGTGACTGCCTTGATTACGTCGGGGCCAGTGATGTACATCTGCCCGGTGCCCTTGACCATGAATATGAAGTCCGTAAGAGCAGGGGAGTAGGTCGCGCCTCCGGCGGCTGGACCGAGGATGACAGATATTTGAGGTATGACGCCCGATGAGCGCACATTGCGAAGGAAGATGTCTGCGTAACCGGCGAGGCTGAGGACGCCTTCCTGGATGCGCGCGCCGCCGGAGTCAATGAGGCCGACCATCGGCGCGCCGCTGTTCGCCGCCAGGTCCATTGCCTTGCATATCTTCTTGCCGACTACTTCGGATAGAGAGCCGCCAAGCACTGTGAAGTCCTGCGAGTACACGAAGGTCAGGCGACCGTTCACCTTGCCGTAGCCGGTTACAACCGCGTCGCCCAGAGTTCTTTGGTCTGCCAAGCCGAACTCGGTAGCTCGGTGAAGAGCGAAAGGGTCCAGTTCCTCAAAACTGCCTTGGTCGAAGAGTAGATCGATGCGCTCACGCGCCGTCAGCTTGCCGCGCCGGTGCTGCGCCTCAATGCGCCGGGTTCCACCGCCGGAGCGTCCTTCTTCACGCCTCGACTTGAGGTCGTCAAGCGCGTCATCAACTCTTCTGCGAACCACCATAATTAATTCGTTTCGAACTCCGCAAGAGCCGAGTTCACAGTGTACAATTGAATCTAATGATACATCTTATCAACCAGTAAAACCGTAACAGAAACCTTTGTACGTGGCAAGATAATTCAGGAATTATCGACCACGGGGACACTCGTTTTATTGATGCCAAAGGTTAATATACTCCGCGTGCGATCAGCGCGGTTCCAGGCGGTTCCGAATCGCCCGAACATACCGATCAACACCAACTACAGATAGCGCGTTGATGTGCCTAACAATAAGTTGCAACTCCATTCGAGAACTTCACCCGCGCCGACAACAATAGGTGAGCGCCTATTCGATTGGGGGCAGCGAACCTATGTCATGGGCGTCATCAATGTAACTCCTGATTCGTTTTCGGGCGATGGATTGGGCGGAAACATAGACGCGGCTGTTCAGCAGGCATTGCGCTTTCAGTCTGAGGGCGCGGACATTATGGACATAGGCGGCGAATCCACGCGACCCGCGTCTATCTATTCAGGAGCCGGACCGGTCTCCACAGATGAAGAGATAGAGCGAGTGATTCCGGTTATTGAGGCTCTCGCGTCAGTGCTGGAGATACCTGTCAGCGTAGATACATACAAGGCGGCGGTGGCGACAGAGGCTCTCGCGGCGGGCGCGTCGATGATTAACGATGTCTGGGGTTTTCGCCGTGACCCTGACATGGCGGGCGTAGCCGCTAATGCCGGCGTGCCAGTCGTGCTGATGCACAACCAGCATCACACACGATACAGCGACCTTGTGCCGGATGTTATTGGGGTGCTGCGCCAAATGGCAGACGCAGCTGTTGCCGCAGGAGTCAGGCGCGAAAAGATCATACTTGACCCCGGCATGGGCTTCGGCAAGACGGCCGAGCACAACCTGGAGATGCTAGAAGGCTGGGGGAGTTTCAATCACTGGGTGCGCCGCTTCTGGTGGGGATGTCCCGCAAATCCACAATTGGCTATGTGCTCGACCTGCCTGTCGAGGAGCGGCTGGAGGGCACGGCTGCTACGGTTGCGCTGTCAGTTGCTTTTGGCGCTGACATCGTGCGGGTGCATGATGTCAGAGAGATGGCGCGCGTTGCGAGGATGAGTGATGCCGTAGTGCGCGGGTGGAGCCAGGGCGATGCTAGTGAAGCATACATAGGGCTGGGCTCTAATCTGGGCGATTCCGCAGGGAACCTGCGCACTGCGCTGGAATTGATGCGAGAGTTCGCAATCGATGTACTACCGTCTCCGCTGTACAAGACATCGCCACTGGGTTTTCGCAGCCAGCCGGCATTTTTCAACGCCGTCTGTCGTTTGCGGACGCGCCTGACCGCGTTTCAGCTAATGGAACGGCTGCTCGGCATAGAGGAGGCCGTGGGCAGACGGCGCATCTTCCGCAACGCGCCCCGCATGCTGGATATGGATATCCTGCTATACGACAGGATGGTACTCACATCACCGCCGCTTGTACTACCTCATCCGCGAATGGCAGAGAGGCTCTTCGTGCTGCGACCGCTTGCCGACATCGCGCCACAACTGAAGCATCCAGTCACTGGGAGAACGGTTGCTGAGATGCTGGAATGCCTCCCGACGCAATCAGATTCGATTGTCAGGGTGGAGTGGCAGTAGATGGCTGTGTGATTGTGATCTTTCAGACAGCCACCCTAGCGCAGTGAAGGCGGCAGCATGTTCGGGATGGTTTCCTCTATCGGGTAGATTTCATTGCATGCTTTGCAGGTCAGGGTGCCCTCCACGATCTCGTTGTCGCGTTCCACGGTGACCTTCAAGTTCAGGTCGCCCTTACACATCGGGCATACGAGAATGTCCATCAGTTTGCGTCTCATTGTAATGCTCCGTTAGGGAAAATAGGTTTCATAAAGAGGTATTGTGTCTGCACAGAACTTGGGGATTATCTGAGAGCCAGTTCGTAAAGCGTTTTCAGCAGGTCGGATAGCAGGAATACGATAAGTCCCAGAATTATGAGGGTATTGTAGCCTGAGACTGCCCGCACAATTTGCCGATGCTTGTCGTCGGCGGCGCTTCCTCCTCTCGGAACGCTTCCATTACTGAGGTGCGCCTGCGCCGCGACCACGCCAGCACGAACATCCATATTGAGAGCGCAATCTTCGCCCCAAGCACAACGACATAGGGCACGCCTACTACGCCCGGCGTAAGGCGATGCAGCGTCAGGATGACCCCTGTCGCGATCAGCACATAGACGCATGTATCGACCAGTGCGCGAAACTCGGTTGCCGCTGCGGTGCCGGCGAGTCTCGATGCTTCCGGCCGGCGGCGAAGAGCGGGTCTCAGCACTATGAGGTAGAAGATGCTGCCGCCGACCCAAGCGGCGGCGGATACCAAATGCAGCCACCGGACAATAAGCAGGAATGCCTCGGATAGGCTCATTATTCATCCTAATTATGGGCCTATGATGGAATGACAGGAAAGCGGCGTGGCGATGAGCATCGTTCAGGCAGCCTTAATTCAGGATTCCGCTGAGGATTTCTTCCATCTTCTCTTCGTTTAGCACTCCCTGCCACTTTCGCACGATGTTCAGGTCCTTGTCTATGAAGACCGTCATGGGGAAGCCACTAACCTTGTACTTGGTGATGATGTCGTCCTCATCCGCGCCCAGGGCGTAGGTTACGCCCACCTCGTCCACGAAGTTCTGCCCGTCCTCAGCAGTATCTATGCCGAGCAGCTGCACGCCAACGAATTCCACGCCGTCACTCTTGTGGTTCTGATAGACCCTCTCGAACTCCGGCATCTCAGCGACGCAGGGGGGACAGGATGGAAACCAGAAGTTGAGCACGACAGGCTTGCCCTTCAGGTCGGACAACCGTAGCGTCTCGCCAGCTTGCCGAGTCTCTGTGCCGAAGAGCGTAAGCTCGAAGTCGGGTGCGGGATCACTGGGTACAGTTTCCGAGCTACACGCCGCTGCGAGAAACAGGACTGCGACGGCTAGCAGACTTACTTTGCATCAGTCTGCTGCGCAGATAGGCGAATGCCTTGGTTCGGAGCGATGCTGCCACTATATGCATATCTTCCCCTTCGCGGTTGTCATATTTTCAATTCCCTGTGCAAATATGATGCTGCAAGAGCCATAATGATTTAGCCGACTGGGTGATGCGCCTAATCGCGCTCAGATATGAGGTCTTCGGCGTACTGCATCAGCACTTTGGCGCGGTCATCCGGGACGTTTCGCGTATCGAAATAGAGGCGAAGCGCGTCCTTGGGCGACAAGCCGCGCGCATTGGAATCCTGAATTCGCGTCCTTACCCTGTCCACGACATCCTTTGAGATGGAGGCGATATAGTGCGCCGAATTGAGCGCATCTCTTATTCTAGACTCCAGCAGCAGGGCTTCAAGTTCCGCGGGCAGCGTGATTCGCAGTCTCACGATTGCGTCTTTCAGGTCGTGCGAGTCGATTACCTTGATCACAGTAGCGGTTGGGTCTTCGTCGCCAGCCGTAAGTTTTGCGTCAATAGTGACGAATTTGCGCGCGCTGTTCTTCACGAACTCGAAGCTCTTGAGCTGTGAACCCTGTGGCTGAGATGTGTCAATCTCGACAACACAGAACCCTTTATCATCCTTTTCTTCGCCGAAGTCAACGCGTTGGAGGCTGCCCGCATAGACCACATACGGATTCTGGCTTAGAACCTGATGGCGGTGGATATGCCCCAGCGCCACGTAGTCGAACTGCGGCAGCGCGACATTGCTGTTCAGCAGCACATGGTCGTGCCCGAGCATCATAGATTGCTCGGATGCCAGCGTGGACTGGCTGATGGTGACATGTCCTGCCAGCACCGCCGGGATGCTGCTGTCAAGGCTCTCCGCTCGCACCTTGATTGCATTGGTGATCATATCCTGAAGCGCTTCGTTAATCTCTCTGTGCGTCTGGCCGCGCGCAGCGTTGGTCGCCAGATAATCGCTGCGCTTGATCCAGGGCAGGGCGACCACCTGCAGCGGCCCATCACGTGTTTCCACGACGTAGGTTGCAAGCCTGTCGCCGATATGGACATTCGCAACATTGAGAGTGGGGAAGATTTCGAGCGCGGTCGCCTGCGCGATGACCTGCGGCGTGTCATGGTTACCGATCAGCAGGAAAGTTGGGATGCCGGCGCTAGACAAGCGAGCGATGCGCCTGGCGAACTCGCGCTGGTGCGTCTGCGAGGGGTCACGACTCTTGTATGCGTCCCCACAGAAGAGCACAAGGTCAACTTCTGTGTCTATCGCATAGTCCACCAGTTCGTCATAGGATTGGAGAAAATCGCCAAGTCGGGTGGATAGTCCGGTGTCCGGATCTATCCTGCCGTAGTTCTCTACGCCTATGTGGAGATCTGCGAAGTGAAGGATGCGCATCAGAGGCAAAGTCCTTGTGTGCTGCGCCCGCTACACTTGCAGCCGTGCGCCCAATTCAACTTCGAGCGAGGCGATCGGTATGCGAGCCTGCTCCATTGTGTCCCTGTCGCGGATGGTTACCGCGTTGTCGTCGAGAGAGTCGAAATCGACTGTGATGCAGAGCGGCGTGCCTATTTCGTCCTGTCGGCGGTAGCGCCTGCCGATGCTCTGCGCGTCATCGTATTGCACGAAGCCGTCAACCGCGCCGCTGCGCCGCACTGTGTCGTACACCTCACGCGCAAGTGGAACGAGTCTTTCGTTGCGGCTGAGCGGCAACACCGATACCTTGACCGGAGCGATTGCCGGGTGCAACTTCAGCACCACGCGCTTCTGCGTACCGCCACTCGCGGTGGGCGCTTCTTCTTCCGTGTATGCGTCCACCAGGAAGGTCATTACCGCTCGGTCCACGCCTGCTGCCGGCTCGACGACATACGGCGTAAAGCGTCTATTCTCCGCCTGGTCGAAGTATGTCAGCGAATGGCCGCTGCGCTCTGAGTGCGCTTTGAGATCGAAATCGGTGCGATTGGCGATGCCCTGGATCTCACCCCAACCCCAGGGGAACAGGTACTCAATGTCATAGGTCGCCTTGGAGTAGTGCGAGAGTTCGTCTGCATCGTGGGGGCGCACTCGAAGCCTGTCCTTGCTCACACCCGAGGTCCGTGTACCAGGCGAGGCAGTCCTCAATCCATTGCTCATGGACTTGTTCATCGGTGCCCGGCTCTACGAAATACTCGATCTCCATCATCTCGAACTCGCGTGTGCGGAAGATGAAGCCGCCGGTCGTAATCTCGTTGCGGAACGCCTTGCCGATTTGCGCGATGCCGAATGGCAGCCGCTTGCGCGATGAGTTGAGCACATTTTCGAAGTTCACGAATATGCCCTGCGCTGTTTCGGGACGCAGGAACGCGACCGACGCGTCGTCCTCTACCGGCCCGACGAATGTCTTGAACATCAGGTTGAAGTTACGCGCCTCGGTCAGTTCGCCGCCGCAAGCAGGGCATTTTGTCTCCTCAAGCTGGTCTTCGCGCCAGCGCTGACGGCATTCCCGGCAGTCAACCAACGGGTCGGTGAAGCTGTCCACATGACCGCTTGCGCGCCACACTTCCGGGTTCATCAGGATGGACGAGTCCAGCCCGACCATGTCGTCACGCTCCCAGACGAACTTGCGCCACCAGACGTCCTTGATATTGCGCTTGAGTTCCACGCCCAAGGGACCGTAATCCCAGGTGCTGGCCATTCCGCCGTAAATCTCACTGCTCTGGAAAATGAAGCCGCGCCGCTTGGCGAGTGAAGCGAGCGCATCCAAATCTACCGAAGATGTATTTGTTTCTGACACTATGCTTGCAACCTTTGTTTCTCAAGACTTGGGACGGCACTTGGCCTTAGTAATTATATCAAAGTGAGCGTGAATCAGCCGGAAAAAGCAAAGCCCGCGACATCTATCACGGGCTTTGCATATTTTGCTATGGAGGCGACGGGCGGATTCGAACCGCCGATAGGGGTTTTGCAGACCCCCGCCTTAACCACTTGGCTACGTCGCCATTATGGAAAACCTGGTGCCGAGGAAGAGACTCGAACTCTTACAGCCTTACGGCCACAGCGCCCTCAACGCTGCGTGTCTACCAATTCCACCACCTCGGCCAGCTCGGAAATCAAGAGCGCCGACACTGAGCGCGTCTCAGGCTGGCGGCTATCAACGTGCAAGCAATTATAGCCAAACATGGTCTGTCTGTCCACATTTCCGCTCCCAAATTTTCCGATTATCCTTCTTCCGACTTTATCGTTCTGAGTCTCTGTCCTGCGCTCGTTCTATGGTCGTCGTTGTGCCATTGCCCGCAAGCCGATAAAATGCCTCTCACAGTAATATCCATACAAGAGGTGTCAAATGCCGCACATATCAGACGAAACTTTGGAAGTCCTGCGTGCCATACCCACGCAGACGCTCATAGACGCGCAGTGGGTCAAGGGCTGGCCCATGAGTTACATCCAGGGCGCGGTGCCCTTGCAGCAGGGACAGCATCTCGCTGGCAGAGCAGTCACGCTACGCTTCGTGCCGCACCGCCCCGATCTCGTGCAGGACAAGCCAAAGGGCGCAGACTCTGCCGAGTATGTAGCAATCGAGATGTGCGGCCCCGGAGAGGTGCTGGTAATTGATGCGATGGGCTGGAAGTACAGCTCGGTCGGCGGCGACATCAAGTTCCTGCGAATGAAGCAGCTGGGCGCAGGCGGTCTTGTAACCGATGGCGGCGTCCGCGACAGCATATCGCTCAAGGAGTACGGCTTCCCTGTGTATTCGGCGAGCTTGACTGCCAAGCAGGGACCTGCAGAATTCTGGCCCTGGCAGGTCAACGACGCGATTCAGTGCGGCGGTGTGCTTGTGCGCCCCGGAGATCGCGCTAGTTGGTGACGATGACGGCGTTGTTGTAGTACCGCAAAGCATCGTTGACGAGGTGATCGAGATTGCCCACCAGCGGGAAGAGGTCGAAGAGGTCGTGAAGGCGCAGCTTGAGATTGAGCAATGTTCGCCCGGCAAGTATTATCCGTTCAACGATGCGACCTGGGAACTCTTCGAGGAGAAGACCGGCAAAAAGCGCTATTAGCCTTCTCCAAGTTCAACAGGTTGTCAGGCGGAAGTCCATGAATTAGACTCTACTTGCGGTGTAAGAGCCGCGCCCAAAATATATTAGCAACTCAAACCACAGCAAAGAGGAGATGACCAGATGGAAGAGCGAACAGGAGTTTTCGCGGCAGGCGACAATCAATTGACCTTGCTGGGACCGGAGATAAGCGTGGGACAGCAGGCGCCCAATTTCACAGTTTCAGGCGCGGGTCTGAGACGAGTAACCCTCGATGACTACGCAGGCAAGGTGAAGATCATCGCGTCGGTTCCTTCGCTGGATACCGGAGTGTGCAGCGACGAGACCAAGCAGTTCAGCGACTATGCCAAGTCAATATCGGATGACATAGTCGTCCTCACAATCAGCATGGATTTGCCCTTCGCTCAAGCACGCTGGTGCGGCGCGAACGATGTTGACAATGTGGTGACCGCCTCGGACTTTAAGTCGCGCGAGTTCGGCGACAGTTTTGGCGTTCACGTGAAGGAGAACGGTTTGCTGGCGCGCGCCGTCTTCGTGCTGGACAAGGACAATGTTGTGCGGCATGTGGAGTATGTACCGCAGATAGCGCAATTGCCCAATTTTGACGCCGCGCTTGCCGCCGCCAACGAAGCCGCCGGGTAGTCAACAACGTCAGGCGTTCATGTAGAGTGCAAGTAAAGCGGCTATCCCCATTGGAATAGCCGCTTTTTCATTTGAAGTCGGTTGCTCTTATCAGTCCCCGCGCTTCACATCCAACGCCAACGCCTCGCATGGGTTGGGGCGCCCTGATGTCTCTCCAATGGGGATGACCTCCGCGTGCAGCTTGCCGGGTGCGAGCTCAAGCAGCCCGACGCCGCCAAGCCTCAACTCCTTGTGGCGCGGGAACGTGATACTCCCGCTGTTCAGAATCACCACACCCTCGCGCTCGTACAGAACTTCCTGGTGCGTGTGCCCTCCGACCATGATGTCCACCGGCGTCGGGAATAGCTTTCGCAACTGGGACATTGGGAGGTGCTCACTTCCAAGATTGTGAACCATGCCGATGTGCCAACCTTCGACTTCCAGCGTCTGCACTTCTTTGGAGCGATGGTCCTCATAAGGGTCGTTGTTGCCGTTGGCGCACAGCACGGGCGCGAACTGCTCCAGCCAGTCCAGCACGCGCGTGTATATGAGGTCGCCGCCGTGCAGGATTAGGTCAACCGAGGAGAAGAACTCCGCCGGCTCAGGACCAAGTTCGTCGAGGTCCCGAACGAGGTTGGGCAGATGTGTGTCGGTTAGCAGTCCGATTTTCATATATCATTCCTCAATCGCCGCCGCCAAAGTTGCTTGTCCAGAGCGTTCCAGAAGGGGCAGATGTCAAATCGAAATTGCTCAGATTCAACGGAGAGGCAGTTTCCACGATGCATGTATTGCCAACCTCGAGCCAGGCCAGTTCCGTTGACTGAATCGTCCCTATATGCTACCTTTTCGCCGTCCGTGAGTTCGACATCAAAGTATAACTCACGCTAACAGACTGACCGAGAATCGTTCAAGTATATTCGCACTGAAGTGTCCACCTGGACATTTGACATGCATAGGGGAGGGACAAAGAATGCCGCAGCGCAGAGAAGCCGCCATCGTCGGTATCCATGAATACCCGCTCAGGGTGGTAGGCCCCGGGACGAGCTCACTGCAAATCAAGGCCGCTTCGGCCATAAAGGCGCTTGAGGACGCAGGTCTGTCCGGCAAGGATATCGACGCTGTGTACGATACGGGCACGCATCAGGGCATCGGCGGTCTCGGAATTTCCGAGTATTTGGGGCTGAAGCCGAGGATTATCGACAACACGGCGGTTGGCGGAACTTCCTACGAGTTTCAGGCTAATCATGCTGCCAAGATGATTGCGGCAGGCAAATGCGAGGTCGCCCTGCTCACCTACGGCTCGACCGCGCACTCGGACAGGCGCAATATCGGCACAGCCGGGGCAACCGGGCTTGGACAGGCTACACCTGCCTCCAACATGGAAGATTCATGGGGGCAGACGCTTATCGCCAACTACGGCATGGTCAAGAATCGACATAAGCACCAGTACGGCACCACGGACGAGCAGTTCGCCGAGATTTCGGTCGTGACGCGCCGGCATGCGATGCGCAACCCCGAAGCGGTTAAGGCGATGACCGACCTTGAATTCGTCGGCGTCAATGAGATTACCGTACAAGATGTAGTTGAGTCGCGCGTTATAGCGCACCCGCTTCACCTGCTTGAGTGCTGCATGATTTCGGACGGAGGCGGCGCAGTCATCATCGCTTCTCCGGAAGTCGCGGCGAACTGCCGCAAGAAGCCTGCGTGGATTGTCGGCACAGGCGAGGCGACCAAGTACCGAGAGAACGGTGGCGACATAACCGTCAGCGCGGGCGCGCAGTCCGGCCCCATCGCATTCGCCGACGCGGGGGTATCTCCCAGTGAGATTGATGTCCTGATGGCATATGACTCTTTCTCCATCACAGTGATGTGCATGATTGAAGATCTGGGTTTCTGCAAGAAGGGTGAAGGTGGCGACTATGTGAGCCAGCGACACCTCGGCTTCGACGACCCACGCAAGCCTGCGATGAACACGGATGGAGGCGGCTTGTCATCCAACCATCCCGGCGAGCGCGGCATCTTCTTGCTGCTGGAGGCTGCGCGCCAGCTACGAGGCGAGTCCACCGCGCAGGTGCAAGACCCCGAAGCTGGCAGTCGCGGTTGGCAACGGCGGCATGCTGGGATCGCGCCATGCGACCGGCGTTACCATTCTCGCCGCCGACTAGGGCATCTCTCACCACATACTAAAGCCAAAAGCCTGACTTAGGAGATCGAACCATGGCAGGACAGCGACCACTACCGAGATTCCCCGAACCGGATACCGAGCCGTTCTGGGAGGCTACCAAAGCGGCACGAGCTTGTCTATCAGGTGTGCAACGGCTGCGGCGAGGTGTTGTTCTACCCGCGCAAGTATTGCGTCCTCTGCGGAACTGATGACACGACCTGGCACACATCCAAGGGCGCGGGCGCGGTGTACACCTACAGCGTGGTTATGCAGAGCCGTCATCCCGCGTTTGCGGATCTGGGACCCTACGCGGTCGCATACGTTGATCTTGACGAGGGCTTCCGGATTATGACAAACGTCGTGGGTGTGGCAAACCCCATAGATGACATCCACTGCGGCCTGCGCGTCAGACTGCGCTGGGAAGACCAAGGCGAGGGAGAAGTGTCTCTGCCGATGTTCGAGCCTGCATAGGCTCGCGGCCGCGCCAATCCAAACTTGCCTGTCCTATGCTCACGCGCTCACTGAGCATTGCTGTAGCGCTTGAGCGAAGGAATTACTTGGAACCCGTCAATTGTCTATAGTCGCCGTAGTAGCAACACAATGCGCGAATTTGTTATGATTGTGTTGTCCTGCACGGTGGCTGATCGTGTCTGACACCTCGGTACGACATTTACTAAAGCCGGTAGGAATTGCCGTGCGCGAAAACAGATGACCTCAAATAAGGAACAGGGAGCACTACAGAATGGCAAACAGCAATGGTTCGATAATGACAATTGACCGCGTCACCCTCTCAAGTAACAGGGCGAGTACGCAAATTGAACTGCCCGAATACGACAAGAGCCGATTTGAAGAGGTGGGCTTCCTCACAGCAATGACCCTCGTGCTGCTGGGCAACTACTCGCAGACAGGGCACTTTGGCGGACCTCTCGCGTACACTCCTTACACTGTTATGATGCACCTCGCGGGCCCGGAAAATGGGGGGCTACGCTACGACTACCGCCGTCCCAAGCATCCATACGCTGACAGGTTTATGCTTGCCGGTGGACACAACGCCCCTGTCGCCTATGCTCTCTGGATGATCATGGGCGAGGCACTAGCGCGCAAGTATGCCAAGACGGGCGACCCGCGCTATTCGGTTGATCACAATCAGGGCATGCTCAGCATCGACTGCCTCGGCTTCCGACGGGGCAAGGGCGCTCTGGACACGCTGCTTGAAGACTTTAACCTGACGGACGCGCCTGAGATGGCGCAGGCGAAGATTCGCGGCATTCGCGCGCTCGCCGGACACTCGGAGACGACCGACATGACGAACGATGTCAACGGTGGGCCGTCGGGCATCGGCATCGCCACCGCAGCGGGCAAGGCAGCGTTCTGGGATATGATGGGCGCGCCGGACTCGCTGAAAATCATGGCTCTCGAGGGCGAGTTCGCCATGACTTCGGGGCACTCGCAGGAGATGAAGACACAGGCGGTCGCGCAGCAGGTCGGCAAGCGCCTTCGCATACTGTTGTCCTACAACAACGCGGGCATTGACGACCAGCTTATCGGCGGTGTCATCCAGTCGCAGTATGACGGCTACCGTATCGAAGACCAGTGGGCTGCCTATGGCTGGAATGTATTCACCGTTGACAACGGCAACGACTATGACCAGGTGCTGGGCGTCCTCAAGGCGATGGAGGACTGGGATCCCACTGACGACAGGCCAATGATCGTAGTGGGCAATACCGTAAAGGGTTGGTGGCCCGGCGCGGTCAACGGCAGCATCGCCGGCTACGGCGACCAGATTATCAGCTATGCAAGCCATCCCTACGCCTTCCCCTTCAACGGCGACTACTTCCAGGCGCTCGCCTCCACTTTCGAGCAGCGCTTCGGCATGGAATTCGAAGGCATCAGGAGCGGAAACGCGGCAACCGACACGCGCGAACGCCTTCTTGAGTTCAAGCGCAATATCGATGTGGCTATGTCCGTGCTCGACCAGGACGGACTTGGCGATTGGCTCGCCGACCGCCTCGTCGAAATCGGAGACAGTATCGACGACAGCCTCCCCTTGCGCATCGACCGTGACGTTGACCCGTTCCAAGACTCGCGACTGGCGGTCAGCAATCTGCCCACTGAGGCACAGACCGTAAGTGTCAAAAACCATGTGTCCGGCGAAGTGAAGGACGTATCCATAAAGCTCTTCGAGGAGCCGGGCAATGTGAGAGGCACTCGCCGCGCCATATCCGAAATCGCCAAGTACATGAACTATGTAACCGACAACAGGCTTGTGATCGTGGCGGCCGACCTCGCTGAATCCATTAACGTCGAGCCTGGCGGACTCTGGGGACACTACGACCCTGTGCATAATCCGACCGGCACACGCCTGAAAGGCGGCGATTCAGGAGGCGGGCAATGTGTCCACTGCCGTCGGATTCGTCGGTCAATCGGTCTCTCTCGATCCGGATAAGCATGTGGGCGTATGGGCGCTCAGTGGCAGCTACGGCGCATTTACTCCGCTGATGTACCTGCCCTCGCGCGTGTGGAGCCAGCAGAACCAAGACAGCCCATTCCGCGTAGGCGTCCTGAACGTGCTCGCCGGTCACTCCGGCCCCGAGACCGCCGCTGACGCCCGTACGCACTTCGGCATATTTGCTCCGCAGGTTTGGAAGCTCTTCCCGCGCGGACAGGTAATCACGCTGAGCTTCTGGGACTACAACGATGTGGCGCCCGGCTACTTCGCTGCGGCGGAGATTGCAGCGCGCGATCCTAAGGTGGGAGTTCTTGTGCTCGAAGTGGCGCGTCCTGACTTCCCGGTCGCGGATCGCAGCACCTTCGCCGATACAGACCTGATGGCAGCCGCCAAGGGCTTCTATGTAAT